GTACCTGTCTATATCAGACATCAGGGGGAGCAGTCTGGTAACAGTACCTGTCTATATCAGACACCAGGGGGAGCAGTCTGGTAACAGTACCTGTCTATATCAGACATCAGGGGGAGCAGTCTGGTAACAGTACCTGTCTATATCACCAGGGGGAGCAGTACCTGTCTATACAGTCTAACAGTACCTGTCTATATCAGACACAGTACAGTCTGGTAACAGTACCTGTCTATATCAGACACCATTGGGAGAAGTCTGTAACAGTATCTGTCAATGTCAGTCAACAGGGGGATTAGTCTGGTAACAGTACATGTCTATATCAGACACCATTTGGAGCAGTCTGGGAACAGTACCTGTCTATAACAGACATCAGGAAGATCAGTCTGGTAACAGTACCTGTCTATAACATACATCTGTGGGAGCAGTCTGGTAACAGTACCTGTCTATACCAGACATCAGGGGGAGCAGTCTGGTAACAGTACCTGTCTATATCAGACACCAGGGGGAGCAGTCTGGTAACAGTACCTGTCTATATCAGACATCAGGGGGAGCAGTCTGGTAACAGTACCTGTCTATACCAGACACCAGGTGGAGCAGTCTGGTAACAGTACCTGTCTATACAAGAAAAAAGGGGGAGTAGTCTGGTAACAGTACCTGTCTATATCAGACACCAGGAGGAGCAGTCTGGTAACAGTACCTGTCTATATCAGACATCAGGGGGAGCAGTCTGGTAACAGTACCTGTCTATATCAGACACCAGGGGGAGCAGTCTGGTAACAGTACCTGTCTATATCAGACATCAGGGGGAGCAGTCTGGTAACAGTACCTGTCTATATCAGACATCAGGGGGAGCAGTCTGGTAACAGTACCTGTCTATATCAGACACCAGGGGGAGCAGTCTGGTAACAGTACCTGTCGATACCAGACACCAGGGGGAGCAGTCTGGTAACAGTACCTGTCTATATCACAGAGCAGTCTGTAACAGTTGTCTATATCAGACATCAGGGGAAGTAGTCTGGTAACAGTACCTGTCTATATCAGACATCATGGGTAGCAGTCTGGTAACAGTACCTGTCTATATCAGACATCAGGGGGAGCAGTCTGGTAACAGTACCTGTCAGACACCAGGAGGAGCAGTCTGGTAACAGTACCTGTCTATATCAGACATCAGGGAAAGCAGTCTGGTAACAGTACCTTTCTAAACTAGACACCAGGGGGAGCAGTCTGGTAACAGTACCTGTCTATATCAGGAGGAGCAGTCTGGTAACAGTACCTGTCTATTTCAGAAAACAGGGGGAGTAGTCTGGTAACAGTACCTGTTTATACCAGACACCAGGGGGAGCAGTCTGGTAACAGTACCTGTCTATATCAGACATCAGGGGGAGCAGTCTGGTAACAGTACCTGTCGATACCAGACACCAGGGGGAGCAGTCTGGTAACAGTACCTGTCTATATCAGAAACCAGGGGTAGCAGTCTAGTTACAGTAACTGTCTATATCAGACACCAGGGGTAGCAGTCTGGTAACAGTACCTGTGTATATCAGAAATCATAGGTACCAGTATGGTAAAAATACCTGTCTAAGGGAATAAATAAGAAAGCCTAGATTATATACAGATGATTTAAAATCAAAAGATATACAACAAATACACAACAAATGAATAACAAAGAATTTCACATCACCTAGTGAAACAATGAAGAGTAAGCCTACCAAAACTTGATATAACTTTCACTTTATACATATATATCATTATGTTACCTTAAGATTCTAAAAAAACAATTCAGCTGCAACATTGCATTGTATGTCCTTCAGGTGTGACATATTTGAAGGAAACACTATGTTGACTCAATGCCACATAATTAATCAACATCAGTTTGTAAATTGAGGATCTTACATTTGTGATATATAATTAATCAAAATCTTAAAATATTTTGCTCCATCAAATTATTCATCAAAATCAATAAATTTCATACAATATTGAAATGAGTTTAAGATTCTATTTCTCATGTAACTCATATCTCTAAAAAAATAGCGATAGTTGAAATTAATTTCCATGTAAGACAGGCTTATTTCAACTCTGTAAGTTTTTCAATACCAAGACAATGTTATGTCATGAAAATGGGTATATTTATGATGTCACAATGTACATATGATTTCACAATAGAGTTATGACATGTGTGTCATGTGATATTTACCACATGATTTTATGACATGACAAACCAGGCCAGTTATGTGATAAAAAGAGTTATGTATCAATGACAGATATTATCACATAATTATCAAATTTATTTTATGGCAATTCCTTTCATATTCTAAAGGTAAGTTTTCATGTTAATCTAAGCAATATAATATTTTGAAATTTGTACTATTCCATTGAATTATATTTTATTCAGTGTTTATAACATTGCAGTGTGGAAATCCATTTCATGAACTTAACCAAAAAGCACAATCACACGTCAAATAAATGTTTATATAAATACCTCTTTATCTGGTGACAGGTTCATTTCTGGTGATAAGCCTGTCAATAACTATTTCAGTTTTTAAGAAATGCCAATAAATATTATATCTGTTCTAAGATTTATTCTGTCCTATAGTTTTCAGCCCCTCTGGGTATATTTCAAGGTAAATATGGTAACAAAATGAAATAACATACTAATCATTTGAAATTTAGTAATCTCAAATTTGAGTGTATTATCATATTTAAATAATGGATTGCCTAGTAATAAATTTTGGTCCACACAAAACATTGGTCGTGAAATCAGAAAACAAAACCTTTAAGCATAACTTTTAAATTGCACCAAAATGCTAAAACAAGCTAACTGACCTATATATTTGTAGTTTATATAACGATTTATTCTTGTTTTACATCCTATTAACAGTCAAGGTCATATAAGGACATGCCAGGTTTGGTGGTGGAGAAGAGTCGGAGTTCCCAGAGAAAAACCGCCATACTGCCTTCAGTACATGGCGACTGACCCATGTAGATGTCAAACCCATAACCCCTAAGTGGAGGGTTAGTGTTAAAGATGGTCAAATGCCTTGACTACTCGGTCAGCGCTGCTTCTACAGTTTATAAATGTTGAAAGACAAATGAAAAATCAGCATGATAAAGTACGATCACCTAAAACTATACAATAATGGACAGCAGTACAAAACAACATTGGTCCCGAGCTTCTATAAATGGTCACTTTCTCCTGTCAACTCAAAATTCAAAGTGCAACACCACTAAAAGTTTGGACATGTATTACATAATCACAATTAAAGTTAAAGTGTACAATGATGCATTAACATCCCTTATTTGTGTTTTAGCAGGAAGACACTTCACAACAGAATAACACCTGTGACAAACTATACCCGACGGATATCACAAAACACTGAAGAACAACAGCCTTAAAAGTACACTTAAAACAACAATAGGAGATATGACTGTGTGTACAATAGTACTTTATAGTTTATTGTTCTGATAGATTATAACATGATAAAATGCTATCCAAGGTGGCCACTGATGTAAAAAATGCATGAAATTTTTAAAACAAGTTTTAAACATGAGAGAAAAGATATATTATATAAAACAATGATTAAATGTATCTTTTATCTTATCACTGCACTTTGATGGTAACAATAATCAACTAGAGGTGTTTTATTCCATGACTTTCTAACTATTGATCAACTTTTAATTATCAAACATGATGAAATAAACTGAGCAATTCAAAACAAAACAAACAAACATGTATATGTACATACAGTTACAACCATGATATTGAGAATGCCCCATGTTCACTGATTTGTCTCCCCTTTTTTGATTGATTTACTTCAAAACAATGATAAATGACTGAAAAGTGTCTTCATCTTCACTTATCTACAGCAAAAGTCTTAGCATATAAAACTCTTTTTCAGGATGAGAGGGATATTATTTTAATGAGTGAAAAAAAAAGAAAAATTAAACTTTATACCACATTTAATTTTAGATCCTTACTGAAGCATAGATTTAAATATAGTTATGATAATGATTGCCACATTGTTAAATTGCAAAATAAATGGCATGTCCTTCATTAATTTTGGTGCCAGAGTATGATAATTCAAACGGCAGAAAATTTCATCCCTTCAGGAAACTTTTTCAATTATTCTGTTGCAACTGGAAAGTTGAAGACACATTAGTTAAAGCTATTTAAATAATATACATACATTATACATATCCTGATAACAAATATAACATCACATTAAAATAAATAGAAAAAAAGTAATTAAAGCATATAGCATAATAGAGGAAGTATTCATAAAAAAAAAAAAAAATTCACCTAAAAGAAAAAACAAATAGACAAAAAATAATTTATTCCTTGCTGCAATATAACTTTGGTACTGACACACCAATTAAATAATTCTTTGTTTTATTGTTTCATTTTCCAAAAACTTTACAACGAATTTACATTGAAAGTGGAAACTTTTAATGATTTCAAGTCATAAAATCTAAATAAAGAATGCAGCATCTTCACAATGCAAGGGTTCAGTTCATCAGGTTCCTCCATCTTTTTCACACTTAAAAGAGGATACAAGTTAACTAATCTGGTAAAATTACAAAAGTGTGCATGTCTATGATGAAAAGATTTTGCACGGCAATATCAAGGCCAAACTGACTAACTTTGGTTTGAGAGTTAGCTTATACAACTTTGGTTTGAGAGTAGGCCTTTGCCACTTTGGTTTGAGAATAAGACTTTAAGTCTTTTAATCTCAAACAAATCGAAAGGGAAGTTATCAGCCTTCACTTTTGTCCTGATATACACCCCATATGTGAAAAACTTACACTTGAGTTATGAATATGTAGATGCAGCTGGAAACATGTGTAAACTGAAGTTATCGTTTCAACTGCAACAAGCCCTCTGTCTGAAGTGCCTCACAGTATAAACCCCTAGCATTGGTGGAGTATGTAATGTTTACTTATCAAGGGAACAAACCTCAATACATGTATGTAAATTCATTTTTATACATGTTTATGTATATACCTGACTTACTGAACACAACATAATTTGTTAAGTATACAAATTTTATGGAGGGTCATACTCGATTACCAGACGAGTAAGAGTTAGTCTGTACCAGTTGTAGGACTTCATCTATAAATGGACGCTCAGCAGCACTCGGTTTCATCAACCGCAGTATCGTCTCCTGTATACCGCCAGAATATCTGAAGATCAGAAGAAATTTTATTTTTCACATGAAGTCGAAGAAAGCTGATCAATGATTACATCCTAGTCCCAAATTAGTTTAAAGATTTATGAGGCAAAATCCATCTAATTATTATTAAACAGCGAGCTTATAAGCTTAATTATTAAAAGTATAGACTGAAAGCTCATAATTCCACACTTAGTTATATTTTTTTTTATTTTTCTAGATAGGTGATATATAACCTTTACTAAATCCTATAAATATTTACGTAATATGAAGGAGTCATTGCCACATTTATATGGCAAAGTAAAGAAGCAATAATATTGTCAAATATTCATCCACCCAAACCAGGTCAGTAGAAAGTCTAACTCACAATTTTTGTTCTGAAATAATAAGCCAACTCCAAATTTTGAAAAATAAATATGTCCACCCCTGAGCATATAATGAAACAAATGTTTTTTTATCTCAGAAATAGATGAAGTAAATCTCATGAGTCCCTGGCATCAAAGACCTGCAGAAGATGTTCTTACGCTTTGATATATTTGTATTGAAATCTTGTTTCTCACTCAATCTTGTTACAAACTCAGGTAGTCTGGACCTTTCACCAAAGCACACGCCTCATCATTCTTCAAGGAAATTGTTTGATTTTTTAAAAACTTTTCCTGACAACTTGGAAGGTCAACAAGATATGTTATTTATTTACATATAAGAATAATCAAACGTCGCCAAAACACTGACATTCATTCATGAGACGATACCCGGACATGGGAGGAGCCATGGAGACAGAAAAACCTGTCAATCAATCAATCAAGAATGATCGGACATAAAATACATACCCCGAATTTTCTGGAAACTTAACATTTCCGCTGAGCACAGCCAAAGCAATACTGTCACCTCTCTGGTAGGCACGATCAAATGGAGACTCCAGAAATGCCAACGCATACAGGGTACAACCTAGTGACTGAGATAAAATTGTACAGTAAATTAGGAAGTACAAGAATACCACAGTAACCAAAGCACAGCTTACAGAGTTGATTGGTTGGTGACAAGTTTAATGAATGTTTTCATCATAGAAACCAGATCAACCAACCCATTCTGTCACTTGGGACACAACCATACAATTAGAAAGAAGAGGGAACATCATCATTAACTAGGTACAGCAGAGAATCTGTGGGCTGTGTACACATTTTATCAATAATTTACAACTGAAATGTCCATGCATACAGACATCAAACAGTACCGACAAATGAGATTTCACTCTATACTCTCCATTAAGGAAATGTCTCAATTAATGTGATTTTGCTGTATAGAGAAATCAAACAAAACATCAAGATTAAGAGGGTTTCACAACAAACAAATCAAACAAACTACTGGCCAAAGAAGTTCCACTGCACATTTATGTATTAACATTTGCATTACCCAGATGTCAGTCCGTTCATCCACAGTTGTTCCCACCTCTGCATTGAAGAGCTCGGGTGCTCTGTATAACATGGAACATCTTTCTGCTGCTTCATCCTAACAACACAAATCAATTTCATCCTAACAACACAAATCAATTTCATCCTAACAACACAAATTAATTTCATCCTATCAACACAAATTAATTTCATCCTAACAACACAAATCAATTTCATCCTATCAACACAAATTAATTTCAAACAAGAGATCCCAGAGGGATCTTGGCGCCCACCATTTGAGGTTCTTGATAATTTGTTTATTTTTTTTTGTTTGTTACAGGTGTTGTAAATGTTCATGAACTGGTCTTCATTGAATGTACTCAATGATGGCAAATGATATTTTTATTAAGCACCTATTAGCAAATATCATTTGAAAAAGATCCCAAAGTATTATTAGATAGCAGTCAGTTACAGGTGGATAATGGACAATATGCTTGTGCTGTATTACTGTCGACATCCAAGATGGCTGCCTGTGGGCCACCTTGATTTCAAATCAGTCCAAAAAAGGTACAATGCACAACTAGGGACCAAAGGAAACCAATATCTATGAAATATTAGAAGGATCCATCCAGTACTTCCTCAGATATAGCAGTAACAAGATTTTACTCTCAAAATCCAAGATGGCTGCCTGTCAGCCATCTTGATTTCGGATCAGTCCAAAAAGGTATAATGCACAACTTGGAACCAAAGGGAACCTGCATATGAAATTTGAGAAAGATCCATCCAGTACTTTCCAAGAAAAAGCAGTAACAAACTTTTACATTCAAAATCCAAGATGGCCACCTGTCTGCCATCTTGAATTTGGATCAGTCCAAAAAGGTATAATGCACAACTTGGAACCAAAGGGAACCTGCATATGAAATTTGAGAAAGATCCATCCAGTACTTTCCAAGAAATAGCAGTAACAAACTTTTACATTCAAAATCCAAGATGGCCACCTGTCTGCCATCTTGAATTTGAATCAGTCAAAAAAAGGTACAATGCACAACTAGGGACCAAGGGGAAACTGCATATGAAATTTGAGAAAGATCCATCCAGTTCTTTCCAAGAAATAGCAGTAACAAACTTTTACTTCCAAAATCCAAGATGGCCACCTGTCGGCCATCTTGAATGCGAATCAGTTCAAAAAAGGTACAATGCACAACTAGGGACCAAGGGGAACCTGCATATGAAATTTGAGAAAGATCCATCCAGTACTTTTCCAGAAATAGCGGTAACAAGAATTGTTTACGGACGGACGGACGATGGACGCAGGGCGATTTGAATAACCCACCATCTATTTGAATAGATGGTGGGCTAAAAATAAATGCAGGACTTGTTCACTAGAAATGTAGTTGACTGACTGCAAAAACAGGTGTTTACCTGTAAGGCTTTACCTACAGACAAGTCGGATTTAGATAGGTATTTATATATATATATATATATATATATACATACACACTGTAAGTGTTTATCTGTAAGGCTCTACCTACAGACAAGTCAGATTTAGACAGGGGATTTAGACAGGTATATATATATATATATATATATATATATATACATACACACTGTAAGTGTTTACCTGTAAGGTTCTACCCACAGACAAGTCGGATTTAGAAAGGTATCTGTATATATGATGTGTTTACCTGTAAGGCTTTACCTACAGACAAGTCAGATTTAAACAGGTATACACACCGTAAGTGTTTACCTGTAAGGCTCTACCTACAGACAAGTCGGATTTAGAAAGGTATCTGTATATATGATGTGTTTACCTGTAAGGCTTTACCTACAGACAAGTCAGATTTAAACAAGTTTATATATATATATATATATATACATACACACTGTAAGTGTTTACCTGTAAGGCTTTACCTACAGACAAGTCAGATTTAAACAGGTATATATATATATATATATATACATACACACTGTAAGTGGTTACCTGTAAGGCTCTACCTACAGACAAGTCGGATTTAGACAGGTACCTGTATACATGAAGTGTTTACCTGTAAGGCTCTTCCTATAGATGGTGTACTGATCTCGACTCTGGCCTTGGCAGCAGAACCCAGGTCCATCAAAACTGCTTGTCCATCATCTGACAGCATCACATTGCCTGGCTTGATATCTCTGATGAAACATATTTCTAGTAAAATTATCATCAGTACATTTGTATTGTAGTATTATTTCACACAAATTTTTATACTGTTAGAATCTGCTGTCATAGTGAAAAATTATTTCTAGCAGAACTGAAAATAAGCTTACGAGCTAGATTTCTGTTGCAAACAAAGAAACTTCACATTCTAGAATACACAAACCAAATGAGCGAACTTCCTAGCATCAGTGATCCACCTAAGCTATGCTTCCCATTTTCATCTGCCTGTTTCTCATTATTTTAAGTGACATCACAGTAAAACCATTTTTCTGTTGTTTTCATCACTCTTGCAATATACATATCAAGCGTGTCATTAATTATAAAACGAAAATCTCTTGCCGTCGATCAACAAAGCATAAGTAGAAGACTGAAAGATTTATCCTCACCTGTGTGCATAAGGTGGGTTGTGTTTGTGGAGTACTTTGAGGCCCTGACATAAACCAAGGAAGATCTCCCATACCCTCTGCTCTGGTAATCTATCAGATTTCTTCAGCAACCTTTCCATAATATCTTGAGCTGAACCTTTCTGAATGAAAAAATAAAAGCTGAGTGTTTCAAAACCACTTTTCCTTTTTTCCTCTAAAATCCAAATAGTTATTTGAAGATCCTTCACTCTTTCATGCTAGAATTTTGTCATCAGTTATCATTATAATAAAACCAAAGATCTTGTTTCTCAACTTACCAATTCTTTTTCAAGGGCAGATTTCCCTTACATATTCTATCAAATGTTTACAGTTCTGCCATTTAAACAACTATGATATCAAATTAGTTTAATTAAGAAAATTCTAATAAAACAAAAAAAGAAAATGACATACACAGAATAAAAAAGTACTTTCTTTGTATAGAAACCTAGAAGAATAAGAGAAAAATTCTTAACCCTCGGGAAAAAATTATTAAGTTCCTATCAATTTGGCAAGCCTCATATCTGCCAACTGAAGGATCTTTCCCTTTGGGTAGAGTCCACCTTATCTCAACTCTTACCTGTTTCCTGCATGGGGAATATGTCCGTGTATTATGACTTTCACCAGTAAATGAGGAGATTGCGCATGTGTGGTGACTTTTGTCTGTACATAATGAGGAGATTGTCTGTGTGTGGAGACTTCTGCCTGTATATGAGGATGACTTTTGGCTGTGTAAATAGTGATCCATGGTGTGTGACGAGTATTGCTAGAACAATGACTGTAAGGAGAAATTGTCTATATATCTGCATATGATGTCTATAAAATGAATGTGTTTGTGTTGGTGTGTGGAAACATTGCCTGCACAATGAAATTGTTCTTGTGTTAGACAATATTTGTGTAAGATCGTTCTAATTTCGAAACACCATTTTGTAAGACTGCTATGGAAGATCTTTATTGTGTATCTGAAGAAATCATTTGTATATGACCAAAACTCACACAATAATAAGGCATCACAATAAGGACCTCACTGATGATATCAAGTGTCTTGGTGTACTTGTCAACTTGTATCATAGTGGATGCCTCCAGTGGGATGAGATTTGTGTGTTTGAATGTCTTCATTAATTCCACTTCCTGCATAGCTGTTCGCTCCTCATCCTTTGAGTGACAAGTGATCCGCTTAAGAGCATAAGTTCTGTGTGTGCGTGCATCCTCGATGAGATCAACATAGCTGAATCCTCTACAAAATACCAATGGAACAATCTTAATTATAAATTTTCAAGAAGTAAATTAAAGTTGGTATTCATAGATTTTTATGTCAATTGACGGTAGCGAGTTAATTTTTTGTTTTGTTTCTTAAAACCCTGCAAGAAAAAACAACTGATTTTTTTCAATCTTAACAATTATTTTGTATTCATTTAACAAACATCATTGTTTTTAACATTTCAATTAGTCCAAGAGTTCAAAAAGATATATTACAATGAAAAATGGAATTAAAAACCGGCATAGTCATCTCAAAATTATCAGAGGTACATAGATTGCTGCAATTTAAGTAGTTCAAACAGTACTGGTGGTACCAAAATAGACCATGATAAACAAACACACCTGTACTAGGTCTTCAACTGTCAAATCCAAGATGGTCACCTGCTTGAAATTTTGTTATTTTTTTTATCAGTTGGAACAAAAAGGAACCTAAAGATCTATCCAGTATTTCTCCAAAAAATAGCAATAACAGATTTTTATTATCAAAATCCAAGATTGTCATTTGACAGTCATTTGTTTTTTAAAATCAGTCTCAACAACCATAAGGTATAGCTTGGGACCAAGGGGCACCTTCACATGACATTTGAGACAGATCTATCTAGTACATATCCAGAGATAGCAATAAGAAGAACTGTTAACAGAAGGATGGACCAAATGATATAATGATGTTATCAGGGAGAAAACTCCTATAAATCTCTTCTATGATATGGTTGGTACTTAAAGGCAAATTATCTACCCTTCTCCAAGTCTGGAGCGCACGATGAAGCGTCTGTCACTGATCCTGAGATTTTCTCTACCACACACACATCCCATCTTCAGCAGGTAAGTCAGGCCAATGGAATTCATTTAATATACAATAATCTGCTACCCACGGTAAATATCATTCTTCAGCACTCTCAAGATCTGAAAACAATCAACACATCAATCTTCAGTAGAAATTTAGAATAAATACTGACATGTGCCAACATAACCCCTATTTGTTTAATAAAGCTCATTTAGGTATTTCAGACACTACTTTCCTAATAAGTAAGTAAACAAGCAAAAATGTACTAAAATCCAAGACCTGACCCAAGATTTTGAAAGATATTTAAAGCAATATGATGCACTAAATTCAAAAAAAGATTTCCTTTTGACAAATGCAGTAGCAATAAAGCTGCCAGCATCGCAGATAATTATGCCTTTCTGAAATTCAAATTTGCATGCTTAAGAAATATCTTGACTTAAACAACTAAATCAATTACATAATAATCATAATTACATACAGATCAACAGCTAATATACAAACTAAGAAATAAATGTTGTTTGTGTGAACATGCATCGTTTTATGTAACCGAAAAGAAAAGAAAAAAAGTGGTAAAGTGTAATATTATGTAAAAGTCATTGATTTGTTCTTTTGTGATTTATTTATTTCTGTGACAGTTAATATTGATCTAAATACAGACACTCTGTGTGTGGCTCAGAGAGGATTTACATTCCTATCACCTGCACTTCATGACAGGCATAAACCTAACTTCTAAACTGTTTTGTCAGGGTCCTCTGTCAAATGCATGATCAGTATGTCTTTTCAGTTTGGCAGGCTAAAGAAAAGTCACTCATAACAATGACTTTCCCTCAAAACTGACCTAAGGTATTGTTTTGATTTTAACCAATAGTAAAAGAGAATAAAATCTTACCATATATCACATGCATGCCATGTGACATTAACAACAGAGCTACAGGTAAAAATATGGAACTATACAGGTAAGTAATCCAAATCACTCCCTGTATCCTGTAACACATATACTTTCACACATCACACATTTCACATACACAAAAAAAAAAAAAAACAAAAAACGATGTACATGCAGACCAATCAACATGTGTACATACAAATTAAATAAAAATGATATATTAACGACCATATTTCAATTATATCTGTATACATCACACTTCATACAAAAAAGTGACGAAGCAGCAATTGTGATTACCTTTTTCAATTTGATACAAAAAAAATATATGGTAAGTAAATCTATTTATTGAGGCCTTCAGTTCGCAGTCGGTGTTTGAATAGTTCTTTCATAAAGATTACTTTCAGAAGAAGAAGAAGAAGAAGAAGAAGAAGAAGAAGAAGAAGAAGAAGAAGAAGAAGGGCAGAAAAAAACGTGTAAATGGGATCTGAGATAACATCATGCAAAACACAAACTGTACATATCGATATGCTGAGTATGGTTATTCTACTTTACCCCTGAAGGCATTATCAATAAGTAATGGCAGTCTACTGCAGTCATTATCAATCAATATATAATATTCCTTATATCAAGACAGAGTACACGTTTGGATATATCTCACCCTTAAACAATAGTCGTGTAGTCTGAAAGGTATGTGTGTTTGCTTGTTGGTGTATTTTTACGATGGACGTCGTGGCAATTTCCAGTTTCAGCAACAAAACAGTGTCGATCCACAACTTAATCGAGTGATACCCAAACCTCTTTATTTCAAACGTCCAGAAGACTCCGGTGATCGGTGTGGCTAATAAGCAAAATGGAAAATTCTAGGCATTATTATTATTTCATATCTATTTAACTAAATTAGAACTCTTGACTAAAATGTTTTTTTATGATAGGCGTAATCTCATACTTTTGAAACTATACAGTCAATAACACCAGTTTACTTTTCAAATGTAGAATAAAGTTTAAAATTTTGTACGGATATTTTTACAAGCCTTCGTTTTCATGTTTAGACATCAAAGAGTAACTTCCCTTGCGTCATCCTTCATCGAATTATCAATCATGGCAGATCCAAAATATGCAAATTTACCTGGGATTGTAAGTGCATTAAGATTGTATTATGTTTCTTTCATTTGTACACTTCACATATAAATGACTGAGTATTCGTAAAATATAAGATTAGGAAAAGAAGCGCCTCTAATGGTATGGCGACGAGGGCGTTGTCAAAGCTGTCAAATCGATCGTCTCAATCTGCCAGTTCGATCATCTGATCATGATGGTTTGACCGTCGCCAATTTGTTCGGCATTAAATGACAGTTATCGAGTGATACACTTCAGAACAAATTTAACATTTTCACGTTATTTTCCATCACATACCTTGTATATAACGTCAATTAATTTCGGAGACAAAATTAATTGAACTATTGACTATTTATTTCATTCGGTGATATGAGGTACATCATAATGAACGGGTTTGGTGAACCCTGTGTATAGGTATAGTGGTCCTGCGTTTGAGTTACAGTTACCGTATTAAGTACTAAATTTGCTACTCAAATGGAGAATATTTTGATATATAGTTCTTTTGTAACATTTGCACAGTAATATTTTGGAAATCGATTCATTATTTTCATACCTCAATATATTTTACCTCTCTGCTTAAACTTAATTCGTTGGAAGGTTCTAAGGCAACACAAATTAGAAATGCAGCCTTTTCCTTTAGTAGACTGAGCTATACATAAGTTACAAAATGTGAGCAATAAAACTGCGGAAACTTTCTTTGGGCTATTTTGACTATGCCCAAAAACAAATTAAACTTAAAAATAAAATAAAGAAATTCAGAAAGAAAAGAAAAAGATAACTTGCTGAAAGCTATAAATTATTGCATAGATAGAAATGTTTAACCAACGTTCATAATCATCAATTTAGGTGAATGATGATATCAATACAGAGAACCAATTTATTTTTTACATAAATATATATATGAATCAGTAAAATTGATGGAATTGTTAATGTTATCTTTTTTTCAGGATTTAAACTCTCCTGATGTGTTTGAGACAAGTGATCTTCCTGAAGATGACCAAGCTTTAAAGTCGGAGCCAGTGGTAAACAGTTAAAAAAGATTCAGTTTAACAATCAGAGTGTCACAGTGTCAAATTATCTTGTTACTTTTTACTGACATTTTATTTATGTGAATAGAGTACCCACTAACTGCATACACACAGGAAAAGTATAAAAAGTATGTGTGTTATGCTACTCAATTTAGATTTTTGAAGTCATTCCTGTTTCTTGCCATTATAGATATATTATTACAGCTTGTCATAAATAATTGTTGTCATCATATATATTGATATACAATGTGTGCATAGTAAAATTGAAAGCGTTTTCTTTTAATTTTCAAGAAATATATAAATCTGATGCAAAAATTCAATAATTCTGTGCCTCGCATCATTGTTTGTACCAGAATCTATATGTAATGTACATATATAGACGTATATTTCTGTGCAAAATTCAGGTACAAGAAGAAGTTCCAAATGAAAACATTGACAAGGTCACTTTGGACACCAAGGGAGCTCTGACAAAATTCAAAGGAAAGGATCTACAGGCTGATTCTGTTGGTATGTTTCAAGTATCAACAATTAATTTCTTTATTTTTGTAAACAATTTACTTTAATGATAATGACTGATTTGTCAAAAAATTACACAGCAATCCTTTGCACAATATTTATGTTTTGAATCCAAGTATTTCAATCAATTTACTCTCTTTGTTCATATTTTACTAATCACAATATAGTTTTTTTTTATTGATAATAGAATCAAAGACACTGTATGTGCTGCATTGCAGATGATACAAACTGACCAGTCTGAAAAATTACTGTAGAATCATCAAAACATATGATAATATGAGGATAATGTTTTGATTCCTTGTTTTCTAAATAATGCATCAAAATATCACATGATATTCATGTTAAAAAGATTGTCTCATTTTACTTATGTTTACAGATTTTTCTGACAAAATAGGAGGACATTTCCGTACTGGATATGATGCCTCCAAAACTGAATATGAAATGGTAAAATTTTCTGGGTCTTCCTATCCATATTTAACTTCATATGTTTATACATTACATGGGGAAACACACAGGTTAGTTCAGTATGTCAGTTTAACCATTTAACAAACGTTTTTTTTAATCCTTTATTTTTTAAATAACATTTCTTCATATCATTTTGTAATAAGTATTCACATTAGATTGATGTACTTGTAAAAATGTCATCAGTTTTCACAGTTTTTTAAAAGTTTAGTTACTTTTGAAGTTATCCAAATTTGAACATTAAGACAGTTATGATGTAGCAACACTAGGTTTTTGAGTGATATTACTGACTGTATTTTTAATTTGGTTTTTGTGCAGTTGGAGGAGGGAGCAGGTAAAATCGAGTCACCACAGCAGAAATTCCAGCGTCTGCAGCATGAAATTAGAGAATTGTCTGAAGAGGTTCGCAGAATCCAGGTACATGTTAGATATTTATGATTCTAGAAAAAAAACAAGTAGTTCAAGGTAAATTAAGTAATTCAAATTTTTCCTTTAGACTATCCTTGTAGGAATCTAATTGTGCTTCAGGCATTTTTTTACTATCTCTGCTTCCTGTGAATGCTTAAAACAATGTTTACACTAGCTTGCAGGAGAATTGTAATGCTTTATAATGAAATTAAAAGTAAGCTCTCTAGGCAATGATTTCTGTTGACCTTTGACACTTTAGCTATTTCAGGAGTCAAATGACAATTTTCTTGAAGCATGAAGAAGCATTTGGAGCAAAAGAGGCAAAACTAATTTTGTGATTTTAGGAAATCATTCTCTCAAGAGTTTTGGATATTCTGCTATGAGCATGAACTCAGGTCTATAGCTTAATATTTACAGGACAATGTGAAGCAGGAGTCAACCACAGAGAAGATGACACCAGTCTCCCTTGGTAAACAATTAGAGTATCTACAACATCAGCTTAACGACCTTCATCTTGAGAAAGTTCTTGGCCCAGAAGCTGGCATCAATCTTGCTGACCCCCAGGGTGCTCTACAGAAGTAGGTTTTCTGTATCAATTTCTTTGTTTTCAAAGTCTTAAGCAGACTTGATACGTTCTGGTATCAGTTACAAGTCAGTGTTTTTCTTGATTTTAAGTTCTCCATGTTAGCACTGTTGAAATTCAGACCTATTTCACTGTCTGGATTGCCACAATCTTGAAAATCTCACTATTGCTACTCCTCCTAAACAGATAGCTGTATTGATACAGGACTTCCACTGGTAAATTGTACATAGCTCACAGTTGGTTCTAAATAAAATGTGGGCCTATGTCACGTGTAAGGTGGCTGCCATAGCTGCCATTTTGAAGATCTTATCACTCCTGAAGGTAAAATTATATTGAGACAGAATTTACATTGAAATGAAATTCAGACTCCTATAGCATTTATAGTAGCAACCATTGCCTCAGTCTTAAAATTTTGGTTTGGGCACTCTTCATCATTAAAAAGTCATATGGAGACAGGATTTCCACCAATAAGTTTGGTATCCTTAAAAGTTAATCTGGGAGAATTTTGGATCTGTGCCATATTTGATATTGAAATATGATATACCTAGTGTACTGCTAAATATGTATAATATCATACTTCTTTGTTTTAAGTTGATAAAGCTGTAGTAGACTGATTGGGTAACACTTGTTTACAGGAGACTGATGACCCAGTTGGATTCCTTCCAGTGTGGAGGGACAGACACAAAAGGGAAAACTCCAACTAAAGGGAAAGAGGCTGGCGCATCGGACTGTGTCACATATGAGTTGTACTACAGACCAGAACAAGCTCAGTTCAGTAAAAATGCCAGGGTAGGTTTTCTGTCTGAAGATAGAAACAATGGTTGGGGGGGGATGGCATCTTGTTCTGATTTATTACCTTATCAACAGATTTCATCATAGGAATAAGGTCACCACTTTATTGTATGACGATAATCATTAGTCATTGTTAAGGTCAGCAGAAAAGTTATATGCATCAGATTAGGGATATGCATGTCTTACAGGTATGTTCTAGTTTGTCAGTTTGCTATTTCTGTCCTTCACGATTTTGTTGAAGAGTGTCAACTTCTTTATAACTGAGACATTCTCTCTATCTGACATGGTCTGAGGCAACCCAAATTTGTATGCAAGTACCTCTTGTGTTTAAAACTCAAGATTATTAGTACTTGGATAATTAAACATGTTATGATTTGAGGTGGGTGAGCTGCAGATTGATCCAGTTTTTATCTGTTCTTTGTTACAGCTTGCCAGTCTAGAAGAGAGACTTGAAAGGTTAGAAGCCGCAATAGGACAGAACCAAGACAAATTGGTAAGTAATGCATACTTTTTCAGAAAAAAAAAATCTGTGATAATCAAGCATGTGACCTAAGTAATTGAAAAATAGTGAATGTGAAGGGAAAAAAGAAAACAAGAAGAGATTAATTTAGGATATGAAATATATCTAGAAACTATATATAGATGGGTTAAATTCTATGTACCCTGATAGCTTGGTATTACAGTGGGTGTTACTCTAGATCTCATAGCTTTAGCTTGACATCATCATCTTGTATTTTTATTTTTTCACAGAGTGTTTTAACAGCTGACACTGCAAACAAAAGTCTGGTGGTAAGTTCTACAATAATGTGGTTATATTGGTTTTTGACATTTTAATTCTTTAACAGTTAAGATGATTTTGAAGTATCATTAGTTACAACTGACAACATCTCATATACAGGAGGTATTTGCTTTTAACCTCAAAAGTGTATACGTTGAATTAAAAAGGGTCCCATTCACTGTATTGTAAGGAAATTTGTTGTCATGGGGTCTCTTATAAGTTTCAACTTGCTGAAATTCCCTTCAATGAGGGGGTGGAACTAGATGAACTTTGTCTTGTTTTGCTGTGATCAACTTCTGGTGGAATTGTTTGTGAGTGTTTTATGCATGTTACAGGGCGCTGTTGCTGTAGTGAACTCAAAGCTCTCCTTACTAGAACAAGCCAACCTAGACCAGGTGGAGACTCGACTTCAAGGAGTTCTTCACAAACTCAAAGAGATTGCTGAGAAAAAGTCAACAGTACAGGATGATCCTGAGAAACTGAACAAGGTAAAATTATACCTGATAAATGCAAACTCTGATAATTTTGATCATCTTTTAGATTGAAGTGTTGTCCCTTTGTCAATTAGAAGTTTCATGAAGTAGAAGCCAATTTTACAAAAGGAGTATAAGTTATGATATAAATCTTGGACATCCAAGAACATATCAGTTATATTGTCATTCTCCTGGTTCATTCTCTTGGTAGAAGAGTTTTTCATACTTACTCAGATATAAAAGGTTCAGAATGACTTCAGTGATCAAATGCTGTTATTAAGTTTATTATGTTTGGGGATTAGAAAGATATTACCTTGAAAGTTTTATTTCAACAGATTGCAGAGCTGTATGACCTGGTTAAGAAATGGAACAGTGTATCAGAAACATTACCTCAAGTGGTGGACCGCCTGGCCGCACTTAAGGAACTACATGAACAAGGTTGACAGTATCTTGTTTACACTCCTTCCATTTATCAGTAGGATATCAGAAGCCACACCAGCTTTGGTTTCAAACTTAATAGTAGTCACTCCAGATTGTTGCTCTACAGTAGTCACTCCAGATTGTTGCTCTACTTATATGAGACATGCTAGATTTTTACTCTTTGCAGTATATTGTGACCCCATGTGGTTACACAAAAATATCATACCCTGTGGTCGTACTAGATTGCCACACCATGTGGTCACACTACATTGGCGAGCCATGTGGTCACACTAGTTTGTCACAACTTGTGGTAACACTAGATTGTAACACCATTTGGTTGCACTAGATTGTCACAACTTGTAGTCACATTAGATTCTCACACCTTATGGTCACACTAGTTTGTCACAACTTGTGGTAACACTAGATTGTAACACCATTTGGTTGCACTAGATTGTCACATCGTGTGGTAACACTAGATTGTCACATCGTGTGGTAACACTAGATTGTCACATCGTGTGGTCACATTAGATTGTCACAACATGTGGACATTCTAGATTGTAACACCATTTGGTAACACTAGATTGTCACATCGTGTGGTAACACTAGATTGTCACATCGTGAGGTTACACTAGATTGTCACATCGTGTGGTAACACTAGATTGTCACATCGTGTGGTAACACTAGATTGTCACATCGTGTGGTAACACTAGATTGTCACACCTTATGGTCACACTAGTTTGTCACAACTTGTGGTCACATTAGATTGTCACACCATGTGGACATTCTAGATTGTAACACCATTTGGTTGCACTAGATTGTCACATCATGTTGTCACACTTACATGCCAAATCATGTGGTAACACTAGATTGTCACACCATTTGATCACTATAGGTTTTTATTTTACTCCTAAAACCCAAAAAGACTGATAACATGTTTTATATTATTTGTTTTTCATTACAGCATTACAATTTAGTCAATCCCTGACCTACTTAGACACTGCACAGCAGGAAATTGCTACCAGTCTAAATTCCCATGGAGATATGTTGAAACAAGTAAGTATTTGGGTTAAAATTTAGGAATTATCGTATTGCCCATTTTGAATATACTTTTATTATGATATTGAAATTGCATATACAAAATAAATTTTAAAAGATAAAACACACACCAAAAACTTTAAAATACAGTAACTCCTTTGTAACAGCATCCAAGATTATCTTGGTATTAATTAAAAGTTCCTTAGAAAGTTTATATCAAACTTTGAAAATGGAATCCTTCACAGCTTTTGATTAAATGATCCAATGTATAGGAGTGGTTTATTTTCATGGTAAAACATATTTTTTTTTTTTCCAATTTCTGATATGAATATTTTTCTTATGAAATTTGAAGTTCAACCGATGGATTATATATTATGTATTACAATTATGTTACTTTTCTTTATTTTTCAGCTTCAAGGTACCTTCAAACAAAATATGGATGTGATCAAGGCTAATTGCGCAAGTCTTGATTCAAGAATAAAAACCCTACAAAAGTGAGGACCCCAATATATATATTAGACTTTAACAATATATTGCCAATTAAAAATTGGAATGCTTCTCCAAATACTGCAATTCTAAGCCACTAGACTTTTATAAACATACACTGCCTCTCTAGACTGGCTTAAGGATTTAAACCAGGACAGTCACCATAAGGTGTTCAGGCAGAATCCAAATACTTAGAGTTTCAAATGCAAGACTTTAACTTAAGACTCTTCTGCAAAAGCTACAACAGAATACTGTGAGATTAAAAAGCAGAACATGTGGCCAAGTTGAATTACTTGATTAGAACATTTGAAACAAAATCGGGCCATACTGGAGTGCTAGAAATTGTTTTATCTGTAACAATGCAATTTTCATCACAGCAAACTTCTGGTTACAGGATTGCATTAATACTATACAATGCAAAATCACTAGAATTTTTTTGTCTGCTTATATTCCATACCTGTATTGTGATACTTGTTTTCTTCAATTTATTTTTGCTTATTAGAAATCTAATAATATATAATTAAATACACAATTTTCAAACCTGTTTTGAAAAAAGGGCAAACCAGTGGTTCAGACTTTGAATTCTGTGTACACTAAAAACGTCATTCTGGACTTTCTGGTCACTGAATGTAAAAACTTTTGTCTGGAAATATTATTTCCTCAGATTAAAACTTGTTTTTTTCCTCTGAAAGGAAATAAAACTGGCGGTTGTAAAAATTGAAGATCTTGAACAAACCCTAGAATTTAAATTACTAATGATACACTTGTTGTACTTAAATGGTGAAGATGAAATTTGCCATGTTAATATGATGTTGCTTGTATCATTATCTGTAACTGAATCTTGTTAAACTTTTGATCTTTGTCCTTGAAACCCTCGTTTTACTGCCAGTAGTGCTGAATGAACTTGTTCGCTAATCAGGATATTCATGTATTTCAAACAAAATCAAAACATGGATGATTGTCAGCGAGACTAATTTTAATCATAGACAAAAACACACAATCTTAGTCACCCAAACAATTAAACAAACACTTGGTATGTTGTCAATACAAATCAAATGTATTCATCAAGCAGCATTTTCGTATAGTGTGAATAATTAATGTTTGAAGACAAAATGTCCATCGCTATGATGAAATTTTACTGCATGCTGTGTACACTAATAAGTAATTTCCCTGATAACTATAGAGGTCAAATTTACCTAAAACATTTACCTTAACTAAGAGACCAGAAGAAATGAGTTCCTTTACTACTTTCACATTGCATGTATGTTACTATTGGTGTGAACTCTAGATGTAATGTAAGAGTTTTATGTATCAAGGTGTTACTGAACTATATCATACAAAAATGGGTGGAAAACAGCGATTTTACAAATGCTTTCATTTGTAAATTATTGATGTATGTCCAATTGTTTCAGAGAAAATCCTATAATACTTAAATTGCTTCAAATCTTAAGTGTACAAAATACATTTTGTTTTTTTTTTTTCACTTAATGCTTGGATTTCGTTGTGTGATACATTACAACTAGCATGAAAGTCATCTATTCATCTATATAGTCCCACATTTAGGCTTTAACTTGTCGACTGGAATGGTGAAGGATGAATTTTTTTATTTTGTTTCGTTATGGAGAGGAGATTTTTCACTGTTTCAAATCTAAAACCACAAACTGTATAATGTGAGTATTGCTTTTGGACAGAAATCTCATGCCTTGGACATCAACATGGTAGGGAATGTCATTATAAATAGGACTTTTAAATAATGATGACAACATATTTCTGGATCTCCGTGATTCAGAATTGATGTAACCATTTCGTTTTTGTTTCTGTAAAAAGACTTGATCAAAGGTAGGAACCAGAATATCATAATAGGGTGTCATTGTACATGGAGCTTACATAGTCCACAAACAGCCCTTGGGTAATCTAGATATTGATTATCAATATTTATTGTCATTGAATCTGAAATAAAATTTTATGGTCTTTACCATGCACCTCATCGTGTAAGTTTTCTGTTTCAAATTAGCCAGAAACTTGTGCTATTCCAGTAAAACATCTACCCCAGCTGAGGACTCCAGGTGTTCTGGGGTATCACCTATTGATTATAACTGATTGTTCAGAAGTAATAGAAAACTAAACCCTGGAGAGAAGTGATTTATGTCAGAGTCCTCGGCTAAAATAGATAGTTTACTGAAATAGCTCTTGCATGTAAAGTTTTTGTTTTGTGAAATGTCTATATTTCCTTTCCTTTTCTTGTTCAAGACTTCATGAAGCTTGATTTATAGGTGTAATACTTACTATTTGACCTTGCTAGTGTTATTGATTTCAACTGCCTTATTTCCAGAGAAATTGCCCTTTTCATCATAATTTGGCCCAAACTATTCTGTAAAATTTTCAGATTTTGTTGAAAATCAAAAGCTGTTTATCGCCAAATGAACAGGGCTATCTCATGGTGGGATCTCTGTTTACCTCGCTTAATAGTAAAGAGAGGCCTGGTGCATGCCATTCTGAGTAATTATGATAAAGACTCTTGCACAAGGACACAACCACAGTGGCACAGATGGGTTCTTAATGATCCTTTTTCATTAATACACCTGCCTAAATAGTTAAAGAGCCTTGCTGCAGTACATCACCATTTTCTGTCCCGCTGATGATTTTTTTTTTCATTTAATCAACTTCTCAATAAGCAAAAGGCAGAGTCAAGATATAGGTCAGTACAACATGCTGGGAATTTGTCACCTCTATCCAAATTTAAGGAAACATTTTAAGATTTTTAAATGACTTCTTCTGAGTAACAGAAGAAATAAAGGACCCGATACAGGTCTTTAGCATGTTAGAATTAATTGACTTGAGAAATTTAACGTCACAGAGATCAAATGTAATTAAAACTTAAGATAACTCCTAAGGAATAGCTAAATGGCCTAGTCAAGAAAATTGAACAGTATAACATACGCAAAAGGGGTTAAATTTTCAAACAACTGCAGAATAATGAAACAGTCCAGAGTCTTTAATATTTGGTCATTGTTATACTTGAATGGGAAGGTACAAAGTATGGTTGTGTTTCATTCTTCTCGTCATAAGCTGCAGAATAGATGACAAATACACTCCCATTCGACATCTTGTATTATTATAAACATGGCATCAACAACTATACAAATCTCCTTGCAGTTCCACCTCAACTTAAATGCAATAAAAAGATGTGTGAAGCTTGATTAAAAAATCTCCAGGAATGTCACCACTAGAATGCTGACAATGACTTTCAAAGAATAGTAATGGTGACCTTGACCCTAGAACCCTGACATTTGAAGAACCCATCCAAGATAAAATGGCTTTTAAGAAATGAAGCTGCTGGAGTGCTCACAGGGATTTTGTGAAAACAGTAGTTAGCCTTGACCCCAGAGCCCTGAAATTGGGACTTGTTAAAAGATATAATGGTCCTTTATAGGAATGTGAAGTTTGATCAGAATCCTGCCAGGAATGTTGCCACTGGAGTACTGACAAGGATTTTATAAAACAAATGTGACCTTCATCTTACAATACTGAAACTGGAACTAGTCCAAGATATATTGGTCCTTTATGAATGTACCAAGTTTAATCAGATCACCTCAAGGATTGAAGCCACTGGAGTGCTGACAGGGATATGTGCTGCAATACATGTTGCATTTGGAAACAGCCCAATATCCCCTCCCACACAACTGTTGCAAGAGGAGATAAAAGCTTTGTAAGCTAGCAATTTTATTACTTCCATATGATTCCTCTACAATTGATGCATTTACCATTGCTGGAAAGTTTTCACTAGTTCAACCCTTGAAATGTCAAAGTTTGATGTCATATATTCTTGATCCAGGTAATATTTTCTGCAAACTTCTTTTGTGTCACAATCAAGCTCCTGCCCAAATATCATTAAAAAATCCTGTTTGTATCAGATAAGCTACAGCAGTTATTTGCTCTTTCAAAACAAGAAATATGCTCCACATCAAAGCCTTTACAATATACTGTGATCTCGAGGATCAAACTAGTTTTTTGTCTTGTCCACAAGGTGTCACATATGGAACATTCAGTTTTATCATGACACGTTTGAGGGGTGCATAGAGCAAAAGTGATCATAACCCCTGGAGTATCGAGGATGGGCGAGTTCAACTTTCTTGAAATAACAGAGCAGACCAAATATCACATAAGAAAGTAGGCTGTATGAAACTTGAGATAGCCTAGATATCATTGTTCCAGAATTCACAATGGTTTTCCAAGAATACATCATTACCTGAACAAAACATTGACACCAAACTAGACAGGCATTTTTGTAAAACTGATCGATATTGAAAGTTCACACTAAATCAGAAAAGACGCAACTGATGATTTTAAAAATGTTTTATTTCAATATCCTCGACATTTCCAGAATTCAGTAATCTAAGGTAATAAAATTTCTTTGTTTAAAAACAGGAAGTTTTAAAACCACTACATTAACATATTGAAGGTTAAGAGACCACAAGATGACTTGTATTGACCTCACTCTTAACACATTTAAGCACCATATATATTGGGATAGCATTATACAACACTACATAAACTCTGGCAGCTGTACTTTCATACTGTATCCAGGCTTTCTCTAGTGTAGTATGATGCTATACACTGATATAATGATATATAATGATCGTACACTGCAACTAGGCTCCACAATCAGTTTCACATCTTTGGTGTTTTTTTTCTAACATGTCTGCCACTTTTTTCTAAGCACAATGAAACCTTGATCATATTCCTGGACATTTTACGTTAATATCTCAAATTACAAATTTCCATTATATTTGAATATTAAATGAAAGTGTGTGGAAACTGAAAATGTCCAGATTATCTGCATCAATGAGATTCTTCAGTAGAGTCAGTGGCGTAAAAAGGATAAAAAAACAATGTGAAACAGATCGTTAAACAAATCGTTTAACTGCTGTGATAGTATTGATTCTCAAAAAGTAAAGGTGTCTTCAAATGGTGAATACAAATCCTTTTGACTTTATTGGGAAAAAGTAGGGTTCCATGTAGTTCTGGTCTGAATATGTTAACATGTATATGAGTCCTCTGAAATATATATATTTTCCAGGTTTTAAAACATTGTCTCTGAGTGTTATCAAGAGCTTTCACAATTATGGCTTTGGTCAACACATAGAAGAAAATAAAGAAAATCCAGCAATGCAATAGAAACTTGTTATTCAAAATGATTAGGTTCAAATCAGAAATATTTTTAGAGAAAGCATTAGATTTTAATCTACAAAACAAAAATGAACTGTATGTACATCTTCAACAGACTCCTAGAAGGGACCTAGCTATTCAACTTACAAGGAAATAATGACCACACCTTTCAATAATACATTAAGGAAAAGAAATTATCCTTTTAATAATCTTGATTAAAAAACTTTGGTAATGCCTTTCTGATCTTATTCCAAAAAGAAATTTTAAACACTTCCTCATGTGAACACATATAACTGATCCATATTTCCTATTTTTCATTTTAATTTGCATGAAAGATTTTCTCTTTATGGTACATATGATCATCTGATTGAAATTTGTTTCAATACCTGCAAATTTCTAGACTAAAATTGTGAGGAATTCAGGTCAGCAAACACTGACAATATTACAAAGCAGTGCTCTCAGGCTAAAAAAGTTACCCAATATCACAGGAATACCAGCGTCCACTTAATTTTCCTTAAAAATATCTGGTATTCAGGTTTTTGTAATGCATGTTGCCATTAGGATCAACAAGACTCAATAACAAGAGCTTGTAGAGACATCTCAAATCTTTTGTAACAATCTTTTTTTTTCAATAACACATGAAAAGCTTTTCAAATAGTTTCAGAACAGAATTATGATTCAATCAAGGAGATACTAAGAGGAAATACACTTCTTGTAATTGTTACAAAATTTTATACTGAAAAGTTTGACTGCCAAAATAGATACACTCAGTGGTCTTATTCATTCACAGTTTCTACAAAAGGAGTGAAAACAAAAGACTTCTTTGAAATCTGCACAAATTACAAAAAAACAAAAGAAGAAAAAATGAAAATAACACCAGTCCCTACAGTAAAAACAAGATAAAAACCATGTTCCTTGGACTGCACTGATATCTACCTAACACATACTTGTTACAGTCAGAGATCAACCTTAGCTTGCCCATCATTAGCTCATCATATGACAAACAATTAAAACATTTAACAATCAAAATGGACTAGTAAGTTGCATTGAATTTTCAAAAGTGAAATAAGAAGAAAGGTTGTTTTGGTCATATAATCCTTAATAATGTTTCATCTTCTTAAATTTGATAATATCTGATCTGTAGGCACACCAACGTGAACATTCATTGCTAATCACTGTATTGAGAACAAGCTCTTTGGTCTGACCACATGTATCACAATATGAAATAACAAACATGTTATGGGGTATACAAATAATATTTGATGATTATACCAGTAAAATCTTTATTTTTTCAATGTCCTCCAACAGTAGCTTGCAACATAATTTTGCTTTTTTGGTTATTAAATAACCTCAAAACATACAGAGACCATTTTTATTATCGATGGGGTATTTATCATTTCTCGCTATTCTCAATGATTTAACCAAACTATGATAAATGAAATACATTGAAAATAGAATTTATAAAGGAAACAACAGTCCATTTCATGACTGTCTTGAAAAGTGCATCCATTTTGCACCAAGCTTTGGATAACACCAAGAATGTTTGTACCACTGATCCAAAAACATGTTGATTTGTCAGTGATCATTATTGGTTCTACTTACTAAAATAACTGTTTTCTCAGCTTCTTGAAATTACAGATCAATTTAAGGAGGGGACTCATTTTCAAAAGATGTTAAAAAATACAGAATTTAAAAAAAAAGAATTCATTTAAAGTATGACATATCAAAAGCATGTTTCTCGTTCTGATAACTTCTAAGGTGATGTTGCGAAAATATCACAATCGAAAATATCTGATGCACACAAACAGCTGGCAGTCCAAGAGATTCAGGAGAAAAAGTCCTAAAAAGAAATTTGCGTAATTGAAAAATAAATATAGCTTTACTTAGGATATCTCTGGTGTGAAAAGTGTAAGTTTTGGTAGGCACTGTATTGATCACATGTAGGCCTGTCATGTTACACATAACTAAATACACACACTCAAAGTTCTATTGTTAAATCTATTACATATTCCATTTCTCTTGAAAACTAGTTCACAAATATGTATTTTTGTATAATTGGTTATTATCAGTGCTATTTTCTATGCAAATATTCTAGTAAAAGAACATTTCAGAAGACATATGTGTAACTTATCTACAAAGTACCAGGTAATGTAAAACAAAATACACGAACAGGCTGTAATGGTAAGTAAAAGGCAAACAAATCTAGAATATTGACAGAAAAAATCTTAAGTGTGCATCGTATGAGAAAAGCTCAAACAAAACATGTGTACCATTAAACGTATCTGCTGCAATCTATTCATCAAATAATACTTGCAAAAGACATTGATACTGAATCAGTTTGTTTTGTACACATAGGTATTGTTTAAATAGAATATACCAGGGCTGTACAATTTGAACATTCTTACAACAATGGGTTACATGTCAGAGCTTGCGGGTTTTTAAGAAGTAGAGAATGTTTTCCAAATCTTCTTGTATGGTTCTCTGATGATATCACATGAAATGATAACCAGTTTAATGTGGCCTGTGACAGGCAGTAGCATGCTTGATGAAAAGGAATAATTAGGTGGTTTTTGGTATCTTTGGGTAGAATATGATAACTCCATGGGTGATTTTGCTAAATCTAGACTTCCTTCCCGTCCAGATATTCAAATGATGAAAACAAGATCACAAGCTACACATGATTCATAATAAAACATGGCATCAGTATTCCAGTTGGAAAAAAAAAAGAAAAAAAAGCTGTACATATATACACTTATTTTTCATAAAAACTGTCAAGAGCATACAGACATCACAGATTTCAGGTAATCCTCTTTTAATGACTTAACGGTATACCCACCTCATATATTCTTATATACACACATTTATACACATCTCCTGTACAAACTGGAGAGAAAAACTGAATAAGCAATGAAAAAAATACATGGTATAAACATTGTAATAACATGCATCAAAAGAATTTTCAAATGAAACCAATTTGAATTCATGCCGTTTTAAAAAACTAAGGTTGAAAATGTTTTCACAATAAGACAAAGGGAGATAATGGAGAGATGACACATGCATTTCTCCAATTATCATGTGTTATGTATGAAACCTCTTTGTTCACTGTGATATCAGCTGAAGGTCTGCAATATAGGACCATCTGGAGACAACATGAGACAATGGTATCAGTTTGGTTGGTAGAACATTGATGTAAACTAATTTGGGAATGAAACATTTGTAAACACATATTAAGTATACAAGTACATATTAATTTCTTGTATTCTCAATTAATTTGAATATTGTTCAGAAATTTACATTATTTGTCAATGTATTTCATAGTAATTTTTTAAAGCAAATTGTAGAGGTAAGGAAGAAGAGACAATCACTACCTATCAAGGATATTGAAATTCTGAACATGAATGCAGACACAAATGTTTAACACTTATTGGAATTACCCATACACCTACCTCTTAAGAGAGTAATAGAATTGTTCAACCCCTTGAATGTTACAAAGAGGATGTCAACTCATGGGGAAAAATTAAATTAGTTAACACAAGGCTTACTATTATCCGTTTCCTCAGGGTTGAGATCACCCTGTCCCACCAACAAATTCAGCCCTGCTGGCTTTATTAGTTTTGTGTTTTTGTAACGTCAGTGCTTCCTACTTTGTTGAAAAATCAGGTTGTCTTTCAAATAGATTTCAATAATTCTCATTCTAATAATAAAAGAAAACTTTTGTAATGGGATCATAGCTTTCTAGGGAATTGAATCCATGTTGTATAAATTTCTAGTAGAAATTACATTCATATCCACACACACATTCTCTTAACCTCACCCTTTTAGGAAACAGCTGAATAAATAGAAATACACAACTCCTGATTCCAAGGAAAAGGATTTCGATATATAATTGTAGACTATAAAATCATATATTTTTGTGGGGTTCAATTTTCATGGTTCCTCAACAAATTTTTTTCCGAAGACACTTGATTTCATAAATATAGCCCAATACATATACCTATACTTATTTAAACATTTATTATAAATTGATGGATTTGGATAAAATCAACAAAATGAAATCCCCTGCAGAAATAAACGACTTTACATTACATGTATAATGAATTGATGTATTAACTGTAGTTCATAGTACAGTGCCAACTCGAAGGACGAGATCAAATTATCTATAAATAACATTGTTTTCAACTTTTCTATTAAACATTGAATTCTTATGTAAAACAGATAATAGTTGTTGATAAAGTTCCATAAATTTCTGCATAGGCAGAGACCTACATGTACTAATAAAGATAGAAACATCAGAGAAAGACCATTGTGTAAAATTTACTCTCGACTATAATAGCAAGTTTCTGATATTATTGCTACGAATAGAAAAGTAATGCTGGGAACCTAAGTCTACTACACTAACTATTCATTGTCAAAATGTGTCATAAATGCATATGTTCTCAATTTTAGGATTGGGGCCATACATGAGTGTTACTTGATTATTTGTTTTTCATAAAACTTTCCATTTCTACAATGTACTGCCAAATATCAGATCAAATAAATTATTTTAATATAAAGCAGAAATGAATTCAGAAATTCAAATGATATTTGCACATCACAAATCAGACATTTTTCTTTACTCATCTTCTATGGCCTTTATACCATGTTTTGTATGTGCAAGACTTCTGAACTCCTCACATGCTTTATAAGAACTAGACTAAAGAATTTTTCGCCAATAACGTAAAGTACTTAATAAGGAACAAGTACAGTTTCAGGAAGGAAGTTTCTGAACAAAAACATTTTACTGTCAAATATTAAAATAATGTAATATATAATTGCTTTTATTTTTTATAGTTTACGTCCCAAAACTATACATAGAATTTCTAAGGCTGCCTCAAAGACATCAATTTTTCCACTGTGAATATCTCTTCCACATTTCACTATTTTGCTCCCTTGGCATTATGAACACTACATGGTTCAATATGTCTTTTTTCTGTCCCTTAACTATTACTTTCGATCAAATCCTGATCAAAATTTGTTGAATCCAAAAAGTCGGACACCATGGAACTGTGGAAATTTGGGTATAACACTCCAAGCTAATGCAATGGCATTGATTATAAAATGTACTTTATCATACTTTGTGTAGAAACTTGCCAGGAAAAACCTGAAAAAAATAGAGGAGGGAAAATGTTTAACACACAAAGGAATTAACATTTTTCATTACTCCTTGTAATGATATATGTTTATATTGAAATTTTTCTTTCATTGATAAAATTTGAATCTGTGTATGTTTATATGACATTTGGAAGAAAATTTTCCTCGTAGACTACACTTTTTGATGGCATAGTTGACAGCGTGATTCTGTTCATAGCATCAACAACATCAATGTTTTCTAGTTGCTAAGGTACCTCTCTTGAGTATAACTCTGGGAATCTTGGGTAGATTTCAACTAAATTTAGCATGAATTATCACCACAAATCACTGATTTCAAATTTGTGAATTCCGACTTGGTGACCACTTTACCAGATTTAAAGACTAAAATAAATATTTCAGCTGGTTTCTTGATCTTGGAAAAATTGGCAAAAAATAAAGCACAGATGCCCCCTCCTTTTTAACCATGAAAAGCATCATCGAAAATTTCTGTTATCAAAAGTTTAAAGTTTAATGCTAGAAGATGGTCAAATAAAAGATCTGTGATTTTTTAACATTTTCATTTTTTGGTTGCTATGCCGTTTAAAGCTGATCTATCAATTAAACAGACTTTTTGAACTGATATGTGTTCTAATTCTGTAAGATGAAAGGAAATTTATTCAAATATTGTTGTTGATAGAATGACATCAAATCAACTAATATGGAACTAATACAGAACTAAGATGGAAGTGTTTTACATTTGGAGTTGTTGATATATGGAATCATCTTCCTGCACTAGATATAGATGTAGTTACCATTAAGAACATGAACAATTACTGGGTGAGCGCTATAAAGTTATAATCTATTCTGTGTATTAGAACAATAAATTATTTTAATTTTGTGTTGTCAATACCAAATTAATGATATGGAAATCAAGACTTTTCCATAATTTTTGTTATCAAATTACATAATAATTATAGACAATCAAAAATAGAACTTTTTCAACTGACATAACACCCATAAAAATATGTGTACTTATCCAATCATCAGAGGAAAAACTGAAATTCCTTTGAGAGGTGTATCAATACTTACAACACAATAGGAACTATTGTCAGAAACTTTTTCGTGGGCGTGAATTGTCGTCCATAATCAATTTGTTCCCATTGAGTCTGTGTTCTTGCCTGTCCTTGTTCTGGGGTGCCCCATGGGGTGCCTTTTGTGACATGCAAGCAATAAAACATTCCCTGCAAAACAAAAGTAACCATCTTCTAAGAGTTTGTTTTTAAACTTATAACTCTTGAGAAATGTTTATTGATCTGAACAATGCCTTACATCTCTTTTTCTCCATACATATTATGATAGTTAACCCTCGCCTGTGATTCTGTGCAATTTGATCAACATTTTACAGTAAAAACCAATAATTTCATTAAGATTTTATCAGGCAAGTCCAGAGCACCATTTCAAAATACTGCTGTATATTTGAGCAGTGTTTACAATACCTTTGATAAATTGAAATATATTTCTTACCGCATCATGTACAATATTTGTCAGTGTCCATGCTACTGCTACAGAAAAAAATGGCACACTGAGAAGCATAAGATGGAAAAGTAAAATGACCAGCGTGTAAGTGAACCAGATCCCTTTACTATTGAGATAGGAATGGGTGGGGTTCTCTTCACTTGTAGCTGTACCTATGTTCATCTTGGCAGATTCTGAAACAAGAAATATTATAGATTTAGAGAATGTATGTCTCTTACACACTGATGTAAAAGTGTGCCCAACTCTAGTATGAATAAAACTTAATACAACAGAGACACATTGATAAATTGTTTCTGAAGTATTCAAGATGTACCTGTAACAATGTGCAAATATTGATGTTTTAATTAGTGACACTGTTTAACTATATTTTAATTAATTGAATTGTTGCGCTGCATTCGTTGTACTGTTATGTAATACTGTGTTGCGTGCGGCCACTGTTTCGTCTACCTGTACTGTCCTTGTAAGCGTTTGATGTCACGTGTCTTACTTAGTGTTGTCCATATATGGGTATTATTCCTAATATAGGTATTACTTTGTTTTAGGTCAGTGGTCAGTCCGGTTGTCTTTGTCTATGATTGGCGCGGTTTTTTATTAGTCCTTTGTGTGCAGACCTGGAGAGCGGATGTATAGTAGATCTAAACCTGTGTCCGCAAGATTTGAATCTTGGGTCTTGTAATTGGTTCTCCAGATATTTGGTATGTATGATAAAGTCTCAGTCTAGCTGCTCTCGTAATTGGGTGTTGTAAATTATTGATTCATTTTATAATTGAGGGTTCAGATGAAGTAAAGTTAATTAATGTGTGAAACGGTGCTTTTCATAAAGTGACGTAATTGTGATCTCATGTACGTATATATGGATTGAAGTTATTTAAAATAACAGGTGAAATATACCTTTACATGTATTTTACAGATTGATGTAAGATCTACAATTAGTCCACGCACAGACCTTTTTTTTCTGTCTGGCAAACCCCCGACCCATAGTTGGGGTAGGTATTTTAATAGATATTATATGTAGAATACGAGAGCTTGTGTAATTGATAATGTCAGTTATATTATGAGTAATTATGTAATAATGTAAGTTGTAAGCAGTTACCTGTAGACCACAATCTACTTATATATACTAATAAGCATAAAGCTGAGGCCTATTGATATTCCTATTTAGAATAAAGTATTAAGTATGAATGTATTAAATATGTATTTACTGGATGTACATCATGTTATGAATGTAGACAACGTTTCATTATGTAATTGATTGTACTATGTCTTTGTAGGGTTTTAATTGTATTGTGTACAACATAGAATAAATGGAATAAGTCAGCACAGTACACGTCGTTGTTCTTTAAAAACTTGACAACTTTACATACCCTTGTGAATATACAAAGCTCATCACTTTTTTTTAGCAGTTTTGGTCTTATTATCTGCATGTCTCTTCATACATTTCGTAAAATGTTCATAAATGAAAAAAAAAACAAAAAAAACAAACGCAAATAGAAAAAAAAACAAACAAAAAACAAACAGAAAAGAAAAGCTATCAATGTCTGGATGTTGTAACTGTGTATATATAAAGCACTATCAGTTTCATACATATACTCTACCAGTGAATATATGAATTATGTCTTTATGGTATAATGCAATAAGGTTGCATTCGGGTGACCCAGTTGAAATGGTTCAGGTGGTCTGGAATCATGAACACACTTGTACCAGAAGTTGGACATGATATATGTAAAGTTCAAAATACAGTTTCGGAAATTCCTGTCAAGCATAAATCAATTAACTAAAATTAAGATACAATCCAATTTACTCATACTTTATAGCACAATACTCCTGGAAATATGTGAGTGCACAGACCCTATTTTTATGCTAAAACTCTGAAAGCTAATAGTATTCAGCAAACTAGTTTCCAACAGGTATGGCTGGACCCCTTAAATTGCACGTGCCAAAAATTCTACAATCTAGCCTTGGTCTTGATCTGCCCCTGACATTTTTCTTGCAGGTTCAACCAGTCCAACCAATTCAACTGTTTACACGAAAACACTCTTAATGTATTTATGCTGAAATCTCTCTACTACTTCGAGATAATATATAACTCACGCTTTAGTTGAAAGTTTCAGGAATCTGGAGCAGATCAACACCTATATATACATAATTATATATGTCTCTTATGATAATTTATCATGATTGTTATTAATTAATTAATTAAGAAAAATCAAAGAATTTGGTGATCATAAGTGAATAAAGACTCCAACAAAGTAATATAGAATAAAAACTAAGTATATATACATAATTATATATGTCTCTTCTGATAATTTATCATGATTGTTATTAATTAATTAATTAAGAAAAATCAAAGAATTTGGTGATCATAAGTGAATAAAGACTCCAACAAAGTAATATAGAATAAAAACTAAGTATAGATCGTATATATTTCAACAGCTGTATTAGGTATTGTAATGTGACAGCAGGAGTATATTAAAGGTTTGGTACGACATATGTTGACATCAGAGTACTGAACGTCTATAATAGGTATAGCTAGCTGTGGATGTTATTGTGCTGTTTGACTATATGTAACATCTTCATGCGTATATATACAGCTGTTGTAATATGTGATTTATACAATCCGTTAGGTCGCCTGATTAGATTGTCGAACGTTACAAGGCGTCTATCAAAAGTTTTCTCATCGTCTTGAACCTCTACCATCGTTGGAGTAGAGTTGGAGACGAAATCACACAAATTTCAGAAATATCATAGCGTCGTGTTAATTTTAATTGCAATATATAAATGGGTGCCGCTCCGTCATCTTGAAACATACCCCGCTTTCCAATTTTAGAGTTTGTAACAGACAATTATCAATAACTTTAAATTACTACTTTGAAGTATTCTGTCCTCGTCGTTCAAAAGACACTGACGTGACAATTACTGGTGTGCTTGACAGGTGGCCGAAAGGTTGTTCAATCAGTGCTCTGTTGCCACGGCACAGTATATAGATTACAGTAAAATTATCCCAATGAAAGAAACGACAATGGTAAAATGGTGGTCTATGATTGAATATGCACTTCTATGTTATTTGATTTGCCTTCTTTCGTTATTATCTTGACTTACCATGAAAAAATGTTGTGAAGAATATTACTACGTTATTTTCAACTATCCGGAAGTGAATGATATAAAGAACGCATGCGCACTTACAGATGTAAGGGATTTGCTCTAGACTTTATATCAAATCCCGACAATTCCGAAATTTCCACTTCCGTAGTAAACAAACGCGGGAAAGTTTGTTTACTACACGTGCATTGCCTTGCTATGGCCAAGTCTAAACCACGGATGCGAGAGCTACCCCAGTCGACCATCAGACTTCTGGGAAGCACTCAAGTGATCACATCAATTTATAGTGTTGTGAAAGAATTGCTAGAGAATTCAATTGATGCTGAATCAACATCTCTAGATATAAAATTGGTACTTCCTATGATAATCCTTTTATATTTGACAACAATCAAAGTAATCAAAATGGGGTTGTGAGGGCGTATTTTTTTCTAGGCAAGTTTAATGTCGATAGCACGTGTTTCATACGTCTGATATTTTTTAGCATGTAACCAAAAGAGATGCTTGATCTCAATCAAATGCATACTTGACTTGTAAGGCGAGCGAAAGATGAAATATTTTTGTGAGTCTGCAAGACTTAGTCCGAAGGGTTCTGGCAATCTGTGACAAAACTGAAGATAAGAGTCGTGGATAGATATTTAGAACCCATCAGATAATGCATGACTATGCTCCCTGTTGAGAAGGACCAAGGCAAAATACTAAAAGGACAGCTATAGATACACAAGTCTGTGTGTAGGACAGACATAGATGAAAATACAAAAGTTTGTGTAGGACAGACATAGATGAAAATACAAAAGTTTGTGTAGGACAGACATAGATGTACATACAGTCTGTGTGTAGGACAGACATAGATGTTGATGCACATGTCTGTGGAGAGGACAGACATGGATATAGATACATAAGTCTGTGTGTAGGACCGACATAGATGAAAATACGAAAGTCTGTGTAGGACAGACATAGATGTATATACTATCTGTGTGTAGGACAGACATAGATGAAAATACAAAAGTCTGTGTAGGACAGACATAGATGTACATACAATCTGTGTGTAGGACAGACATAGATGAAAATACAAAAGTGTGTAGGACAGACATAGATGTACAAACAGTCTGTGTGTAGGACAGACATAGATGTACATACAGTCTGTGTGTAGGACAGACAGATGAAAATACGAAAGTCTGTGTGTAGGACAGACATAGATGAAAATACAAAAGTCTGTGTGGAACAGACATAGATGTAGATACAGTCTGATTGGAAGACAGACCTAGAGGATAATATGAAAGTCTGTGTGTAGGACAGACAGATGAAAATACAAAAGTCTGTGTGGGACAGGCGTAGATGTAGATACAGTCTGTGTAGGACAGACACAGAGGAAAATATGAGTCTGTGTGTGGGACAGACATTGTTGTAGTGTGTAGGATTGACAGATGTAACTACAGAAGTTTGTACAGGATGGGCATAGATATAGTGTATAGGACAGACATAAATGTAGATACATAAGTCTGTGTGTAGGACAGAATTAGATATAAAATATTCATAAGTCTATGCATAGATTGAAAGTTTGTAAATTAAGGTTGTCTTGTTTTTATTTTTTCAATGATTCAACTCTTTACAGTTTTACCAAAAGCTTGTAACAGAAAGGACATATTTTTCACGGTTGATATGAACAAACTGTTTTTCTTTGTTTAGTTAAATTCTACAATGTACAGTAAATCAAATTTTCACAACAGTAAAAGGAAAATTTTCACAATTTTATTCCATCCTCAAAAATGGTAAAAGAGAACTTTGAAAAAACAAGGGGCCCAGGGGACCTGCATTACTCACCAGGCCAATTCAGCTATTTAGTCATATAACAAAGAATTTCAAATATGACAAATACATTCTGAAAAAAATTTCCGTATTAGGCCCTTGCCTTATGATCAAACAGAAGTCATATTCATTATTCGTAGAAATTGCTTCAGACCGAACTTGCATAATACTCTTGTATGAAAGAAGGATTTTTAAGAGCTTACATATTCCCAATTGAGCCCCACCCCTCCTGCCGGATAGGGCTGGGATCCACTGTTTCAATAGAATTGATGCCCTTTCCCACAAGATTACTTCAGACCAAATTTGGTCAATATTCATTCATTTTTACAGGAGGAGTAGGGTTTCAAATAATTGACTCTATTTCCCCTTTTGGGTCCTACCCTAGGGATTTGATACCTAGAGTCTAGACAGGATTAATTCCCCTTCACACAAGAATGCTTCAGACCAAATCTAGCCAATATCCATTCATTCGGTGCTGGATTACAAAATAACAATAAATAACATGTACAAGAATATTACATAAAATAAATAATCAGACGTTTTATTGATTATGGATCGTTTATCAGAAAGTCTTAATACATAGCAGGCCGGTTTAATAGCGTTTCTCGAAACCCCAGAAGTCGTCGTCGGCACTGTGGAAGAACTCCTCGGCGTTGAAGTTGTCTTCCTCTGTCTGGTCGTTGTAATAAATGGCGTTCTCGTCGTCTGATGGTGTGTCAGTAGGGTCAGTGGCGCCGTGGGTCATGGGCGGGTCATGTTACTGTATAGTTATCGTTAATTGGCTAATCACACGCTGTCACTCACTCACACTCGAGGTGAGGAGACGACCCAAGCTGTTTATAACACTGCTAGGCTAACCGTTATCAAAACACCAATTATCGAAATGAGGACTTGTCATACTGGTAAGCTTACTGTACCATTATGGAGAATAACTGTTGTTATAAACAATTAAGGGAATTCTTGAATGGTACCTGTAAGTTATACACAATGCGACATGCTCTCGGCCATTACGACATTAGCGTACGTGAAATGAAATCGGCAGCTTCAATTTGCATTTTTACCCGCGGACATTACATGGAAGGTGGGTTTTTTCCCCAGATTTTTGTGTCAAAAAAGGGGTGCGGACATTACACAGATGCGGACATTACGTGGGTTTTTACGGTAGTAGGATTTCAAAGAATTAACTCTATTTTCCATATTGGCCCTCACACTACCTGCCCAACGGGGCCTGAGACCTAACCTCTATACAAGATTGATTCCCCTTCATCCAACAATACTTCAGGCCCAATCTGGACAATATCCATTCATTCCTACCAAGAGGAATTGGACTTCAAAGAATTTACTCTTATTTCCCCCATTAGGCTCTGCCCCTCCCACCCCAGGGGCTAAGACTTAGCGTTTATACAAGATTGATTTCCCTTCACCCAAAAATGCTTCAGGTGAAATCTGGCAATATCCATTCATTCCTAAAACAGGAGTAGGATTTTAAAGATTTTTCTCTATTTCCCCTATTGGGCCCCACCCCTCCTGCCCCAGGGAGCTGAGACCTAAAGTTTATACCAGATTGATCTCCTTTCACCAAGGAATGCTTCAGACTTAATTTGGATAATATCCTTTCATTCATACAGGAAGTATGGAATTTTAATGAATTTACTCTATTCCCTATATTGAGCCACATAATTTAAAACTCTGCATTAAAATTATTAGTATTAGTATTTAGGTATTGATACAAATCCTCCTCAAATGACTAAAATTAAAGGTTTTTTGTTGGTAGGAGAATTTTGGTCTGGATAAAATAGAAGTAAGGGACAATGGTAATGGAATACCAAAGGCTGATGTCCCTTTTGTAGCTAAGCGCTACTACACATCTAAACTGTCAACATTCTCTGATCTTGAGAACCTCAGTACATATGGATTCCGAGGAGAGGCCCTGGGTAAGTACTCTTATTTTGAGTAGCTCAGTACCTTCGAAGAGAGGTACTGGGCAATTACTCTTTACATAGGGCTGTTTATTACCTACAGTATTTGAGAAGAGGTGCTGGGTAAGTACTCGGACATTAAGCTGTTCATCATTAAGCAACACAATGGAGAGGTGCTGGGTGAAGAACTTGACGTTGAGCAGCTCAGTATCTGTGGATTCCAAGGATAATGTGACTTTGTGCTGTTCATTATGTATGGATTCTAAGGGGAGGTACTGGGTGAGTATTCGATCATTAAGCTGTTTTGTAACTGTGAATTTGGAGGAGGCACTTAGTGAGTATCCCAACATTTAGCAGCAAAATACCTATGGAAAGATGTGCTGTGTGTACCATAAAATTTAGCAGTTAAGTACCCATGGATTTCAAGCAGATGTGCTGTGTGTACCATAACATTTAGCAATTAAGTACCCATGGATTTCAAGGAGATGTGCTGTGTGAGTACCCTAACATTTAGCAGCTAAGTACCCATGGATTTCAAGGAGATGTGCTGTGTGAGTACTTGAACATCGAGCTGTTTCGTATCTATGGAATCAAAGAAGAGGTGCTGGGTGAGTACTGTGATCTTGAGCAGTTCAGTACCTACAGTATGGATTCTGAGGAGATGTGCTGGGTATATACCTGGTACTCACACCTTGAGCTGTTCATCATCAGTAGCAATTTGGAGGAGAGGTGCTTGGTAAATAACTTGAGCTACAGATTCGTGGAGAGATGTTGGATGATTTGACCTTGACCAGCTCATTATCTGGATTTAAAGGAGAGGCATTAAGAAGGTACCCTGACCTTGAGGAGCTCATTATCTATGGATTCTGAGAAGGGGTTTGGACAAGAACTGGGTGTAATAAACCTCAACTCTTGACTCTCACAGCATGCACAACAGTATTATTTTGTATTATTTCTGGTTCAAAACCAGGTTGGATTTTGGAGGAAGAATATGGAAGGTCCATTATGTATGATAAAAAATCTGGTGATGGTTTGTTATTTGGGTCATTTGTCCAAAACTAATCAGTGGAATTTACTTAGTTTTGTACCAGATTTCCACCACAATGTATCTTATATGTATGCTGATATTTTCTAATTAAATTGGTTCATAACAGAAGCTTTGAAATGCCATGATTTTCAATATTGCTCTTTGATTGCTCATCTACTGCTGTATGTATAGCCAATAAGATAAAGCGTTATATGTTTTTCAATGAGAAACCCTTGTCTCAAATTCATCAGATTTCTGTCATTAATTTATTAAATATTTTTGATAGGTTCATTGTGTACAGTAGCTGATGTTTCTTTGACAACAAGAACAAAAAATGACGACATCAGTTTGACTTACACCATCAGCAGGGAAGGGGAGATAATCAGTACCAAGCCATCACATCTTGCCAAAGGTACCCCTGTAACTGTGACAATTATTATAGTATTTATTGCAGTGTTTAATGTACATTATATTTATTTTCAGTTTTAAAAAATAGTTGTTAGATATTGTAGACCATGCTGAATGATGACACTCAAGAAGAAATGAAATATTTTGTTGTTGTATGAAATCAACCAAGGAAAAAACTTAACATATGATGAAAAGATTTCTAAAATAAATTTTGAATGCCTTGGATGGGAAACCACTTTAAACAACCCATACATTTTTAAATAGATACTTTCAACATATAGTAATACACATGTACATATATATCAAAACCAAACTTTTTTTCTGCAAGTCTTATATCAAGCTTTGCTTTTTGCTGCATAATTTAAATCAAACAGAATCTTCGTAAATCATTAGAAAAAATAAAACCAGTCATGTTTGAAACAATTTGTATAACCTCTTAGTTTCTGAAACACATGGAATGAAATTAATTTTAGCACAAAAAGGAAATGTATCATTCTTGGAAAATTTTGAATTATACTTGTTTATCAATTGTATATTTCTTAAGGGACCACGTTATCAGCAGCTCACCTGTTTAAAAATCTGCCAGTAAGACGACAGGTGTACAATAATGTAAAGAAAAAGAAAGAAGAACTCAAGAAAGTTGAAACTATAGTGATGGCCTTTGGACTGATCTTTCCTAACATCAGAATCACACTTCGTCATAACAAAGACCTAGTTTGGCAGAAAAATCCTGTTCAGGATCTACGTTCCTCTGTTGCTGGTATTCTTGGCAAAAACGTTCTCAACCAAATGGAATATAAATGTTTTAAAGATTCAGATCCAGAGGTAATGAATTATTTATTTACTTTAAGGTTGAAGTTGAACCTATATTTTAAAGTTTACCTAATAACTTTTTTTCAATGCACTAGTATTGCAGTTGTTGTGGGGATCAAAGCAAATGGGTTCCTGAGTTTTAAAAGTTATTTTGAGTTCTTGTGTTTTGTTTGATATAAATTGATATCAGAAGTTTGATAGTTCTTGTGCTATACACAGAATAATTGAGATACCTGAGATGGACAGTCAAAATTAACTTATCATTATCTATACAGAAGAAAGAAATCTTTACTTGATATAAATATTCAATAAAGAGGAGTTCTCCCTTCCACTCCACCCCTTTCTTCCCATCTCCACCCCTCCCCCACACTTTCCCACCCGACACACTCTGCTAAAAGAACAGTTTTGAAGGATGCTCCTGAAGTATATACTGAAAAAAAATGCATTTTTTTGTATATATGTTTAGGAACACTTACTCCTGGACCAATCAAGAGGGAGATGTTTTTCTTAATTGGACATATATATATGCATAGACTCCAAAGATATTAATCTTAGATTAAACAGTTATTCATGACAAACCTTTTACCTGCATTGGAACTAATGCAGATTTTTGTAGAAATGTATGTTCCCAGCTGTGACAGTGACCCTCAAATGACCAGCCGATCCTCTGCTGATCGATGCTTTATTTACGTCAACTCAAGACCAGTCAATCTCAAATATATAGAAAAGGTGAGACTTTTAATTATTGGTAAATTCTATCATGTTGCTGAAACTTTCAAAGTCATGATCTCAATAGCAGTTGCTTACTATGAATGATCCACTTTAAATGTACCATAGATTGCGATTCTTGGATTTTGGAAGTAAAAGTTTGTTACTGCTATTTCTGGGAAAGTACTGGATGGATCTTTCTCAAATTTCATATGCAGGTTCCCCTTGGTCCCTAGTTGTGCATTGTACCTTTTTTGGACTGATTCGTATTCAAGATGGCTGACAGACGGCCATCTTGGATTTTGGAAGTAAAAGTTTATTATAGCTATTTCTTGGAAAGTACTGGATGGATCTTTCTCAAATTTCATATGCAGGTTTCCCTTGGTCCCTAGTTGTGCATTGTACCTTTGGACTGATCTGAAATCAAGATGGCTGACAGGCAGCCATCTTGGATTTTGGAAGTAAAAGTTTGTTACCGCTATTTCTGGGAAAGTTCTGGATGGATCTTTCTCAAATTTCATATGCAGGTTCCCCTTTGTCCCTAGTTGTGCATTGTACCTTTTGTGGACTGATCTGAAGTCAAGATGGCTGACAGACGGCCATCTTGGATTTTGGAAGTAAAAATTTGTTATAGCTATTTCTTGGAAAGTACTGGATGGATCTTTCTCAAATTTCATATGCAGGTTCCCCTTGGTCCCTAGTTGTGCATTATACTGATCTGAAATCAAGATGGCTGACAGGCAGCCATATTGGATTTTGAAAGTAAAATCTTGTTACCGCTATTTCTGAGGAACTACTGGATGGATACTTCTGATATTTCATAGGTATTGGTTTCCCTTGGTCCCTAGTTGTGCATTGTACTTTTTTTGGACTGATTTGAAATCAAGTTGGCCCACAGGCAGTCATCTTGGATGTCGACAGTAATACAGCACAAGCATATTTTCTTCGATATTCTATCATATTGATTCAAGACCATGTCCATTATCCACCTGTAACTGACTGCTATCTAATAATACTTTGGGATCTTTTTCAAATGATATTTGCTAATAGGTGCTTAATAAAACTATCTTGTGCCATCATTGAGTACATTCAATGAAGACCAGTTCATGAACATTTACAAAACCTGTAACACAAAAAAAAAATAAACAAATCTTCAAGAACTGAAAACAGATCCTCAAATGGTGGGCGCCAAGATCCCTCTGGGATCTCTTGTTGTAATTTGTCAGAGATTTACAAACGACACATATATTATATAAATTATGAAGGATTACATGATTCTGATATAAAAGTATACACAGATTGACAGGATTTTCCTCAAGCAAATCCCTTTCATCGCAAGTATTTAAAAGAAGATCTGGACATTATATGGTCAGCCTGATTGCTAACACTGTCTTTGTAAAGCAGGACAAAATTGAAGTCTTTTGAAAAGGAACATTGTATGTTGATCATTTAAGTTAACAATTTCTAAGAAAACTACCAAATTGTATAAATGTATAAATAGATATAAGGGTATTATGGGATATTTTATTTTGTATGTGATTACGAGTTCGGTTCTGTTTCAGCTATTGAAACAATGTTATGCCTCCTCACATTCATATGAAGCAACACGTGTGCCTATTTGCTGTGTGTCAATTGTGCTGCCCTCTGGTGAGATTGATGTGAACCTTGACCCTAACAAAACACGAGTTCTGCTTCATCATCAGGTACTGACAACTTCTAACATTTAAGACTGAATTCACCTTGTAAACTGTTTTTGTTTTAGTGGATATGAAAAATATTCAGAGTGCAAATTCATCAATTTATTTGTTAATACATTGTACAGCAAAACAACAAAACAAAAGTTCCTTTTTAAAAAGTTAAATTGAACTTATTATAATTCTTAATATGTGAAACAACGTTTCCTGGTACTTTTGGAAGTTCAGGTTTGAGAAGTTTTCAAGGTCACCAAAAAACCAATAATTACTTCAGATTGACTGAGAATTTTCAGGAAAGAAAATTGTCATGGTGTGAATTTCATAGACTATCAGTGTTGTATCTACTTTGTGACCTCTATTCATCCTTCCTTTCTTTCTGTCTTTTTCTTCTCTCACTTTAGCATGATTAAATCTTGCATTTTTTCCTTAAAGTAAAGTATCTGTCGAGGCAAGGAATGTGATCGGTTTCGGTTATAACTTTCTTATTGTTCTGTGTTTGGCATTTAGTTTTAAATGATTTAAGGGTAAGATAGGGTGTGCTACTGCTGAACAATATGTTGTTACCAGGTTATGATAAAAGTGATGGCAGTTTGAGAATAGAGCCCTTGGAAGGTCACAAAACATTGTGTTTATAACAAGAGTTTCTTGGAACTGTATGTGTCGCCTGCATAAAGTGTCATGGTCACCCAGAACTTGAACTAGATGTGTAACAGTCAACCATAAAGTTGTAATACCAAATTTCATTTCTATAACTTGAAGCATAAGCGAAAAAATTCCCAGAAAATTTTCTAAGTTGAAAGGGGCATAACTCTGCCAAAAAGGGTCACAGACAGCCGGGAATCAAACTTAATCTGAACCCTTGCAACAAAAAGCCATATGCCAAATTTCATTTTGATAACTCAAAGCATTACCAAAAAAATTTGGAAATTTTTTTCGTAAGTTGAACGACGCAGACGCCAAAAAGTTGATCCCGGGAATCAAAGTGTCCGCCAGCTCTGCAGGCGACACAATAAAGGATAATTTTTAATATTGTGGGTTTTTTTTTAAGGTTTAGAATCTGTATTGTTGATAATAAACTATTCATGTTCTTCTACTCCAGGTTTCTGTTGAAAATGTTATTCAAGCCCTCCTGGAGGAAATTTATGGACCAGCAGTACAGTCAAACAATAAGCAAAACCCAAAGGCTGATTCACCCACATTACTTGATCAGTTCTCAGAACAGAGTTTGAACTTAACTCTGACCAGTAATGACCAACATAATGATAGCATTACAAAAATTACTGCTGTAAAAAGTGCAGAGATATGTGATAAACAGATACCCGTATTTAAGGTTACCATGGAAACGACTGATGGTGACCAATCAGAAAGTGTTTTGGTAAAAGATCAGGTGATTGTAGACAAAATTGATATTAGTTATAGGAAAGAATCTTTTCCTATGGATTGTGATGAGCATTCAAATCAAATTGTGAGAGGAAGTGACATTTCAGAACTTGAAGTACCTTGTGTACCAACAAGAATTATAACACCACCTATTGCTTGCAATGATAAACAAGAAAAAATAACTATGCTTTGTGGAGATAATGTGAAGATACAGAAGGGATGTTTTGATATTATTGGAGACTGTTTCAAAGATGTATTATCTGATGATGAACATCTATGTACAATGAAGGAAGGTGATCCTGATTCACAAATGAGGGAGGATAATCCTGGTTCACAAATGAAGGGAGATAATTCTGATTCGCAAATGAAGGGAGATAATCCAAGTCTACATCCAACATCATATCAAGAGTCATCTTCAGATTTGTTTGATGATAGTTTAACAGACTTAATGATTAATCTTGATAAGAACACTGGAGAAGAAATACCAGTTGTCAGTTCTGTCTCAAAACAAACAAATAACAACAGCAAGTCAGATGTGACACCTGGAGGTCAACTCTGGAGTAAAGGTCAAATGTCAGTTGGCTCTGGCAGTGCTGTTTTACAGGTAAAAATGCACATGGGATTATTGTTTACCATTTTGTGTGTTATTTTCTTTTCAATATTATGCCTATGATAGTGACATTAATAAGATAGATGTTTTGTTTTTATTTTTTTTAGCCCACCATCTGATGATGTTCTCTTCTGATGATGATTTATTCAAATCGCTCTGTGTCTGTGGTCAGTCGTCTTTCCATCCATCAGTCTGTAAACAAATTTTGTTTTAACTGTTTGTTGAGAAGTACTGGATGGATCTTTTTCAAATTGATATGTAGGTTCCCCTTGGTCCCTAGTTGTGCCAATTTGATCTAGGGCCTGATCAAAAAAACAAAATGGCCAACAGGCAGCCATCTTGGATTTTTTCAAGGAAGTTTTTTATTGCTATTTCTTTGAAAGGAAGGGATGGATCTCTCTCTAATTTCATATGTATGTTCCCCTTGGTCTCTAGTTGTGCCCATGTAGTTTTGGGACTGATCAGAAAAAAAGTTCATTAGAACTACAGCATAGATCTTTCTCAAATTTCATGTGTAATGTTTTTCTTGATCGCTAGTTGTGCCTGTTTGACTTTGATACAAATCAGAAAAAGCAAAATGGCACACAAGTGGCCATCTTTACATTTTGATGTCGAAAGTTTGTTATCACTATTTCTTGAAAACTGCTGTATAGATCTTTCTCAAATTTCTTGTATAGGTTCCTTTAGGTCCCTTGTTGTGCCTGTTTGAGTTTGGGACTGATAAGGAAAACAAAACGGCCAACAGGCAGCCATCTTGGATTTTGCTAAGTAAAGATTGTCATTGCTATTTCTAGAAGTTCTAAATGGATATCATTCAAATTTCACATGTATGTTCCCTGCAATCTCTCGTTGTGCTTGTTTGACTTTGGGACTGATCAGAAGAAACAAAATGGCTCTCAGGTGCTAGTTTGGATTTGGCAGGTAAAGATTATCACCAATATTTTTACAAAGGAATGTTCAAATGTATAATCATTAAGAGCAGAAACAGAGAAGAGAAGAGAAAAGATCCAGCTTTCACAGAGCATATAAAAATGAAACAATGGCGGGCACCAAGATCCCTCTGGGATCTCTTGTTAACAACTATGCAAGAAAGAGTAGAATGTTCCTGTTCTAGGTCTTAAGATTGTCAAGTTTGATTTATGTTTATGTTAAGTTTTTAATGTGATTTGAAGTTCCTAAATCTTTTATTTTATCATGCTGTAATTAAACAATCCGTACATTCACATCAAAGTTCAAATAAAAAGTCTGATGAATGTAATCCATGTAGTTTTGTTAAGGAGCTTTTACTGGAAGAATAACTGTTGTACTTTATATTGAGAGTGAAATAAATGTTGTTCAAAAGAAAAATTAATCAAAATAATGATCAGTCTGAAAACCTTGTTTTTTTCCTGACAGCCTGTGATGTTACTGACAGCAGGGAATTCAAAACGACCTTTAACCTCACCAACTGAACTTTCACCTCCCACTAAGAAGAGAAATATTGCTCTAGAGGTTTGTTGAATCTATGAAATATAAAGATAAAACAACTAAATTTAGATTTAGATTTTAGGTGGATGCTTTTAATTTCCCTGATTCAGAAAAAAGTGCTTTCAATTTGCATTTGCACAATGTATGTGTTAAGATATTGAATGAATGGTTAATATTATACTTGTTATATTTGTTTATATTACTTAGAAAGTAAAATTCAATATAGGCTATATATATAAACTTATGAGATATAATTGTTTTATGATGTATCTTTATTTTTTTTTTGTTTGATAATTAACTAAATTTTAAATGATATGTCAAGTTGTCTCAGATAGTTATACCAGGAAACTTATGCTCTCTCTTTTTTTGTCATCTAACCCGAAGGGTCAGGATGACCTATAGCCATCATGTTTCATCTGTTGTCATGCGCCGTTCGCTGTGCGTAAAATTTCCATTCAAATGACTTCTTCTCAATAACCAGAGGGCTTGTAGCATGATGGGATGAAGGCTACCATGTTTCTTAATATGAATGGCCTTGACCCATTTTCAAGGTCACAGTGGTCAGATATGTCAAAATCTTTTAAAGGACTCTTCTCTAAATAAAAAAAGGTCTAGACTGCTGACATTGAGCCTGTAGCATGATGGTACTAACTGCTTGTAAGTTTGTTAATATAAACAACCTTGACTTACTTTCAAGGTCGCAGTGGTCAAATATGTTTTTGTAGGACAAAACAGGCGTGAGTTTCCCTGTATTAAGTTATCTGTCATTATACTTATTTCAAGTTATAGACTCTGTAGCAATTACTTTAATAATGAAATGTATACTCATACAAATAGGAAGGCCAGCCCACTCTGTATGACATGGTGTCTGGTCAACCAGTACAGAGAGATCAAACAAAGAAAGGATACAGTGCCTTTGTCAAGAAAAACAGACCTCATGGTAATGTCAAGACCTAATACATCTCTCATTATGTTTAAAATCCTACCTACCGCCCTTAAATCACTTAAATCAGATTTCTTTATTTCAATTTGTTTTCTATGCTTCATTACACTAGTCCACATGCTCTAGATCCAGTTTGTTTTCTATGCTTCACTACACTAGTCCAAATGCTCTAGATCCAATATAAAATAGATTTGATCATTTTTCTTTTAGTGAACTAGAATTTTAGGTAATTGAAAAGCATATTAGTGCAACGATTACCTTGTTCACTCAGAATGGAAGAAATTCTCACTTTACAGGCAGTCCACTAGTTGTAGATCCAGTATCAAATATCTTTGATAATTTTCATTTTAGTATACTCAGATTTTAGACACTTTTATAGCCTATTAGTGCAACAATGAACTAGTTCACTAACATTTTGTTTACTTTCGAGATCAATACTAATTTGATTCAGTTACTAAATTCTCTTACCCATGAACATCATTGACATGAGAACACTATGAGAACCTTAACAGTATAACCAGTTAATGAACACTATATTAGGATATTTTGTTTTTGTGCAATAGGTTTTATTATCAATTTTACAATTTGGTTGGTATTTTGTCTTCGGATAGTTTGATTTGCTTTTTTTGTGTTTTTATTCCCCAGTGGTAGCTGAAATCCCTACAGCTAGCTTTGATGAGGTGACAGATATTCTGAATCAGCAGTGGGACAAAATGTCCCCAGAAAGCCGCCAGAAATATGATCATGAGAGGCATGAATGTGAATCACAAAGGTAATGAAAACTATAGTGATCATATCAACAGCATTTTCTGTGAAAAACTCTGTTAATTTCAAGTAGCACTGAAAAGATAACTTCTTAGATATATTTTGTTTCAGTATCATGTCCGATTTGCAGACAAGCAACAAGAAAAAAATGTTCCTAAGAAATACTATAAATGATGTATTATTTTAAAATTTGCTTCCAGTTTGTCTTAAAGTTGTTAATCTTTATAGATAAAAGCATGGCTCTGATTTGCTTGTGGGAAGTATTTGTGAATTTTTTCTTGTCTTTAAGAGAATGTAAGTTTGGTTGTAGGATGTTTTCCCTTTGTTGATCTTTGCTGTTAATTTATATATTACTGTAGTTTAACATTATTTTCAGGGAAGATATTTCACCTAAAAAACCAGAAAAGAATCTCGTAAATAAAATGAAGCTTAAAAGCAAACCAGTAAAGGTAAGATACAAGTTGTTAGAGGTCCAAATATCTCCTCTGGCAGCATCATTAGAACCTTGTTACAAGGTATTACTACTTTAACTGAATCAAAGTCCACGAAAGGCATGTTATTAAGAGGAATTGGGAGTGCTGTTACATAAGCAATGGATTTCAAAATTTTGCAGATATTGTTATTGTTTTTTCTCTCAAATGAAAATTATATTCAAACAGGACTGTCACTAAAGAGTTGTGACATAGGGCTCTCACAATATTCAAGATGGCTGCCTTACTTCAACATCTTGTTAATGCTACTTCACCAGAATGGAATTGTTATATTGAGATAGGAAAAATGAGTTCTATTTGGTCCACAGATGTTTCTGTAAAGTTTTTATAACTATTTACTGTCATGGTAGTCTTATATAACTGATTTATCATATAAATGTTTTTCTACCTTGTATTGTAACCAATAGAAGATTATAGATAGTCACCATCTTGTCACACATTCAGTCATTCTTAGTGTTGATGCTATCTCGATGTGATTTTCTGGTATCTTACAGGCAGGTGTCAGCATTAAAGATCAGCTTTTGTTGGCAGCACAGAAAAGTAAATCAAAAAGAGAAACTGTCATTTCATTTTCAATGGAGAATTTACGGAACAATTTTTCCAGACAGTTGAATGTCAGGTTTGTTTGGGGTTTTTTTGGGGGGATTTTTAAGCTTACCTGGCGTGACCTATATTCAAGGTCTTAGGGGTCAGATTTGTTAAAACATTTAAACAACTTCTCCTCATAATCTAAAAGGTCTAGAGGCATGATATCTGGATGGTATGTTCCTTGGATGAAGCCCAAGTAGCTTCCAAAGAGACATTTCTTTGACCTGTGTGCAAGGTCATAGGGGTCAAATTTGTTAAAACCTTTAAACAACTTCCTCTCGTGAACTACAAGGCCTAGAAGCATGATGTTTGACTGGTGTGTTCCTTGTATGAAGCCTATCAATGTTTGTGAAAAAAGAATTATCTTGACCTACATTAAAGGTCACAGGGGTCAAATTCATTAAAACCTTCAAACGACATCTTTTCATGACCTAAAAGGCACAATATTGGGTTGTTATGTTCCTAGGATATAGCCCAACAAAGCTTTTGAAAATAAATTACCTTGATGTATATTCAAGGTCACAGGAGTCAACATTTAAACAACTTCTGCTTGTGAAAAGCCTAGAGACATATTTTGTTAGTATGTTCCTCAGATGAAGCCTGACAAAGATTACAAAAAGAAATTATCTTGATCTGTATTCATTGTCACAGGGGTCTAATTTGTTAAAATATTTAAATGACTTTGTCTCATGAACATAAAGGCCTAGAGGCATGATAATTGGGTGGTGCATATATACCAGGTGAGCACTGCAGGCCCATTGGACCTCTTGTTTTCATTTTATTTTTTAATCATATTTATTTTGGTTCAAAGTAAATAGTCACACTTTCAAACAAAGATTGTTCAAAGTTAAAGAAATTTGGTTCAAGAAGAAAATAAAATGGATGAACTCAAGATCAAGCAAACTAACAAGAGAAATATACAGAAAATATGGACTAGAATTGGTTACAGTGATGCAGAAAATGGACATTGAAATAATTCGCTTTAAAATGTCCATTCCTAGTCAGTTTCCAAAAACTCCTAAGTTGGACCTGATTGGCCATTTGAAGTCTTGTCGTACATGGACATGTTGCCTGGACGAGAAAATCTGCATTCTGAACTGCCATCGAATACAGGAAACAGTTTTGTATCACCAGCTTATGTCGGACCATGTGCTGTCAGTCATACCCCTGGAGCAGCCAATCAGACTCACACCTCAGTAAGAAACAGTTGAATCATATTTTAATCAGATTACTGGGATTATAAAACAAATGAATAATGTGGACATCATTTCTCAGTCACACTCTCTTGACGGCTGGCCACCATGATAATCTATTATTAGGGATCATCAAGATGTCAGATACCCCCTTAATGTATTGTTGGGTAATTTATGGTGGAGTGGAGTCTTATTATTACAGAAAGAAGATTTCTTATTTACAGTTTACAGTCATTTGTTGTAAGACTGTAAAATTAGACCTGAGGCGTTATAGTGAACAGAAAAGGTATTGTTAACAAGACAATGATATTTAAGTATCCTGTATTGATAAGGTGTGAGCTTTTTTCCAAACTATAAATTGAGTAGGATATATCGTACTTTAAGATATTTTATAATGATCCAACAGATATGTGCACATATGAAGTCAGTGTGAAATCTGAAGATATCGTTTAGGTAAAATTTTACTTTTTCAGGAATGTTGGTGGGAAAAACCAGTGGGAGTGTCTCCTGTCGTTAGATTCAAATCGTTTTGCAGGTGACATATATAGCTTTATTACTGATGAAAGGATTGTTGACAACGGATTTAAAGTTCGATGGTACACAGGTAAGCAATTTCATTATCTTCCGAACAGTGACATTCATTCATGTAAATAGTGTCAAGGTCAGTTGTTATCCCGGGTAATTCATGAACATAGTGTCATGGTCAGTTATCAAGGTGAATCATGCTAGTAGCATCAAGGTCAATTTCTACCAAAATGATTCATGAAAATTGTGTCAAGATTAGTTATTCTCCCAGGTGACTAGTTTCCAGGTGAGTTGTTTCCTGTTTGTACCATGCAAAAATGTCAGGGTCATGGTCATGTTCATGCAAATATTAGAGCATCACTGTCACACTTAAATGACAGATGTTGAAGGATTGCTTAAGTAGGACTTAGGACTTCATTGTCTCATTTCAAGGTCAAACATGTAACCCATATTATTTTTAGCTGGCAGGAATATTATTGATTTTTTATAAATTCTTTATGGTTATGATATTGTGTTTATCTGAAATTAAACCTCAGTTTACATCAGAAGATATTTCATTCAGTTTCTTTTGTTGTAGATAAAGAGATGGATACATCACAAGCAGACGTTGTTGCCATGACAACTTTCATTCCAGTGTATGGTATTCCTGATCTGGCAGAAGTCCTCGAGTTAATTTCTACCAATAGAGCCGAGACAGTGTCACAGTGTCGCCCTCTAAAAGTCCTTAACTATCTACAGGTATTTGACATCACAGAGTATCTCAGGCACACTCTCTCATTGTGTCGCCCTCTAAAAGTCCTTAACTATCAACAGGTATTGGACATCACAGAGTATCTCAGGCACACTCTCTCACTGTGTCGCTCTTTTAAAGTCCTTAACTATCTACAGGTATCACAAGTGTCTCCGGCACACTCTCTCATTGTGTCGCCCTCTTAAAGTCCTTAACTATCTACAGGTATCACAGAGTGTCTCAGACACACTCTCTCATTATGTCGCCCTCTAAAAGTCCTTAACTGTCTACAGGTATCACAGAGTGTCTCCAGCACACTCTCTCATTGTGTCAGCCTCTTAAATCCTTAACTGTCTACAGGTATCACAGAGTGTCTCAGGCACACTCTCTCATTGTGTAGCCCTCTTAAAGTTCGTAACTATCTACAGGTATCAGAGTGTCTTGGGCACACTCTCTCATTGTGTCGCCCTCTTAAAGTTCGTAATTATCTACAGGTATCACAGAGTGTCTTGGGCACACTCTCTCATTGTGTCGCCCTCTTAAAGTTCGTAACTATCTACAGGTATCACAGAGTGTCTCGGGCACACTCTCTCATTGTATCGCCCTCTTAATTATCTACAGGTATCACAGAGTGTCTCGGGCACACTCTCTCATTGTTCACAAACTACCTATAAGAATGTGCACTGTAATAGATTACACAGTGTGATTGATAAAGGTTCTTTATTACTGATAGCAAAACATTGAAGACCTCCAGAGATGGAAGATAATTGCAAAATACAATAAAGAATTTATGACATCTTGAACGGAAATTTGACTACTAGATAAAAAGTAGCAAGAGTTCAATTGATTATTATTATTATTTCAAAGTACAAATCAGTTTCCATTGAAAATAGATTGATCAACTTTGATTACGTCGCTCCAATACGCAAAGTAAGTGATAAGGTATCATGACACCAAACTGAGGCATGACATAAACATCGCAGGGTATCTCAGGCATGCTCTCTCAGTGTTCAGTAACTACCTTCAAGTGTTATCATTACAGAGTGTGTTTTAGCTTTCCCTCTCAGTTTTTATGCTCCATGGAAGAGAAAGCATATTGTCTCCAATTTGTCTGTTCGTTCGTTTGTCTGTCTTCCCAATTTTGTCTTGAGCATATCACAAAAGCTATTAAAGATATCAACATGAAACTTTATAGGTAGATCTTGATAAGAAGTGCAGTGAATAAGAACCATAGCTCAATTTTACATAATTTAGGAGTTATTGCCCTTTGTTTTTTTCATACTTGAATTTTGTCTGGAACATAACGCAAAAACTATAAGAGGAAACAACATGAAACTTGGTAGTATTTAATCAGGAAGCATCTATCAGTTCTATATAGATTCTCTTGTTCCTCTATGTAAATATGGACTCAATGTGCACTACTTTTCTGGGTCATTTTGAGGAGTGGGTCTCCTTGAACCTGGCGTCTACCACACATCCTGAAGTATACCTGTCACCTGCCATGCATAGAAATTAGGGAAAATGTCTATTCCGAGGATACAGTTATAACAGCAAAAGACAGTCAGTATTCTCAGCTTTCAAAAAAACAGGTCTAAATCACCCTTGGGTGGAGAGGACTCTGTTATGTATAGACGTGGTTCTTGGTGGTCTAGGGTGGTCAAGGTTGGGTCAAATAGGGGAGAAAGCAAAATTCTTTAAAATTCTACTCCTCTGTAGGAATGATTGGTATGAAGCATTCTTGGCTGAAAAGGAATCAATTTTGTATAAAAATGGGAAATTTTTGAAGTCTTTTAGAGTCCTTCTTCTGCTGGTGGAAAGTCAGGATCTTGACCAAGTATGGCCAATCCTCCTACCATAGGGGCAGAGGGCTGCAACTCATCCCATTCTTTTAGCAGTGAGTGATATAGGCCCAAAGAGCTTTTTGTTAATTACCTCTTCAGTTGGCAGTATTACAAACTGGAATAAGATTTTATACCCAACTTATGACAAAGTTGTGGCCTTTTTGTTCAGTTCATCACATTATTTAAGTGTTGAATAATAAAGAAAAGACAGTAATCTAAATCTCGGCATATTTTGATCAATTGCTTGTAATTTAACACAAATTTTTGTCCTGCTTACAGATATGTTTGTTTGTCATAAAATATTTCTGTGATACCTGGACAGTTTCAGCTAGATTAGTAATCAACCAGTGCAGAAAAATTAACTTAAATATCATAGTCAACTGCATAGAGAGATGTGTCCCTTTATCTCCTTGCCCAGTGTATATAGAGTTCCTTTGTTTCTTTGTCCACTGTATATAGAGTTATGTCCCTTTATTGTATGCTCTACTATGTTTTAAGTTGTATGCATTTATTTCATGGTCAACTTTATATGGAGTTGTGTCCCTTTATCTCATCACCACCTGTTTATAGAGTCATGTCCCTTATGAGCTACTTACTGTAAAGCTGTGTCCCTTTCTGTCATGATCAACTGTATGTAGACTTGTGTCCCTTTATCACATTGTGAACTTTATTTGGAGTTGTGTCCCTTTATCTTGTTTCTAACTGTATATAGACGTGTCGTTCCTTTATCACTTGGTCAACTGTATATGGAGTTGTGTCCCTTTATCTTGTTTCTAACTGTATATAGACATGTCGTCCCTTTATCACCTGGTCAACTGTATATGGAGTTGTGTCCTTTTATCTTGTCCCTAATGTAACTGTATATGGAGCTGTGTCCCTTTATCTCGTGGTCAATTTCATATAGAGTTGTGTCCCGTTATATTTTGCTGTAGGTAATTACACTAAGCGAAAGGAGAGTTTATTTACAATGATTTACCTTGTGTGATTTGTTGTAGGGAGAAGCTGTAAGAATGGCCAGGAAGTTACCACCTCTACAGAACAGAGAAGAGGTGCTCGACTTACAGGACCAAATGTCCTCCATTCTCCCTGATGGCTGTCAAGTGTGTCTGCATGACCGACCATTTTGCCACCCAATATATGACATGGATGATTTACCACAGACTCAGTCAGGTGTGACACAAGAAGTATTTTCTTGCTAAAGAATATAAACCCATTTGTTTAGATGGAGAAATTTGTCATTTCTTGAGAAACAGAATTTCTCTAACGTGACTTAAGAAGTTGTCTCCATTCTTGTAAGTCCTATGTGAAAGGAAGAATTTGGTCAGATATGTGATAGGAAGATTTCTAATGTTTAAAATCTGATTCAGTCAAGTCTGATAAATGAATTTCTGGAAAATGAACAGCAAGAAGAAAATGATGAAAAACTTTTTGAATGTGTTAAGGATATAATTTTCAATGACAATGCATTTCAACTAAATAAAAAAATGAAAGGTGTTTGTTTTAGTCAAGATCTACACTTCTTAAATTACTGATGGTAATGTTTATTGTATTGCTGTTTACACCTCATAAACACTGAAGATCTTATTACATTGCTGTGTACACCCCATACACACTGAAGATCTTATCATATTGCTGTGTACACCCCACACTCACTGAAGATGTTATTATATTGTTGTGTACACCCCATACACACTGAAGATGTTATCATATTGCTGTGTACACCCCATACACACTGAAGATCTTAATATATTGCTGTGTACACCCCATACACACTGAAGATCTTAATATATTGCTGTGTACACCCCATACACACTGAAGATGTTATTATATTGCTGTGTACACCCCATACACACAGAAGATGTTATTATATTGCTGTGTACACCCCATACACACTGAAGATGTTATTATATTGCTGTGTACACCCCACACACACTGTACACCCCACACACACTGAAGATGTTATTATATTGTTGTGTACACCCCACACACACTGAAGATGTTATTATATTGTTGTGTACACCCCATACACACTAAAGATGTTATTATATTATTGTGTACACCCCACACACACATTGTTGTGTACACCCCATACACACTGAAGATGTTATTATATTGCTGTGTACACCCCATACACACTGAAGATGTTATTATATTATTGTGTACACCCTACACTCACTGAAGATGTTATTATATTGCTGTGTACACCCCATACACACTGAAGATGTTATTATATTGTTGTGTACACCCCATAAACACTGAAGATGTTATTATATTGCTGTGTACACCCCATACACACTGAAGATGTTATTATATTGTTGTGTACACCCCATACACACTGAAGATGTTATTATATTGTTGTGTACACCCCATACACACTGAAGATGTTATTATATTGTTGTGTACACCCCATACACACTGAAGATGTTATTATATTGTTGTGTACACCCCATACACACTGAAGATGTTATTATATTGTTGTGTACACCCCATACACACTGAAGATGTTATTATATTATTGTGTACACCCCATACACACTGAAGATGTTATTATATTGCTGTGTACACCCCATACACACTGAAGATGTTATTATATTGCTGTGTACACCCCATACACACTGAAGATGTTATTATATTGCTGTGTACACCCCATACACAATGAAGATCTTATGATATTGCTGTGTACACCCTACACTCAGTAGAGATCTTATTATATTGCTGTGTACACCCCATACACACTGAAGATGTTATTATATTATTGTGTACACCCCATACACACTGAAGATGTTATTATATTATTGTGTACACCCTATACACACTGAAGATGTTATTATATTGCTGTGTACACCCCATACACACTTAAGATGTTATTACATTGCTGTGTACACCCCATACACACTGAAGATCTTATTATATTATTGTGTACACCCCATACACACTGAAGATGTTATTATATTGTTGTGTACACCCCATACACACTGAAGATGTTATTATATTGCTGTGTACACCCCATACACACTGAAGATGTTATTATATTATTGTGTACACCCCATACACACTGAAGATCTTATTATATTATTGTGTACACCCCATACACACTGAAGATCTTATTACATTGCTGTGTACACCCCATACACACTGAAGATGTTATTATATTATTGTGTACACCCTATACACACTGAAGATGTTATTATATTGCTGTGTACACCCCATACACACTGAAGATGTTATTATATTGTTGTGTACACCCCATACACACTGAAGATCTTATTATATTATTGTGTACACCCCATACACACTGAAGATGTTATTATATTATTGTGTACACCCCATACACACTGAAGATCTTATTATATTGCTGTGTACACCCCATACACACTGAAGATGTTATTATATTGCTGTGTACACCCCATACACACTGAAGATGTTATTATATTGCTGTGTACACCCCATACACACTGAAGATGTTATTATATTGCTGTGTACACCCCATAAACACTGAAGATGTTATTATATTGTTGTGTACACCCCATACACACTGAAGATGTTATTATATTGCTGTGTACACCCCATACACACAGAAGATCTTATTATATATTAAAGATGTTATTATATTGTTGTGTACACCCCATACACACTGAAGATGTTATTATATTGCTGTGTACACCCCATACACACAGAAGATCTTGACCAATGTCTCACTAACCAGTACTAGAGTGACATGACTTTTGCACCTATGCTTTCACAACAAACATCATGATATTAAGTGAAACAATTTTATTGAGGTTGAAAATTAATCGCTAGAGATAGAATTGTTTTCAAAATGATGTATTTAATTTCAATGTATAAAATTAACATACTATGTACATCCTTTAGATAGAAATAGATAATCCTTAAAAAGAAACATGTACAATTGTAAGATATTGTTTCTGTATAAAATATTTTTCAACAAGATTTCTTTTTCTTTTCTCCCTCTCAAATTCTATCTTTTCATTTTCTGTCTTGCTCTCACAAACATCAACATAATCAATCATTTTATACAGAAATACTGCGGAGTCTCTAGATCTAGGAATCCATTTTTTTGTAACAATTTCCTTGGTAAACATTTCTGTAGAGTTTTCATAGATTCAAATTTTTGTGATACGATATCCAAGAGATCACTTATTATTTTGATATTAGAATTCATGATTATGTTCAATCAGACAAAATTCAGGAAAATGGACATGTTTTCACAAAGGCCATAAAATTTTCTCAAATAATTCAACTTTTTAATGTTTTGTTTTTCCTCAATTTTATTCCTATCTCAAAAAATGGATTAAGATAGAACATGTCAAACAACCTTTACAACAAAAAAATGGATTCCTACAAAATAAAAACTTCACAGTAGAAGAAAACATTGTTTCATTTAAATTGTAATATAAAACAAAGCATGCAAGGACGGGGTTCATATGAAAGATGATCTGAGTCACATTAGAACTAAACATTCTCTTAAATATCTATACATACAACATTGGGTATATATGTACAACTCTCAAGTATTCCATTGATAAATAGAATAGAATTTTATTTATACACACGTATTTGACCAGCATATTTAGCTCAATGCTTTATTTAAATTTCTTCACATCTGGCAAATTTTTCTCAAAAGTATTCAACAGAAATTCTAGTACAATCAATAGTTCGGTATTAATTCAGCTTTTTCAAATGCTGTCTAAGACTCTTTTTGAAAAAATTCTGACCTTTATTTTAAACAGTGATTTTGAATCTTTGAACATAACGTTTATATGTCAGTCACAGATGATTTTTAATTCTTATTTATATACATCTGCTTGTACCATTGTGTTTTAACACTTCCAACACTCTTTATGGCAAATTGTTATTTTTAACATAAAAAGAAGATCGAAATCAATTATTATTGAAAAGAAATTTAAATTTAAAGTCAACCTTTGATGAAACTCCTAAGTTTGAGATTTTGTTTGATTTGCGTTAAAATGTTTTAACACAAATATTCATTTCAATAGTTTATAAAATTTATAAAATTTTACTTTTGATTTTGGAAGATTGAAATTTTTGGAATAGTTGACAGAATATCATAGTAATTGATTCCATCAAACAATCAATCCCTATGAAATATCTTATTTAATCAAGAATTCTCAAATATGTCCAAAATGTTCAAATTCATCCAAAAATAATGATGTGATCATATGGAGAAATTCTTCAAAAATAAATATAAGTTCTGACTGAAATCTGTTTTTAAATCAAACATTTTTCTGTTAGACTTATAAAGTTGTAGATTTCAACAAATGAATAAAGATTTAGTCGATCTGAAGATTGGCCCTCATCGAGTTGGTGCACGGAGCTGATCAATTTTAGTGTTGGTCCGACTAGCTGGGAAAGGTGTTGGAGCATTAGAAGCAAGGTAAGGTGTAGCATCAGGCATTCCTGGAGAAAACGCCGAGAAATATTCAGCAGCAAACTGTACAACATCGTCAGGTTTACGCAAAAGTAAGAACTGAAGAAAATCTGCAAGTAGGTTTTTCAGTTCTGGATGATGCCGCACATAAGTTCCATGGTCCGCTTTTAGCTCCTCCTACATAAAAATACAAGAAATATGTCAATTTGATAGAATCAACAAAGAAAATAACACTAAAACATCTGTGGTTTTAAACTGAAAGATCCCAGAGAGCTTTTATAATCCACCATCACATGATTTTCATAGGATCTTTGTAAGCCTAACAATCATATCAACTATATTTGTGAAACCAGAATGCCCTGCTTGCTCCCACATAATATCAGTATCCTATCTTTATTAAGATATTTTAAAGTTACTTCCAGTACTTTTGAAACATAACAAACCTGAAAAAATCTAAATCCAAAATGACTGCCAGTCAGCCATCTTGTTTTTCCAATAAGCCTTAAATCTAAACTTAAGACTACATGAACGAACATAAGGATTAAGAAATAGACAGATGGAGGTCAAACTGCAAAGCCCAACTTTATCAAATGGTATAAGGCTTAAAATTACGATTGTGTAAGAATCTTGTGGTACACAAGGTAGCACAGTGAATAAGCCTATAGATGTATGTTGTTGTATGAAATGAAAATTTTGCACTAAGAAAGCTTTACTCATGGTACTTCTGAAAAGACTTCTAAGGAGAGAGATCTAGGAATTTACCTTCCTGTCAAGGAACTTTGAATATAGCTGCATATCTTCATCCCACTGTAGGGATCGTTTCTCAAATGTTGGCTTAGGTGGCTCCTCGTCTGTGGAGAGAATTTATTTTTTAACCAATTTGGTTCAAGAAAGTAAACTTTTGGTTAGGAAAACAAAGTGCTGGTACAATAATTTCACAAATCAAGAAAATCATAGAACACAGTGACAACAGTGAGACATATGCAAAATTATGTATAGACGAATTAATTTGAAATCTTTATTTTACATGTAATTTTGTCCATACATTGTTGATATTGCAAACTGATGACAAAATTTCAGAATGCAGAAAAACATACCTCCATTTTAAATATTTTATCAAGGAATTCTTCACAGTGAATTGGAATATAATATAACAAAACAAACATCACTGTTTATTATATATTTCATGCAATAATCCAAAAGTGTTGAAAAGTACACACAATATCTCTACAGGGTGGGAAAACAAGCTTGGAGTTCAATATGTAAGTTTCTCTCCCAAAATTCATATAAATCAGAATTCCTCACCAGTTGGTTTACCTTATCAACACTAAATTGTGTGATGTAAAATTTGAGCACTGACCTCTCATGATTAGGTTTGGTACTCGTGCCAGTTTCATCGTCACTGGAGATCCTACCTGCACACGATTTGTTAAATGTCTGTTGAAAAAGAGAACAAAGACATCTCTATAAACACAGCTCTAATTCAATAATTAGTGATGTTACGATTCAAGCTTTATCAAAACAGTTAAATAGAAATCATTTGTTCATTACTCTGACTAGCACCATTTGTTTTTTCAGTTTTAATGGAATGATATTTTGTTCAAACCTGCAAAATGGAAATAATGAACAAAAATTTTCAAACTTCTTAACAATTAATCCCTATGGTTACAGTGACTTGAATCAAGTTAATTATCAAACACTTCACCTCAACATATATTATCATTAAAGTTTAAACTCAATAACTAACCCGTCCTGCATGAAATATGACTGCCATGTTGTCGGGAGGTCCACTACTGAGTTGATGGTCCTTTCAATCCCGTACACTCGAATTTCTGTCCCGTCAACTGTCTGAGTCCTGTCCTCCAAAGGTCGCTACAGTAGTAACATAAAACCAAGGTCAAAGGGTGCATTTAAGGCTATATACAACATTTCATATCATTGATACGATTTGGAAATTGAGTGACAAAAAGACACATGTACATGTATTAGCAAAATGAACAAAAGAGACAGGCTGAGAGAAAGATACAGTCATATACTGACCCATTGGAGTCACCTGTGTGGGACACATTGTTTTAAAAACTAACAAACAATATGATGTAGCACTTCGGATTTGACTATCATGTGTAGATGTGAATCATGGTGGCTATACCCCATCAAATTCCAAACCAGAGTTTTGTTTTGTTTACAAAAGTTCAGAGTTCATTATTTTTCGAGAAGTCAATGTAATTGCGACAACTCAACACAATACTCACATATATAGCTGCACAAATGTTTGTGTCCGAATCAAACGACAGTAGTTGAAAGTCTTCAGAGCGAAAGTTTTTCTCTATCAAAAGTCGGTGTAGCAATAAATTGGAACCTGAAAGGTGGATTAAAATCAAATTAACAGCATTTCAATAAATTCATCTTTTAACTTTTAATTGCACAAACTATTAGTGACCCTGTCCAAATCAATGAGACTCATACAATTTGTAAATATTGTTTTGTTTTGCCCACATGAAACAAAAAGTATTGTCAGCAACAATTAAATAAACAGGAATGGAAATGAATATAACAATCATTGTGACAAAGTTATTAGTGTATCGTATTTAAAAACATTGATAAATTGGATGTGTTCTGTTACATATTAATGTTCAAAACTGACAAGAAACAGGTAAAAAAAAATGTATATACATGTATATAACTACAAAATACATTAAAATATAGTTACATCTCATTAAAATGCCCCTTTTTAGGGATTTCCAGTTTAAAGCAATATAGATATGGATACAAACGAAAGTTTGATACATACCCTCGGATATAAATCCACGCATCTTTGATAATTCAATGGTTCTAGATGATCTTTGGATATCCTGTAGTTTACAAAAATAATAGATAAATGAAAAAAAAAATAACAATTGGAACTATTAATTGATTAAATGAAAATTTCAAAAATAGATAAATTAATTTACCTAAGGTAAGTTTGCATCCAACAATACCATTACAATGAAAAAAAATTTACTTATGAATTTAACTTTAATGAGAATTTTGAAAGAACACTTTTATGTGTAAATACAATGTGTCATATTTGATTTGCATACATTACAAAACTGCCTGAATGATATCTGATAATGAATAATTAATAATTATAAAGCACCAGAGTAAATAGTTAGTTAATAAATATGATTATCATTCATTACATGTACCATATGACAAAGCTAGAACGTTAAATTTTATCAATGTCCTAACCTGAAAGGAAGTCTTCAGTAAGAAAGGAAATTTTCACCACAGAAACTATCAGAAAATCTAAATGACTATTTAATACTGAAATATCAAACCCTGCAACTGTCAAAAACCATTCATCCAACTGAGTCCTGTTGTCACCAACCCCCGCAAAATGAAGAAAAAAACAAAATTTCAAGGGCCAACTGTCAGAAGCTCTGTTTACTATGTGAGAACACAGAAAACTTGAATCATATCAGGGATTCAAATTTAAAAACCATCACCTTAAGAATTAAAATGAAATAATACATACAATCAGATATTTCTCAAACATTGACTTATGAAATTTTTGTGTTTATGCTTTTAACAAATTGGCCCAAGTAGTATTCAAAAGTGAATGAAAAATCAACTTTATTCAATCTTGTGAGCTTGATACTTTTGTATAATCAGGCTGGTGATCAAATGTTGTATAATTCAACTAAACTGACAAATTAGAAAAAGGTGAAAATTAACAAATAAGAAACTGAGAGGAAAATAAAAACAAGAACACTTCCAACAAGCCTCCAGCTATCTATGTCTACATGTTGGACTCATTTGATTTTTTATTTTTGTTTCATTGCAAATAAATATTTCACCAACTCTAATCAAGTTTGCTTTTATTTAATTTGATAGATAAGCAATTCATAAAACAAATTCACAAGTAATTTGTATCAAAATTGAAAATGAAACTATCATTCAAAACTACCAAAAAAAACCAAGTCACCTACTGGTGTTGATAATTCAATGATAATCATTTTCAATATAAAATTTTCTAGTAAAATTAGAAAGCATAGTACCAGGCAAGTATCAAAAAAAAAAAAAAAAGATATCACTAACAGTTTCCAAACCGAAGAAATTCAGTAATACAGAAAATATGGCATACATGATGTATATAAAAACAACCCCAAAATGAAGTAACAATTTATCAAATATATAGAAAACAGTTTAGATATTTACAAAACACTCCATCCATGGCTGTTGATGAAAAAAAAAAAACAGAAATAAACAAAAATATATGTCAACATTATAGTCTAAGCAAAAAATACTACAAATGGATGAAAATTGTTGTCCTTCCTAAGGCCGGAAGGTGAAGGATTAGGGTCATTCCATTTAAATATTTATCCTATCCTGGACTCCAGGTTTTGTTTAGAGCTTTTCCAGTATAAAACATCTATTCAACCCAGGACAACAGGTTTTGTTTTGTGCTATTCCTGTAAAAGATTAATTCAACCCAGGACAACAGGTTTTGTTTTGTGCTATTCCTGTAAAAGATTAATCCAACCCAGGACAACAGCTTTTGTTTTGTGCTATTCCTGTAAAAGATTAATCCAACCCAGGACAGCAGGTTTTGTTTTGTGCTATTCCTGTAAAAGATTAATCCAACCCAGGACAGCAGGTTTTGTTTTGTGCTATTCCTGTAAAAGATTAATCCAACCCAGGACAGCAGGTTTTGTTTTGTGCTATTCCTGTAAAAGATTAATCCAACCTAGGACTCCAGGTTTTAAATGGCTTTTCCAGTAAAATCTCTGTCCAATCCAGGGTTCCAGGTTTTGTTTAGCGCTGTTCCAGTAAATCATCTATCCATCCTCAGGACTCTAGCTTTTGTTCAGGGATATTTAAGTAAAACCTTTATCCCACCACAAGACTTTTTGTTTCTAGTTATTTAAATAAAACATCCATCTTACCTATCCCTGGACTCCAGGTTTTGCTTGAAGACATGCATAACACCCTAAGAATAATTGATAACTTGCTTTATAGAAAAATGATTGGCAGAAAACTGAACCATGGATAAATGTGATTTAATTTTGAGGGTTTTGAGAGTCCTGGGGTCTAGTAAAGTGATTATTTTGGAGTTCTGGGGTCAAGTAGGTGGAACAGTCGTTAGCGAAGAATATTTATTTGAACTAAATGTACATAAAAGAACTAAGAAATTTTAATTCAATTTTGAACTAAAAAAATAGATATTTTCACATTATATAACAAATGTACATATATGAACTTTCTGACCATATCACAACATAGATTTTAAAGTCTTCATATCATGGCAAAAAAGAGAGATAAATTATTTGCAAAATAGGAAGAATATCAAAATTGACTCAAATGTATTTGAGAACTAATGTTGTAAAACATTACCATGCAAAACTCTGAAATCAGCCACATAAAAGAAAGCTGACATATATTATGAATCATATAAGGTATACATCGTACATTACACATAACATCACACAGGACAAAAAATATATACCTGGGTATAGCAGGTTTGTTTTGGCTGATGAAATTCAAAATTTAGATGAATGAAGATGGAAAGAAGATGAGAATGAAATGAGGAAACATGAAAGTATGGATGTAAGAAGAATGAAAGCATGACTTTGGCCAATATGCGCTCCCAGAGAGAACCTTACTTCTGAGGCTCACTCCGTAATCTCCTCTTACAATCAAGTCACATGATAGAGCATGTCATTGTTCTGTGTACCTACCTCTCCTTGTGTAATTACTCTGTTAACAACGTAGCCTTCCTCTTGTCTCACTATAAATGTTTTCCTGTCCAAAGGGCAGTTTTCAAGCTGAAATATTAAATAATTCTACTGTATGTATTTACGAGTATTTATGTAAATGATGTGAACATTTACAATAGTTTTGACTCATTTTACATCAAAAGGATCAAATATGTGGCCTATTAGAAAATATTTTGAAAGTAGTGATTAAAAAAATTTGTCACTTTGGCTTAATTCTAGAGGGATTTCTATATTAGTTGTATATTAATAGCACTAGCTCAAAAGGAAATATTATCTATTAATGTAGATTTTTCTTGACTAATAATAACAGATGGTAAATAAAGGATCTTCACAAGCATTAAATATTGACATAAATTTGCCAGTAGCAGGTATCAGCCCTGAAAGATACATCCTGGTGGTTTACTTTTAAAAAAAATCATAAATCAGTTCAACTACATAGTTCTTTTCCAATGATGAAAGTTCTTAAAACCATTCAATTTTCCAAATAAAAATCATTAATTTTAATGTAATATTTGAAACTGGCAAACAATACCTTTACATATTCATGATGTTGCTGTTCGACTGTCTCGAGGTTTTGTCCAACATAAGCAGTGATTGATGTACCACATGGAACACCATCTATGGAACCATGACTGTTTGCATGTATGAGATAACAATCTTGTTGTTTGTGACGAGTTGGTTCCACAGATACTGTAAATTCTCCCAGTTCTCTTCCCTGTTTTGTACCACTGGTGTATGTGTCTGATGAAGTCGTCAACAGACTGTCATCAAACATCAAGTACTTAAAGTCCTCCTCTGGAACTAAAAACAGAACATCACATGCTATCATTTTTTAAAACAGTTTATATGTTACACACACGTTACCAATAGTTATATTTGCTGTCAGTTATAATTTTCTTTTCTGATTTGTCATTGGGAAATATAATATAAAATCAGGTAATGATGTACGCAAGTCTTGTACTATTGTAATGTTACTAACAACATGATCTCCTCACTTACCATGGTAATCATTACTTTTCATATAAAACTATATAGCATTATGAATGATAAAATATTGGACTCTGACTAGATACAAATTGTGGGACTTACTTTACCATTTTAATAATAATTAACTAATTTATGCATAATTTAACAAAAACAAAACAAAAATGCACAGATATATAAGTGTCTTAAAACTGTGATCAGTTCAGTTTCAGATTTTCCCACTAATTCTTGTGTTGATTGTTAATACAGGTAACAGCATGATCTCCATAAGCAGGACTAAACCATGTTTTAAAAGCTTTGGATCATGACCTCAAATTGCATTATCATTGACTTATGATACTGTAACAGTCATTTAAGTTCACTCAAGCTGACATATCCTATATTGCTGTAGAATAAAAAAATCCCATGTGGGTGTTACTATGGGGCACATGTATTTTACATACATGCAAAAGTGGAATAAACTGGGGAAAAAACATTTACCTATACTGTCCAAGAATTTGAGGGCAGCATCACTAGGTTCTGGTACTTCCTCTGGAACTGTTTCTCGGACAGTTGTGGGCACCTGAGACGTAGTCTCTGATGTTGTGATACTGCAAATATAACTTCATAATTAAACACCAGTATCATGAATAATTTGACATAACATTTTTTCTGTTCTTATACATTTATGTGGCAATTGCTGAAATTAAAGTAATTATTCAGACAGATCATTGGAATAAAACAAATCCACTCATTAGTGTAGTTGCAATCACCAAAGATGCTTCTTGCTCCAATACCAGATGCTTGGCATTTTGACAGATGTCTTTCCAGACCAAAAATCTGTCCATCAGAATGTCTAGTGTAGGAGCCAAATGAAATCTGGGTTACAGTTGCCAAACACATGTCCAGTCTCGCGTAACTTGTAAACTGAAAATCTCTATGGCTGAGATCCCATTTCTTCACTCCTTTACCCTACACGTGTGTATCTATACAACTATAACAGTTTTCAATGATTGTCAACAATGCATCTGCCTCATACAAATACACTTTAAATCTAAGTATTTGTCTAGAGATATTGGAGAAACATGTTGATTTTCGGCAAACTCTGTCATTGGCATAGTACGTATATTCACTCTGGGTTGTGACCACTACCACCCCCTTTCCCAACATAAGGAACTCATTTTCCAACATCATATCCTGTGAGGAACAGGTCCTCTACAACTGCCAAAAACTCGAAATTTATGCTATATATAACAAACCTTGTGATCGTTGTTGCACTCATTATGTTCGTTACGCAGGATTATATGCTAAGACAGGATTAAGATTCCTGCTTCTTTCCAGGTTAAGTTAAACTAAGGATATTTTCAACTTTTATCCATCTGTCAAGAGTAATAATGTCTCTATGGCAATAGCGATACTAATACTACTTCCGGTAATTTTCATAAAGGCTATTCTATTGAGTAATACGTACAACGAATATCATTTTCCGGAATATCTTGAAACTTTGAGTGTTCGTTAAAATCTCACCTTATATTTAAAAAGAGATACCAGTTAGCTGAGATACAAAATTTAGGATCATAACAATAAGAAAGATATCTTATAAAAACAATTCAATATAGACAGAAGCATTAATTCATTCACGAAGAAACGTTAAATTTAAAAAATAACAAGCTTCCAGGCAATATTTCACAAAATCAGTGTTTTATGTCAATTCACTAAAATCAAAAAGAACGTTTATATAGTGTTTTATAACCCTCCGTGAAACAGATATTGCTTTTCCGTATATTCTTTACTATTTTAGTGTAACCCTCTGAATGAAGGGAGATAATCATTCACTAAACATTCGTGCGTGTCATACCACTAAACAAGCACCATGGAAAATGTTTACAAGAAATTACAGTTGCAGCATCAGGTTTGAATTTAATATATATTTAATGATAACTATCGGGGGACTTGTTTTGAAAATTATTCTTGTGTTGTTTATTTCGTCCTTGAACACGTAGAAAAAGACTTTGTACTAAATATGTATTACTAGTGATGTTACACATTCCTACTTTCTTACTTTCGCTTTCCATTTCTTGTTAATGTTACTGAAGTAGACTTAGAACTTTACACGTGAACACGAGTTTGTTTGGCTATGACCCCCATACCAAAATTACAGTTTAATATTATGCATTTATATAAGAAGTCCTTAGCTAGTTGTAAACATTCTTGTCAACAGCTGGTTAACCACAACCCTGTTATAGTTCTGCATTTGAGGGATAGTTATATTACTGCTTTGAGTAATTAAGTAGTACCTCAAATGTAGTGTCGCTAACACTCACCATCAAATCTCTATAAATAGCCGTTTGAAACGAAGTCTGATATGTAGGATATTTATCCAAAATCTTTGATTCAAAATTATCAACATGTTGGAAAATATTTACTATGTAATGAGGGATGGAGGGGTTTTTCAACAATGTTTTTCTTAAAATCGATTGTTTCAGTTTTCATTGAGATAATTCAATCAGCATATAGAACTTATATTGCTTTTTTTTCATTTATTTTTTCAAGATAAGAGAAAAAGAAGTGCTCAATAGTGAATTGTCAACATTGAAGAAAAATGCAGTAAGTTTGTATTGGCTACTTGACATTTACAAAGTTTTATCACTGTAGGATTTTTTATTAGTTTAAATGAGAAAGTTTTATCAATTCTTTCAATGACAACTTGATATAAATAAATTAAATCAACCTTTATTTTTTGGTCACACCAAAAGTTCAATATGGCAGTCATAGCAGCCATTTTGTAACATGATTGCACAATCATGGTTTTCCTGAGCAATACTTATCAAGAATTTTAGACAACTACTCAAATTCCACAAGTTTGCTGCAACTTGCTAGAAATGATCCTGAGATAGTCCTGAACCAAATGATGTTATTTTTCGGGTCAATCTGAAATCCAATGTTGCTGCCATCTTGAAAACCACATTTTAAACTCTTTCAAGTTCTACTTGTGCCAGTGAGTTTAAAATTGATGGGAAAGTTAATAAGAGATGCCAACAAATTGTTGTTAATTATACTTCTATGCAATGAAGTTTGGGGTATAATGGAATCACCCTGTACGACCGTCCGTCTGTCTGGAATATTGTGTAAATTGCATCTGAAAAAGTGCTGAAGCAATATTCTTGAAACTTGACATACTACATCCTTATGATATACAGTTGTGCCCATTCACATTTGATAGAGTTATTCCCCTTTTTGGAAATATTCTGTTTGGAATATTGTGTCAAGTGAATCCAATAAAGCACTGAAGCAATATTTCTCAAAATTGGCATGCTACATCCCTATGATATATAGTTGTGCCATTTCACTATTCATTAAGTTGAAAATTGGTATAAAAAGGTTTAGGGGGATTACAAATACAACAAAACCATTTTTGAAAACAAATGTTTCCACTTGGTTGTTACTAGTGACTTCGGGCATCCTGGCGAGAGTCTAAGTTTCTAGTTGATCAGAAGTTCAATATGGCAGCCACGACAGCCGTTTTGTAACACAATTGCATAATCAAATACCTATTTTAAATAATCTTCTCAAATTCTTCTAGGGAGAATGAGCTGAAACTTGAAATAATTCTGAGATGGCCCTGACAGTGTGTTGTTATTTTGGGTCAGCCTGAAATCAAATATGGCCACCATCTTGGAAAAACACACGTTGAAAATCAAGAACCCGTGGTGCCATAGAGCTGAAATTTGGTGGGAATGTTAAACTGAAAGCAGGAGTGTTTTCTCCCTGTTGTTTTTATCATTTAGTAACTGTTCCTACTATGTACTACTGCTGTTACATACATGAAGGTCTTTATAATAATTCAGATGTAGTTCACTCCTTTGGACTTTTGTTGTATAAATTGATATATAGTCTATCAAATCACACAAATACATACTATATACATTACCATGTTTGATATGATTATAAGGGAATTTTGTTTTATTACTTCCAGAAAGTATACAAACAACAACAGAACAGCAATGTGTTTTTTCTTGCAAACAGAGACACTGTTTTCAGTGAGTGTAAAAGTAAGTACTATCAATAGCTCAGTCAGTACATACTCTCAGTTGAGGATTCCAGATGTGTGTTTCCTGGCCCCTCACTCATTACTTTTTGAGAAGCTGAGAAATTGACTGGTCTGTATTGTCATTTTTGTGTCTTTCGGCAAAACACTTTACTTGAAATGCTTTGGATGGCATGTAACAGGCCAAAACTATGTCATTCAATGAGGTAACCTCTCTTGGTACTATAAGGAGACTTTGAACCTTGACCCTGGCTGTTCATGAGGCAATAAACCCCGACAAACCAACAGTCATGTTGAAGGTATGGGGTAACACACAAAATGTTGGATGGAGGTGAGAGCAGGTTATATAGTATGTGTTACCCATGTTGGTCTCTCCTGTTCTGTCATGTCACACTGCATCACTTCAGGTCCAGTCCCCTTCCAGAACTGTAGGATGAGAGCAGGGTCATCCATTTTATAGAGAAATTTTAACCTTACTTCTTTATCAGTTACACTAGTACATACAACAAACTTGGGAAAATTGATGAAATGCTGTATATTAGAAAATTATTTGTGAATTAATTTTTTTCACAATTTCTTGTAAACAGGAACTCTAGATAGTTTGGTACAAGAATACAAGGAGATGGAATCTGCTGCACCTTCTGAAGATCAAGAGGAAGAAGAAACATAGATTCACATACAAGGGGTTGTTAGAAAGGTGAACATTTAGTGGTACCTTTGCGACTTGCTTGAAGGGTAGAGGAAGAAATGGCCTCAATCGCTCTCCAAACTTAAGGAAAAGCAAGATTGGGCATGTTGAAAAGCCAAGAGGATGAGGAAACAGAGACACAGATGAAGAACTTAAAATGTGATAGCAGAACTATTGTTAGTTTTACACAAAAATTGACGGTTAACAACTGGGAGTGTTAAACACCATTTGACTATTGTAAACATCTATCAGCACATGCTTTTACTCAATCCTAACTAAACAGTTTAGTCACTGACCTTTATGAATGATATAACAGGTCAAGATGATGAATTTTTATGCACTTTTGTCTCCAATGATCAATACATTTTTTTTTATTTGTTGCCCTTTGTTTTAACTCCAGCTTCAATAAAATTATTATTTGGGAGAGTCATTCACCTTCATTTTCTTGGTCCTTGAAAATTATTGGGGGAGCATATAGTTTCCGCCTTGTCTGTCCTTCTGTCCGTCCTTTTGTATCCAGAGTATGACTTTGCTCACAGTTTAGCAAGGATCATGAAACTGTGTGTATACATTGGTCATACTAAGTGGATGTGCAGTGTACCTAATTCGGGGCCTTCATACCCTTAATTACAGAGACACTACCCTTTGTTAAAATTTTGTGTCCAGAGCATAACTTTGCTTGCATTTAAACTAGAATAATGAAACATAGTGTATAAATTGATCATACCAAGACAATGAGCATTGTACCAAAATTGGGACATGCAGTCCCACAATTACATAGTTATTGCCCTTCATTAAAATTTTGTGTCCAGAGCAATGCTTTGCCTGAGTTTAAACTAGGATATCAAAACATGATGTAACCAGTAAACATCAGTCATATAAAAGCAAGCTGCAGTATAGCAAAGTCGGGACCCATGAACCCTCAAAACAGAGTTGTAGCCCTTTGTTAAAATTTTGTGTCATGAAAATAGCTTTGCTTACATTAAAACTAGGACTGTGAAACTTGGTGTATGCATTGATCATGCTGCAAAAATGCGCAGTACACCAAATAAAAGGCCTGCAACCGCTTAATTACAGAATTATTGCCCTTTGTTAATTTTTTGTGTCCAATAAATTGTTTTTGAGGATTATTGGTCAGATACTCTTGTTACCTAAATTGAGATTAAAAATTCATTTCAGATTTGTGTAAATTGTGATTTTTTTCTTTGATTGAGAGACATGTTGTGTATATGAACACCTGGATCATCAGCTGAACAGGATCAGAAGAGGGTGGGGGGAGAGCTTTTCTTCTTTATTTTTATGTCTGTGATAATTTGTCAGCTCTCTAGTGGCTTCATCCCTTGCAGGATTCTCTTCAAGTTTCACACAATTATAAAGCTTCAAATTATCTTGGATAATATATAGTTTTATTGTCGTTGATTTAATGTCAAGGTCATTATTACTAATTTTTTTTAAAATTATAAATCATAATTGCTTGTGTTGACTGATTGGGGACATGTATTACTTCAGTAATAATCATTATGCTTGTTTTACTCCAGTAGCTGGTAAATTACTTTCGAGATTGAGCACCACATAAGATTTTGATAAAGATAAAGAAATCAATTTTTTGTCCACATCTGTGGTTTTGAATTCAGATGGTAAATATTGGTCTTCCTTGCATACAATTCAATGAGGATGTGACTTCATTGATTTTAATTACAATTTCAAGTAATAAAGGTATATTTTATGCCAGAATCTACCACGGTGACCTAATGGTCAACACATCGGTAACAATAGACATGGCACAGTAAATTTGTAACTAAATACCCTGGGTAGTTTTTTTGAGTCATGTTTTATGTTTGGCACTCTACACAGTGGGCTTTGATAGCTGAGTTGGTTAGATGTTGGTCAGATATAGATCAATGGCTGGTATGACACTCCCTCCCCATGGCAGTTTGTGTTTCTCATTAACCTGAGAAATGACCAGTCTGTGCTGTCATGTCTGTGTCCTTGGGCAGGAAAATTTACCCTTATCAATGTGGATGGCATGCATCAGTCTTGTGTATGTTGTTGAGTAAGGTAGCTGTTCATCGGTGAATAAACCCAAAAAGCAAACAAAACTCTACACAATTTTGTTATTGTTTTGAAACAGAGAACTCTGCATTTCAAAGTGGAGATGTTTTTTAGGCTGACCACAAAGACTTTATTAAGTCGGTTTTTTGATAATGAGTGAATCCCATTGTATTTCATCATGGTAGGGAAAATGTCATTTTCTTCCCTCAAGGATATGGTTTCATCCATATTATACATGTACACAAACATGTAATCCTGGGGCAATATTTATTAATGTTCTCCAAAGGCTGATTGAACGTAAAGTACTACACTGTATACATAGGTATTTTAGCAGTAATCTTATTTCAGTGCTTTTTGCACTAAAGATATTGCACTATGTCAATAGCAGTTTCTGTCGTTGATATAGCAATCATAGCAAATGTACAAATTCATCATGATATTGTGCTTATTTGTTCAAAACTCACATTACTCTGAAATTTGTTCACACCAAAATAATTACTGTATCTTGTTAGGGTATGTTATCTAAGTTTTTTTCTCTCATATTTTTCCTACTTAGTAATTTGGAAGCTGAATATCCACCTGCTGTTCTAACAAATAAACATTACAAACTTTCAGACTGTTAGTTATTCCATGTGGAATCACAATATGTACTTGAATGTACATGAGATTGTTACATTATATAATGTGTCTCTCTTGCATTACCTAATGCACTGTAATCATACAGCCTTTCATACCAGAAGGGGTCGTTACAGCTCACTTGGTCAAGGCATTGGCCTCTCTAACCTCGTTACAGCTCACTTGGTCAGGGCATTGGCCTCTCTAACCTCGTTACAGCTCACTTGGTCAGGGCATTGGCCTCTCTAACCTCGTTCCAGCTCACTTGGTCAGGGCATTGGCCTCTCTAACCTCATTACAGCTCACTTGGTCAGGGCATTGGCCTCTCTAACCTCGTTACAGCTCACTTGGTCAGGGCATTGGCCTCTCTAACCTCGTTCCAGCTGACTTGGTCAGGGCATTGGCCTCTCTAACCTTGTTACAGCTCACTTGGTCAGGGCATTGGCCTCTCTAACCTCGTTACAGCTCACTTGGTCAGGGCATTGGCCTCTCTAACCTCGTTCCAGCTCACTTGGTCAGGGCATTGGCCTCTCTAACCTCAAGGTTTGAGGTGCATGGTTCACTGCTTCCTTGCAGTGGTGGTTTGGGTTTCTCAGAAGGTGAGAAGTAGACCAGTTTGTGCTGACATGCTTTGGATGGCATTTGACAGACTTCTTGTATGCTGCTCAGGGAGACAATTAACAGCAAGTAAAAGGAGACAATGCCTCAAAATAAATTTGCCTGTTCACAGGGAAACAAACCCAGCAAAGCATCTTGTATGCTCTCAATATTATTTACTTTTGAATCAACTGCAGGACAGGGCCAGTGTAACCTAGCCGAGCGATTGCCACACAGACAACAACCACATTGTTATATATTTATATATTTACATTTATACAAGTTATGTTTTTTGTTTTTTTCTTTCTATAAAAATCAGTTCACCATACACTCATTACACCTTCCACTGAAACAATCCGCAATCACCAGTACATACACACACAAATCACAAATATAGTATCACCAATAAACCCAAACCCTAAAGTCTTTGTAGCCTCACATTCCTATCACAGTTGGGTTATCACAGATGGTATAGAATTGTCAAAGTCTGTCCAAAACACTTTCATGGAGAAACAACTCTTGTCCAAACCGACTGATGCCTCGTTGGTTCTGTACCTTCCAGCGCTGATGGCTTCAGTTTGAAACAACGAACCTGGCATAACACCTCTTGGTTTCCAACATGTAAGTGTCAACCACAGGGCAAATTAGTGGCCGTACTGGCTACTCTTGAGTGCATTGCGTAGTGTACTCTACCTCCCACTATCACCATGCACTGTGAACTCTGGTACAAGTACTGTTCAATTATATACATAAAGCAGAGTCAGAACTGCTATAGACACATGAAGTCTCCCGGCTTCCGTACTTCCCACTTTGGACAAAGCCTATCCATATAAGAAGCTACAAAATATGAAAATAACCCTACAGTATGATCGTTACACCTTTACAACATTAGGTATTATATATTGTTATCATAACAAGCGTTATGTATCTTCATTTTGCAACATTTACAGGTAGAAAGCTACGTAAACAGTTCGCACGATCTTGCACGAGCGTACCCGGTAAACACAATAAACAAATCCATTCATACACACTTAAACATAACTTTCGGCATAAACATTCAAATCACAGATTATATATACACAGAGAAAGAAAGCGAAAGAGATATGAGATCATTTGTGTACTTACCGTGACTGTTATTCATGCTTCTTCAGAATAAAACGGCATCTGCATTTCCATGCCGTGTACCTGTATTCAATACCGGGTGGACTCTCTCCTATGGAAGCCCTGAGCAACCGTACAATCGCCGGTAAAGCAATACTCACCGTAAAAATAGAGTCAGATTGTGACAGCCAGTGTGGCCAAGTGGTTATGGTATCTGTCTTTATCACTAGCAATCCAGTCCACCTCTGGGTCACAGGTTTGAGGCCTGCGTGGGGCAGTCATCAAGGTCTGGCTACAAGTTTGCGATTTTTCTACAGTCACTACAGATATCCTCTACCACCCAAACCTGGGAAGTCCTTCAATGACCTTGGTTTTCTTAGGACGTAAGGCAACCATAAACCAAAGTGTAAGAAATTGATGAGTGTGTGCTGACATGGTTATATGGTAAGACACTGTACCCTTATAGATATCCAGAGCATTCTGTTTATTGTTATACCTCAAACTTAGGTAAAGAGGTATACAGTAATCATTGTGTCAGTCAACATCCATGTGTGTATGGGTCAGTGATATTGTTGTGTACACCGCATCTCATGAACCCATGGACAGATTTAATTCATATTTAAACCATAAAATTACAACAATAAGGTCTACATCTTTTTAGCATTTGGTGGTCATTGCTCAAGGTTACTACATTTAAAGAGGTAACTTGTGTAAAAAATTTCTAGGGAACTGTCTGATGGACAGATCTAGTTCTTATCTACATGAAAGCATCACCCCATCAAGGAATACATCTGATTAGATTTTAGTAGTCATAGGTCAAAAGTAAACTTCACGGTCATCCTTGACCTCATTTTAAAATGAACAACCTCAATGCATCAAACCCTTAATATATTTAGATCAGAAAGAGAGGAAATGAAATGAGGGAATGGGGGTATGTCTAATTGACTCCCTTCTCATTTTTTATTCAGTACAATAGGGACAAGGAGATCCCACATCTAAATGACCCTGATTTATTATTTGTTTACAGCAATTCATAGTTATCTATATAAACTTAATCAGACCAATAATATGTATTTAAAATGACTGATTTATTTACTCCCTGAGCTACAAAAATTAACTTCCAGACTCCAGATGTATACTTTCAAAACATTTATTGTTAAATTAAAAAATAATTTGAAAAGTTGTCACAGCTAACAACATTTCTTGTCGTAGTGAAACGACATATAAATATAATGTAGTTATCGTGATATCTTTGATTAATGAACACATCCAATCATTCCTTAGCTGTAAATTTTTTCAAACTAATCGCTAAACTACACTATCCTGAATTTCAGGTTTCCTGTCACCACATTTGTCACCTGATCTTTCATCACACCTGTTTGTTACCTTATTGGTCACCACATCTGTCACCTGATCTTTCATCACACCTGTATCTGTTACCTTATTGGTCACCACATTTGTCACTATCTTTGTCTCCTTACCTGTCACCACACTTCAACTTTCAGCTGTCTGTTACCTGTAACCACTTGCATCACCTCCCTGTCTCCTCTCCTATCACTACACCACAGCCACTTGCATGTTTTCTGTCACTATATCTGTCTCCTCTGATTCCTCATCTGTCACCACACCTGTCGCCTAAAATTTACTACACTTTTCACTACACCTATCATCTGACTGTTACCTGTAACTACATGTGTCACCACTCTTTCCTCATCTGTTATCACACCTGTCGCTTACCACAACTTTCAATACATCTTTCACTTGACTGTTACCTGTAACCACATGGGTCACCTCCCCTTCTCTTCATCTGTTACCATACCTTACTTGCCATTTACCCGTTTTCAGATATGTGTCTGCTACGTAAACTGTCTTCATCTTTTTTTATACCTGTTACTATCACATCCTGTTATCTGTCAGCACATTTGTCACCTTACCTATCACCACAACTATTACCTGTCTATAACCTTGCATTTCACCTGACTGTGGCCTTGCCTGTCACCATACATATTGCCTTACCTCTCACCACATCTGGCATCTGCCTATTGCCTTACCAGTCATCTCGTGTGACACCTCAGCTATTTCCTCAACTGTCGAAACACCTGTCACATGTCTATAATCTCTGTTGCTGCCACATCTATCACCTCACCTATTACTTCAGTTGTCTCCTGCTCGATACCTTACCTGTCACAACATCTTTATTATTATTGTTACCAATTATCACCTCATATGTCATGTTACCTGTCACTTTACTTGTCATCTGCCTGTTACATGATATCTATCACCATACCTGTCACCACACCTGCCACTTTACTTGTCATCTGCCTATTATATGATATCTATCACCTCAGTATAATATAGTCACCACACCTCAGTGTAATATTGTCACCACACCTCAGTGTAATATTGTCACCACACTTCAGTGTAATATTGTCACCACACTTCAGTATAATATTGTCACCACATCTCAGTGTAATATTGTCACCACACCTCAGTGTAATATTGTCACCACACTTCAGTATAATATTGTCACCACACCTAGTGTAATATTGTCACCACACTTCAGTGTAATATTGTCACCACACCTCAGTGTAATATTGTCACCACACTTCAGTATAATATTGTCACCACATCTCAGTGTAATATTGTCACCACACCTCAGTGTAATATTGTCACCACACTTCAGTATAATATTGTCACCACACCTCAGTGTAATATTGTCACCACACTTCAGTATAATATTGTCACCACATCTCAGTGTAATATTGTCACCACACCTCAGTGTAATATTGTCACCACACTTCAGTGTAATATTGTCACCACACCTCAGTGTAATATTGTCACCACACTTCAGTGTAATATTGTCACCACACCTCAGTGTAATATTGTCACCACACTTCAGTATAATATTGTCACCACATCTCAGTGTAATATTGTCACCACACCTCAGTGTAATATTGTCACCACACTTCAGTATAATATTGTCACCACACCTCAGTGTAATATTGTCACCACACTTCAGTATAATATTGTCACCACATCTCAGTGTAATATTGTCACCACACCTCAGTGTAATATTGTCACCACACTTCAGTATAATATTGTCACCACACCTCAGTGTAATATTGAGATTTTACATGTATTTCATAGAAACAACCTGTCTGAATGACTTAGCCTAACCATCCACTCTTTTTGACACTCAACAATAAATAGTGATTATTTATTAAAATGATCATGAGGTTTTTACTATGAATGAAAGTTAAGCATTTTTGTAATTTTTTTTTCCTTTTCACTTCAGATTTTAAGTTGAACAAGACTTTACAGTCCTGAAACTTTGATAGTCTTTGTTTGATTCAGTTCTTGTAAGTTGATCTACTTAGTGAAAAAAAGTGTTAATCTTGGGAAACAGCAGCAACATAATTATTTTATCACAGTATATAGATAGTGAACTACAGTCACCAGCTGGAAGTAATCCACCAACATAGAAAAGATGAAGCTTGCAAAGATTTGGCCAACTCCAGTTACTTAGTCTTTCTGGTCCACAGTTCAAGTTTTTCCTGTCATATTTTACATCAAAGCATTTTGTGGTGTTGGAGTTCAAACACATATCATAAAATCATTCTTCCATGCCACCACAAGGAATTCCAAGACCAAGAGTTGATTGTAATTGAAGTAAGCCTGGTCCACAATTTCTTTGGGTAGTGACACCAAGCCAATTACAATTACTACACACTCTACACACCAAGATCATTTCCAGTTTGATAAAAGGGCCTGACTTCAGTGTTTTAGAGATACTGCAAAGCTTACACACACAAGTGGAATTGTTTTTGTATAGTCTGTCAGGATGTTGCATCCTTTAAAAAAGCTATAATGTCATTCCTGTCCTGGGGACTTTTCAAACCAGAGAAGTTCATTTTTGTTCCAGGCATGAATTTTATTGGATCTTCCAAATACATGAACAATGTGTGTTCATTCCAAATCATCCCTGAAATGAAAAATAGAAATAATTAGTTTCACATTTTAGTACCATGTATTAATGTTGTACATATATTGGAAAATGTATAGATGGTAATGATTTTGATGAATTAATGATTAGTTTACCACTTGAAGCTAAGACCTAGACAATTGATCAGTAATAACAAATATTGTATCCCTTAATTCCATCAAACCACAAGCCAAATACACTTATACCCTCAATGTTTAGCCCTTTGTCATCAGATGGAGGGCAATTCAAATTGTCCATCGTTCATCGATATATCCATCCTTCTTATTGCAATTTCAATAGAAGCAAAGGATGGATCATTCTGAAATTTCATATATAAGTTCCCCTTAGTCCTTATTTGTGCACATTTCATTTTTAGCAAATCAGAAAAATAACATGGCTGACAAGTGGCCATCTTGGATTTTGACAATTAAGGTTTGATTTCTGTAGCTCTAGCTGTAGTACTGGATGGATCTTGTACAGAATGAGATGTAAAATTGTAAAAGCGAACATGATGATGTCAGACATCATCTTTGATTCTAATGATCATATCACCAAAACAGTTTACATATGTAATTAGGTTTTACCTTTATACATGTTGGAAGGACTGTAACTGTACCCTTTAGCTGAGCCTGTCTGCCTACCAAACAGTCCATGAAGGTTTGGTCCTGTCTTGTTACCAGCGTCCTCTTCCAAGGTATGACAATATGCACATTTTTGCATAAAGATTTTTTTCCCTTTCTCAGCATTTCCTGCACCCACTTTCTGTGGCCTGTTATATGTAAATGTGTTTCATTTAACATACCAATAAAGAAGAACTGTACAAATACATTTTAAAAATATTGTCATTGATTCATGGTCAGTAGTCATTGATGCGGTAATGGTCAGTTGTTAGTGATGTGAGTAATGGTCATGTGTCATTGATATTTGTCATGGTCATTTGTCATTGATGTATATAATTGTCTGTTGTCAATTATATGTGCCATGGTCAGTTGTCAATGATGTGTGCCATGGTCAGTTGTCAATAATGTGTGCCATGGTCAGTTGTCAATGATGTGTGCCATGGTCAGTTGTCAATGATGTGTATAATGATCATTTGTTAGTGATGTGAGTCATGGTCAGTTGTCGTTGATATTTGTCATGGTCAGTTGTCAATGATGTGTGCCATGGTCAGTTGTCAGTGATGTGTGCCATGATCAGTTGTCAATGATATGTGCCATGGTCAGTTTTCAATGATATGTGTGCCATGGTCAGTTGTCATGATGTGTATAATGATCATTTGTTAGTGATGTGTGCCATGGTCAGTTGTCGTTGACATATATATATTGGTCAGTTGTCAGCGATGTGTGCCATGGTCAGTTGTCAATGATATGTGCCATGGTCAGTTGTCAATGATGTGTACCATGGTCAGTTGTCAATGATGTGTATAATAATCATTTGTTAGTGATGTGAGTAATGGTCATGTGTCATTGATATTTGTCATGGTCAGTTGTCAGTGATGTGTGCCATGGTCAGTTGTCAATGATATGTGCCATGGTCAGTTGTCAATGATGTGTGCCATGGTCAGTTGTCAATGATGTGTATAATGATTATTTGTTAGTGATGTGAGTTATGGTCAGTTGTCGTTGACATATATATATATATATATATCTGTCAGTTGCCATTGATGTGTAAAATTGTCAGCTGTCTTTTCACTTACAGGTTTTTATTGTTGTATGCAATGGCTAGTTGTTATTGCTAGGAGTAATAGTCAGTGGTCATCGGTTCATGAAATGGTCAGTTGTCATTGATGTGTATACTGGTCAGTTGTCATTGATGTGTATACTGGTCAGTTGTCATTGATGTGTGAACTGTTATCATTGATTCATAAATTGATCAGTTGTCAATGACAGATGTCAGTTGTCATCAATGTTAGTCATTGATGTGTTATGATCCATTGTCATTAACTGATGTAATGGTCAGTTGTCATTGATTTGTGTAAAGGTCAATTGTCATTGATTTGTGTAAAGGTCAGTTGTCATTGATTTGTGTTAAGGTCAGTTTTCATTGATTTGTGTAAAGGTCAGTTGTCACTGATTTGTGTAAAGGTCAGTTGTCATTGATTTTTGTAATGGTCTGTTGTCACTGACTTGTGAAATGGTTAGTTATCATTATAGTGTGTAATGGTCAGTAGTCATTCTTGTTTGTAAAGATCAGTTGTCATTGATTTGTGTAATGGTCAGTTGTCACCGATTTGTGTAATGGTCAGTTGTCATTGATTTGTGTAATGGTCAGTTGTCACCGATTTGTGTAATGGTCAGTTGTCATTGATTTGTGTAATGGTCAGTTGTCACCGATTTGTGTAATGGTCAGTTGTCATTGATTTGTGTAATGGTCAGTTGTCACCGATTTGTGTAATGGTCAGTTGTCATTGATTTGTGTAATGGTCAGTTGTCACCGATTTGTGTAATGGTCAGTTGTCACTGATTTGTGTAATGGTCAGTTGTCACTGATTTGTGTAATGGTCAGTTGTCATTGATTTGTGTAATGGTCAGTTGTCACTGATTTGTGTAATGGTCAGTTGTCACTGATTTGTGTAATGGTCAGTTGTCACTGATTTGTGTAATGGTCAGTTGTCACTGATCTGTGAAAAGGTTAGTTATCAATTTGTGTAATGGTTAGTTGTCACCGATTTGTGTAATGGTCAGTTGTCACTGATTTGTGTAATGGTCAGTTGTCACCGATCTGTGTAATGGTCAGTTGTCACCGATTTGTGTAATGGTCAGTTGTCACTGATTTGTGTAATGGTCAGTTGTCACCGATTTGTGTAATGGTCAGTTGTCACTGATTTGTGTAATGGTCAGTTGTCACTGATCTGTGAAAAGGTTAGTTATCAATTTGTGTAATGGTTAGTTGTCATTATAGTATGTAATGGTTAGTTGTCATTCTTGTTTGTAAAGATCAGTTGTCATTCTCTTGTGTAACGGTCAGTTGTCATTAATGCAAGTAAAGGTATGTTGTCATACATGTAATGGTCAGTTTTCATTGAAAATTTATATTCAAAACAATTGTACAAGTATCATGTTTTTGAATTCTCGATCCAATTCAGGCCGTTTTTTGTTCCCAATAATTTCTCTAAACCCTGTAACTTGAATTAGTATTTTATCCATATTTGTTTTGCGTGAACACGTTTTATTTCTTGCATGAACTTCAACTTAAAAGATGATGTATGCACACTCTACCGTCTGAACAATTGTCTTCCCAAACTAGTCTAGATTGAAACAAGAGGCCCATGCACCTTAACGGTGATCTAACTACAAATCCTTCCAGCAGGGAGAGGAGTTTGGGTTTTTTTTATACTTTGAATGAAATCTTACTAAGAAGCTGTTTTCCATGATGCAGATGGTAGTTTTGGTTAGGAGTAGGTAACTGTAACAAGTGATACCTATATTTTGACAGTAAAGTGGAGCTCAATCCAACTGGTGAAACTTAAGAAGTTTGAAAAAGGTGTTGCACAATCATGTTACAAAATCACCTCCCAGACTGCTGCATCAAAGTTTTGACAAGGTTGAAAAAGAACACTTTGTTGGCTACCATTTTTCTTAACATTCCCAACAATGTTTTGCTCAATGGCAGCAGTGGAACCGAGAAATTTGAATTAAATTTTTTCCAGATGGTGGCCATCTTGGATTTCAAACATAACCGAAAAATAACAACACTTGGTCAGGACTATCTCAGGATCATTTCACACATTCCACTGGTGGAACTTGAAGAGCTTGAAATGTATACACCCAATGGATGAAGCACGACGGCCATTGCAATTTTTTTCATTTTTTGACACTTTGTTATCACAATTTGAAGCTCTGTACTAAGTTAATTGTCCAGCGACTTTTCTAATTTTAGAAATTTACCAGTCAGTCTGAGGGATGGTCAATGTTTCATCCATTCCATCTCATAAGTGATGTTATTTAGAACGGGACAGAGTGACGAAACAATCATCTGTATACAATGAATGAGTATCAATTAAACAAAATTGTATTTTTTACACTTTTACAAGAGACTTTTAATCACCAAACAGTAAACTGTTTGAAGTCATTTGCTCTCTTCACTTGACAAAAAACAAAATCAACATACTTTTTGAAAGCCTGCTAAGTCTTCATAACTGGTTGTATTCAAGATTATCATGTTTTTGATAACCACAGGATACTTTAATACCCCGAAAAGCAAAATCAAAACATGCCAACATTTGTATCAATTTTATTAATATGTTCACACAATTTAACATGTACAAGCCTAATGGAATTGTAATCGAAAAGTATTTACATTTCAATTTAAGATCTGTAATATGTGGCCATCCAGTGACATTAAAGGTAAAAGGTCATGATATGAATATAAAGAAATCAGAAATTGGAACAACCTACTCTTCCCTACACATACTCAACTACACTCAACATTTTTATAAATCTCATCAGCTAAAAAGCATTCAGCAAGTTTGGGTTGAGGTGACCTTTCTGACATAAATTAAAAACTGAATATGCTGGATTCAATTCATATTAAAATCTGACATTAAAAGTTTAATCATTAATGGATACTGGTATTAAAATATTGTTAAAGATGTTTGTTTTGCAGCAGCTGATGACGATGACGGCTTCCACTTGAATTTTGACTTTAGTTCACTCGATGATAGTAGAAATAAACCAGTTCTCACTAAAAACATAAATTCATAAATATTTCAATTGATTTATCTAGATATTCCATCATCATGAGGATTTAGAATTTTCCTTAAGGTAAGCAATTAAGTCTTTTCGTTCCTTGGCCTTCTTGATACCAGCAAACACCATCTTTGTTCCCGGGATGTATTTCTTGGGGTTCTCCAAGTATTCAAACAGGGTCTCCTCGCTCCACACTATACCTATTTGTTGGTAAACACAAGAAAATTCACTATTAAATTATCTGAACACAAATGACTTGCAACACATTTATTCATATCATATACCTGGAATTAAATGTCGTTATTTAATTCACTATATGTTACTGTAAATTACTGAAGATTTTGTGATCAGTGATTTAGAAATGACTTTAAATTTGTGAATGATAGGCTGTTTGATATATTGACTCCAACTACAGTAGACAAATTAGCATCAATGTTCAAATAATCATGAAGGATTTTAGTTCATGATTTGCTCTCATCACCTTATGAACAAGAAATTAACAGTATACAAAATGTTTGTATACATTGAATTAAACCGTTTCGTGTAATTCTTGGTCTGTTTATTTGTTGGAGAAATATATGTCTAGATACCAACCTTTCTTCTTGTTGGCTTCAGTGTAGGTAAATCCTGATGCTTGTCCTGTTTGTCTGCCAAAAGCTCCGTACAGGTTAGGCCCAACTTTGTTAGCACCACCTTCATTGATGGTATGGCACTGAGCACACTTCTGAACAAATACCTTCTTTCCTTTAGCTGCGTCACCCCTTTTAAAGAAAAAGTTGGTATTAAGTACTGAGGTTTATCACTAACTACCCTAATGTCATCTCTTCTCCATTCTTGTTTTCATCTGCCAGAACTAAATTTTCTAATATGTATTTTCATTTTGGTGTTGTACACTCAACTTTGATCATGTGTCACATCAGACAACAGACATTAAGTCACAACTTTGTCAATGGTTGTAAATCATCTTTTTAAAACATTTGAGTTAATAATTTCATTAAATTCGAGTTGCTGTCACACAATAGACCAATTTCATGTGACTCTTATTCAAATCGATTCTCAAATAATTACAAGGGCGAGGGGAGGGGTGTATAGTAAAGGAACTTTCTAAATTTATTTTTGAACAAAGTTTAATACTAAAGCCTGCTATATTTCTCCAAGATGGTTGTAAATTTGCAAGCCTATCCAAAGTGACAGTATGTTAACACAAAATTGCCGAATTCCTTCCTGAAAGACTTACCTCTGTAATATTTTCATGGGAGTGCGCTTCTGGTGAAAACTCCGTATCGATATCAAGACTCAAAGTTAAAGATTTCCTACGGTTTTTTTTACACGATATTGAGAAGTAACATGACCCATGTCGAAGATCAGAGATCGGATTACTAAGCAACCATCTTGGATTGAAGAAGGTACTCGGTTCAATTCATAAACCATTTCTCAGAGAAATAGGAAGTTGAATTCACCTTTTTTAACCTCAGAGGAGTTCAATGACAAAAAAAGTGTTTTCAAGGTTTAAAAACATTTTAAAAAGTAAGCAACTTAACACTTACTCAATATTATTTCTACATGGCTCCAAATATAAATTTTCAACACGAATCCAAGGAGCATTCGGCTACATAGGCTAATTTTGAGCAATACATATACGTGAAAAGAGGAACAGTTGACATTGTCATGAGATAAAGGGCATTGACCTTTAAACTGTCGTACACACAATTGCTGACAGTCATGGAGTTTCAGATTAATATTGTAAAAAATGATAACACAAAACGAGAAAACGGAATGGATACTCTGACTGCAAGAGCAAACTATCAGTTACGAAACAGCGACTTCTGACCATTTACATCGCAATGACATGTGGTCGTCCTTGAATTCCTTGTAAAGCGCCGGCTTCGATATTAGGCGTTTTATATCGTCAAATAACATCAAATCATACTTAAAATATCGCTTGATTATGTAGCTCAAACTAGCAATCATTGATTCATCCATTTGCAATGTCGATTTCAAAGTTCCCATTCATGAAACGGTACTTACATTTTCACAACGTGTTCTCGCTGATCTGACTGGTGGATGCCTACCGGTCGCAGAGGACGATGGGTCTGACGTCACAAATGAGCACGTAGGACGATTCTATTATAGGGTATTATTCTATTTATGTAACGGAATCATTTTGAAGAAATTATCGAGTCGATGGCTGTTTAAACGTCAAGACTTAATAGACATAAGGACTTTAGTTAACGGGAGATACTTTGACTTAATTGCATAATTTTCTGATGGACACTGTGTGATGAAATATATCCTTGTGTCCCCTCAATATGGATTCGTCAATGACCCTTCTGATACAGTGACGTTCCATGTACACTCACGAATTTTAAATAAAAAAAAATCCTTGCAATTTTCTCCTTACGACGTTGATAATCTCATTTATAAAACTGTTGCTAATAGAATATATTTGTATTCAACAAATTATATAACCTCCGCCCAGCCACAAGGGTCAGAAAACATTCACTTCCGGGGAAGGTAATAGGGATCAGTCATTACATCAGCCTAGGCCAGGTGCTTTGGTTATAAAACTGAAAACAAGTTAGTTACGTAAATCTACAAATGGAATACATAAATATAAAATACAGAATAAATATAGCCTCAAATATAATTTATTATTCTAATATTAAAGACATTTATTGTGTTGCAAAGTACAGAAATATTGAGCTTCTAGTTCAAAGCTGACTACATATATTTGGATAAGTAATATTATGCAATGACAGCGCGTAATATTATGCAATGACAGCGCGGTCAAAGGATTTTGTTATTCCCGTGGCTGTCAGTCAGCCCCTTTTGTTATGACTCATACACCAATGGCATTAAACATTTATGCTTCAATAAAAAAGGAAAAGAATTGTCCTTTCAGGGCACAAAACGGTAATTTGACCAACAGTTTTACAGTAAGCACTAAAGTACCCCACTTCCTTTATTACAAGTACACTTAAAGGTACTAGACCTAGACGTACTAGTATTGTCACAACAAATATAGCGAACAATGTTACACAATGTATTTAATCTGTGGCAATACCGATAGTGTAAATGATTTCGGAACAAAGAGGCTTAATCTTTTTTATTTTTGTTATTTTTATAGTTTTTTTTTTTGTTTGTTGTGTGTGTGTCATTTTTTGTTTGTTTATTGAATTTTTTCGCTTGATAATTTGTTACCAACCGAATCCTAAAGTAATTTCGGTATACAACGAATGTTGATTTCATCACCTGATATATTAACCAAGTACTAAAACAGAGAATGAACTATCCGAGAGGTGAGAACTTAAAAGTCATCTATATTGAGATTCGCTATATTTCGGATTGTAAGTGATATTACTTGCGGATACGATTAAACTACACATACTGTAATGTCAGATGTTTAATAAATGAAAACAGAAAACAAATAAAATATCGGAAAAACTTACTGTACTTAAGTATTGGTCACAAGGAACAATATTGAAATAAGTTAAACAATTCCTGATGGCAGCACTTGAATTTTTGGACTTTGCTGTTATCAAGTTTATATTAAGTTCTAATTCCTTTTATCATTTCAATACATCTTTCATTATCTTCCCATATTGGACTTAATCATGTCTATTTCATCTGTCTATATAATCTCCACAAATCTCTTTTTATCTTCACATTTAATTTGATCATCTCCATCAATCTGCCTCCATCATCTCCACATTTTTTCCATTTTTCTCCCGTTTTTTAATCTCCACATACCTTTTGTTTTTTTCATTACTACACTTCCCTGTAACATTTTTAGGCACCTCTGATTACCATATTGAGACATCTATGATCAATTCTAAAACATTAAGCTAAAATATAGTTTACATATCGGCTCTTTAAGAATCTTTTACAGCACGGGAAGTAATTGAAAGCAATTCAATGCCAATATTTTACTGATAATGTTATTTGACTTTTACTTTCTTTTTCTCTCATATTTTTAAAGAAAATTCAAAATTCCCGCACATTGACTGTTATGAAATGATAACCAGCAATTTCTTCACAACAGATATACGTTGTCAGAGCAAGAAGCTGTTAAAAATTTGACAATAAATACAGTATCTTCTGTCATCATCCACACAATCTCTTTTTCATCGTAATAAAATAAATCAATTTTAGTCTCATCACTGTTCACCATAGAAGAATTTTAAGTTACTGGATCAGTCATGACGTCAGATCCGAGTTGTCCAGTGAGGCCACAAAAAGAACCACTGAATCAGTTGAAATCGCTGTGGCTCTTCTGTACTCTTTTTCTAATTTGTTTTGGGAAAATTAATTGCCTGGATCCTGTCCATGAAATTATGGAAATGTTTAAATTGCTGAAGAATTTTTTTTCCACCTTTGAGTATATCATACTCATAGTTTCTGTTAAATTAAAGTGATAAACAACTTTATGATTTGGTAATCTGTATTTGGCGCAAATTCCGATAGATTTATTACAAACTGTACAATGGTATTGTGCATTTACTTCCATCAACATTCAGCAAGATAACATACATAGCAGCAATATGATCAACATAATTCAATAAATAATCTACCCCCACTGATATACAAAGGAAACCCTAACTAAAACCACATAGAAGAGGATATTTACAGGTAGTATCATCCTACGTCAGTAGACTGTGAGTCATAATTTCTTCAGTTATTTTTAAAAACAAGTATTAATGTTCGTTTGTTAGAATTGAGAGAAAAGTTGACTACAATTTCCTTTTTTGGTAGTCTCACTTACACATCCTCTTTATATTTTTTTCATGAAATGCAAACAATCAATTCATCTTTAACACAAGTTAAATTTCGACAAGAAATTTTGAGGTTGGACACAGGACATCAGTATTATACAAATGACTAATATAAAATTCAAAACATACAATAAGCCAATTGTACATGTTATATTAGTAATATTTACCTCTTCATGAACATTTGTTGTTTATTTCAATCATTTTCATTTTTATGTTTTTCCTTTTTCAAAAATAATGTCAAAGTCCACACACATTACAGTCTGAACCTAGTGAATATAACATTTTGTATCAATCAAAATCCTTAATTTACAACACATCCATGCAAAACAATGTCTATGTACCTTGGTTTATCCACAACTACCTATCTACCACTAACAAGTAGACATTTGATGATTAAGAACAATACCTGCTAGCTTACTCACTATGTACTGGTTGTATAATATTTACATTCAACTTTATCAAAACTCACTCCAGTTCATTTAAAGGGACATTCCTTCGTTCAATCATTTTCCAAATTTATACCTAAAAGACACTACCTATCTGTGTTGATACATGTATCAGCATGACAAAATGTGCATCATGTATATATACTGTCTATAGCCCACATAAATCTCTATACTTCAGGCCGAATATCAAACGTTTTATAATTAGATCACTGTGAGTTATTAATATAAAGTTATCAACTTTTACTTCTCTAGAAAATTAAATATTATCCCATTAGTTTTATATTTTTATTGACTTTCCACTCAGGAATGACCCTTTTATCATGTAGTTTACCAGTAAGTTTATTCAGTAACACAAAGTTTTCTTGTGCAGTGTGTTTTGCATAAAATCTGTTGCAAGCTCTCAAGAAGATCACTTGCTAAGACAATTGCTGTGGTGACTAGAGCATCTTGTTCAAACACACCCAGCATCCACTTTGATGGATATGAACGTAAACTTCAAGTCTAACCAAAAACTTAGCTAGAAGGTTTTTGCTCCTCCCAAAAAGGTGAGGTTCAATATTTGCTAGAAATTGGAAATAAGTAAATGAAAATTAAATTTGAAAAGAATTATAAAGTTCAAGAAATTAGGGGCATGAAAAAAAAACCTAACTGAAAAACAAAAAATGATCTAAACATTGAGCCTAACCACATAGTATTTGTAGCCATTTCAAGGTCTAGTAGTGAAACACCAAAGTATTGCAGGTTAACAGAAAAAATAGTATCAAAATATATTATGCTAAAAATTTACATGTGCTATGTCTCTAATGAAAGTAAAGAAGTGTTTGAGAATAAAATTTTTTTTCTCCTTTCCTTATACTCAGAAGTTTCGTAAAGGACAACACATCTAGAAGTAAAGATATGCATACTGAATCACTAACTTTACAAAAAAACAGATGCTGATTTTTTTGTTAAGAAAGTATTGAGTATCAGAACCACTGTATAAAGATCAAATTGTGAATTATGATTCGGAACCTGCATGTCATTACAAAGACAGTGAATTTCAAAACATTCTTATTATAACTGCATAATCACAAATTAAGCACTTCCATTTAATGATCTATGGAAGCTCAAGTAGATTAAGTAAGGCTAGACACAACACAGGATCATTTTGTTGGTGTTTGGATCACTTTGACTACAAAGACACACAACCAGTTTTAAAGTCAACCCTACACAAGAAGATACACTGTATATAAAGTTATTTATGTTTACCTCAAACTAAATATATGAAGACAACATTTTCTTTAAAGATGCAAACATCAAGTTTGCCATATATCATATATATAGCAAGTAACTAGTTTCCCGAAAATTTAAAATAAGAACAAAACTATTCACAAACAGTTACGTGTATAAGCTTATATGATGTAAATAGGCATCACACAGTTATAGTGTTTATTAACTAGATAACATAAATCTTGCCATATATACAATGTAATGTGGATACTGAGTTGTCTCCCTTTGCCATACTCTCTCAATAAATCATTCTCACTCTTACACACTGAAAGACGTGTCTGATTTGAGAAAATATACAATGCAGCTATTTATTATGTACAAACATGAGTTTTACAAACAAAAGCTTTTGACATATTAATTCAAATCATAAATTAGCACTTTACAAGGGAAAATAATGAAAAGTGGGCAATATATAAACCCCATAACCCTCAATTCTGTTTATCAGGACTCCATCGCTCAAACTTGAATATTAACTTCATACTAAACCAACACCAATATATGCTAATATCATAAACTGTCAGCATCCTCCAGTCTCCCAAATTTTCTAAGAGTTAATCTCAATGGCATCAAAAATCCTTATAAGCAATTTGAAAAATATCTTTGTGTTCCAAATCTTTTAGAGGTACCAAGTATACCTGTATCTGATATTAAAAAGCTTTTACTGGCAACTGACTGAGTTTTCAAATTTTTGTCTTTGTTTTTTATCTGTTATAAGGTGATCAATGGCAAGCAACAAAGATAAAATGATGACTGTTCACATCATCCATTGAAAAGAAAAACTGAAACGCAAGCCATATCTAATCATACTGTTAATCACATTAGGAGAATTATATTATAGTTAGCACCGAGCATTACAACAAAGTCACTATGGAATCTGGCCATTTATCTAATGCAAAATTACCGGGTGTAATGATTTATGTAATTTGTCTATTTCTATTAGTGTTTTATCTCAATCATGACAAGTCAATGTAAATCCTTTCAGGGTCACACTTAGATACAAACTGAAGTCTCTCTATGACACAGCTTCGTTTTGACTCTCAAGACACTTATACAAAGTAAAATGAATCATTTCTTTTTCATCTCATATGCATGGAAAACCATGTATATCTTGTGTATATAGTAACAATTCATTTAAAGTCAACATAATTGTAAATCAAATATGCATAAGAAATGTAAAATCAAAATTCATTCCTCCACATAAAGTAAAACAACATCATATCAGTATATAGTTACATTTAAATGAGACGGGCAAACTGTTCCCTTTCTCTGCAACGGTCTTGATGTACGATACCTGGTTGATAAATTTATGCAAACTTACTCATGCTTAAAGGTTATAGGTATTATTATTTGCTAACATGAAAAATGATCAGATAGTTTACCTGCCAAAATTTTTCCTTCAAACTAATACTGGCACTGACTAATTTTTTTGAGGTTTCAAATTCTCATAGTTTAACAAAAAAGCTTGAACACATTTTCAAAAATAGACAAAAAACAAAAAAGAAGCACATAGGTCTTTTATAGTTTAACTAGCTTTCAGAAGGATCTCTAATCAGATACTTTCCCTCTTAGAATGAATCAATAAAACTGAAAAGAGTAGGAGAAACTCCTGAAGCCAGGTTTCCAATCAATATATCCTTCTTTTATCTATGATACTGGTAACTGACATGTTTCAGCATGCTAGCTATATAGCCAGACCGTCATCAGGGTACAGCTTACATGATGTACATGTAGTTAAGAAAGACCAGACCTCCACAGCCAAGTGGTTCTAAAATAATGAGCCTGTAATAAACCTGGTTCTTATCGTATAGTCAGAAGTTATATGTTGGCTTCCTGGGCTTATTAGAAGATAGATAAGTCAGTACATGTACAGGGGGTTCAACATTTAGTTGAATGTCTCTACAAATTGGCATTATTCCTGATAATACCCTATGCTGTGGAAATATTGAAATACTCTCAATGTTATGTTCTTCTATAGCGTCACAGCATTTAAATGTACTGGGTAAATTACTAAATGCTTTCTAAATTTCTAAAATGTAAGACATTTCAATAATGACTGTTATCATAAAAAAACACCATAATTTCTTTAATTAATTATAATATTAAATCAATAAAAATGAAGTAAAAGCTGAATATGTTGAAAATTAACAATTAAGTACAAGTATGACATGAATAAAATACACTGTATCTACTTTTCTTGATTCATAACAGGAAGTATACAAAATCAAGTTCACCTTCATGACATTTTCGTTTTGAAATTTCACCCAAACAATTGTTCAATATGTCTCATGAAAATTTAAAAAAAACTAATTACAATGTTTTGTATTAACAAGAAATTTTTAATACACTATTGCTGTAATAATTACATGTTTCCAGATACATGTAGTGCTACACATACTGTAAAATCATAGATTTTTGTGAGAGATTTATTTTCTTTGAATTCATGAACACACAAATGACAAACAAGTTCACATGGTCTATAGTGCTAGTGGATTTGATGAGCAAGATTTCACCACCAAATCAAGTGTAAATAAAAAACGAGTATTTTTGGAAAATCACAAAATTTAAGCTTCACAAAAATATATGATTTTATAATACAGGTATCACAAGGTCAACAGGAAATAAGTTTTGTTTGGAGATTAAATTAGTGGTGAAAGAAAAAATTTCTGAATGAAATTTTATTTACTGTAACTATGAAAATAAAATTTGAACTAAAACAACTAGCATTGTTCTGCTCTCTTTAGATTATCAGATAGAATTTTGTTCCTTTAGACAAGGCATTTAATAGATCTAATAAGAAAAATCACTGTTTGAAGCATGCATTTTATCTACTAAATACTTTATCTTATCAAGTTATCTTTAAATTATACATGTTCCATACATATAAGTTTTAAATCATTATCTAATATCACAAACATTTGTTGTTATTTTTACGTAAGTTAGGATTGGTCGGTCTGTATACCACTTGGTCCTCTCATATTACACTACAGTATCCGCCACATGCTGCCCCTTGACCTCCATTTGGACCTTGACTTGTAAGACTCATGCCTTGTTTGTCTGTCTCCCACAATCCAGGTGTCTGTATGATCTATTAACAAAAAGGGCATGTGTTCAGTTCTTCTTTAACAAGAGTTCCATTGGTCCTGTATTGCTCACCTGGTTTAGTTTGCTGAAATTTATTAATCTAAACTAAAATAAAAGTTTTTAAATCCCTTGAATTGATTTCTCCTATTTGGCCCCATCCCTTTTTAAGGGGGTTAGAATCACTGTTTGTACAAAACTAAGTTTCCTTCACCCAAGGATACTTCAGATCAGATCTGGACAAAATTCAATCATTCCGACACAGGAAGGATTTTTTAAGTATTTGCTCTATTTCCAGTACCGGGTTTTAGGTAATTTAAATTTGGATTATGATTATATTGACAAGTTGATATTTTCTTGATTTTTTGAAGAATTTACTCTATTATTGCTTATTTCTCTGTATTGACATTAACCTCCGGAGTCAGAGGTAATGTGTTGGCCCTTGGACCTATTGCAAGCTGGAAACATTATTATTATTCTTACTTTCACTTGTACATGTACTTTGTAGTCTAAATATATATATATATATATAACACATGAATCTTTGTCAAATACTTTGTATTCTTAAATTCAAAGAAATCAGTAACATATCTTTATATATTTCACCTATGTGACCTTAATGAAATTGCAAATATATTAATCTACATGTACTTTGTAGTCTAAAATTTTAAGCATGCTTCTTGTCAAATACTGCTTAAATTCAGAGGAAATAGTTTGAAGATTTTATCATACTTGACTCATGTGACCTTGGAAGAAAGTTAAGGTCATTCACATACTTGATTCATGTGACCTTGAAAGTAGATTAAGGTTGTTAACTTCAACACACTTTAAATTTTACAAATGTCCTCGCTGCATAGTGAGTGTAGCAAAAGTAAAAGCAATCTTTTACATTGTTGATATATATATTTATTGATGGTGGATATGAATTCACTTAAAACATATACAGTATAGATCTTATATGTAAAAGATTACACTATAAAGATTCTTTTTCCCATCACGATTTCTACCTTTTCTACAAGTTCTTCGAAGGCACACTGCACGCCCTCCTTAGTTTTAGCACTGGCTTCTATAAACAGCATATGGTGTTTCCTGGCAAATTTTAGGCCCTCCTCTTTAGTAACCTCTCGTCTATCCTGCCAAAACAAATTTTCATACAAGACTTTTATCATCAAAGATACAAAATTTATCCCACACACACTGCATTCAACTCTGAAGTTTGACTTAACAACTATTTAAAAGGCTGACTGAATAACACACTGATATCCTGCATTTACAATTACAAAATCGATAATATGTGATTATCTGATACATTTAAAAAAAAAAATTAACAGTGATTTTTTAGGTCAATATTGTGGCCTTACATTGTCTATCTTGTTTCCAACAAGCATTTTGATGAGATCATGTTTTGTTGAGAAAGTCTCTAATTCATTCAGCCATTGTTCTAGTTTGTTGAAAGAAGCTTTGCTAGTCACATCATAAACTGTAACAAAAATAAAGACATTTCAAAATCTTAAACATTTCTTTTGCTATTCAGTGGGACCAATAAAAGAATTATTAACCATTTCTCCACATACATCAGTTGGTTTACAAGTTCCATATGATACAAGGGTATTTAACCTTATAAACAATAGCCACAAACAATCCAAATGTTGGTAGATTGAAATTAAACTCAACTTAAATGTGGAATAAAATAAATTAATCTGCAAAGAAATTCCAATTATTTATTCACATGAGATTGCAAAAAGCTTGCATCACAAATTCATTGCAGCATGGAATGGTGTGATTTTTGTCTTCTTTCTTTCTGAATACAATGCAAGTTACTACAAAAGTTTTGAACAATTCATACTTAAATATTTTACAATTAACAAAGAAGAACACAATTACCTAGAATGACACCCTGGGCTCCTCTGTAGTAACTTGGGGTCAGTGTTCTGAATCGCTCTTGTCCAGCTGTGTCCTGTCAAATACATTTCAATAATATAATAAATCCACTAACTAACTAATGACTTCTTTACCTTGCAAAAAGTCCATTACTTGTCTATTACTAATCAGCTAATTAACAACAGATAATGTTAAGCAATATCCCTGATTGAACACACTCTACAGCACTCAATTTTTACTCAAAAATATATTATTTTATCAGCTGCTTTCAGAAGAAAATACAACTGTACTCACCCAAATTGCAAGTTTGGCTTTGTTACCATCTATTTGTAGTGTTTTCACTTTAAAGTCAACACCTGTTGGGAATAAGAGATAGGATCCTCTTATTATAAAGGCCCATTAATTTCATGTGTACATATACCAAGGCATACATGTACCTGCTTATCCTGGTATTTAAGTCATTTACTTAAAGTCAAAATGAAACACCTTTTTTATTTATTTTGTTCACACCATAAAAAGATGTTACTACATGTACTTAAGTCAAACCTGCCTTAGATCCTGCTTATATCACAAATACATGACATTTAATACAAATAATTTTTCCTGGCTTCTTGAGTTCCATTTTACAGATAGGTTTGACTGGGAACTTTAAATTACGACAGCCTTTGCTCAGATTGGATAATAAGCCCACACATGTTTTGAGTTGAAAGTTACAAATGTTTAAATAAATGGTCATTGCAGTACAAGTAGACTCACCTATTGTGGCAGCCTGCTCTGGATCAAAGGTGTCATCTGTAAATCGCAGCAACAAACTAAAACAAAGTCAAATAAACTTTAATCATCTATACAAACAAAATGTTAGGTTTACGTCTAATTATCACATTCCTGATTCAAATCAATAACTAAAACATCCCTTCAAATTAAAGACCAGTTCTAATCTTAACTTGTTCTGTCCTAATCTTAACTTGTTCTGTCCTAATCTTAACTTGTTCTGTCCTAATCTTAACTTGTTCTGTCCTAATCTTAACTTGTTCTGTCCTAATCTTAACTTGTTCTGTCCTAATCTTAACTTGTACTGTCCTAATCTTAACTTGTTCTGTCCTAATCTTTACTACATATTAATATTAGTATTACCCACTTGATTGTAAAACACAAAATGTATTTACCACAGTTACATTAATAATACATCATGACATCATGCATTTCACCCCAAGCCAAAATTATTACACCTGTTACCTTTAAACTTATAATCTATTAGTCTTTATTGATCTGAAGCAATACAGCTTATGGATTCTAATACATAAATATAAAACATGTATCGTATACAATAGAGAGAGACAGACAGACATTGTTTCTATAATTATAGTTACATACGAAAACTTAGAAAGTTTATTATAACAGACTAGATCGCAGTTTGAGAGCATGATACAAACACTTTCCCAAGTTACATAAGTCTTTTACATTAGGAGTTTTAAGTAAAACTACTCATTTGAAAATGGAGAGATTACTCCTATAGTATGATTTAATATATTTACAACGCAAATTGTTAAAAAAAGGACATTTAAGTACAAAATGGAATTCATCCTCAATGTTGGAATTACAAAGTTTGCAAGTGCACTGTTCCAAAGGAATATTTGTATACCTTTCTGTTTCTACATTTAAACAATGAGCAGACAAACGTATTTTGGTGATAAGTTTCTTATACTTAACAGGAATAGGCTTACACAGGTACAGTTGTAGTGAGACTTTGTCAACCAAATGTTTATACAATACATATTTGGAGGACTAATTTAAATGACTCATCGTATCCTGTTGGGAGTTGATCAGACATTCTTTGCTTAGCAACAGCTAAAAAAGATTTTATATTAACAGACTCCTGTTTTAACCACTGGTCATACATACCAAGAGAACATAACTCGTTCTTAACAAGTGACATCCATACATATAATCATAGCAATTACGTAATATACAGTTATCTGATTTCATGAGTTTATACCAATATTTAAATATTCTCAATTTACGTGAATAAGATAAAGGGAACCTTCCAAGTTCATGATACACCATGGCATTAGCCGTTGATCGTTTAACTCCTAAAATGTTCTTACAAAAATCTGAATGTAGCTTTTCAATATCTGGTACGGTATGGAAGCCCCATATTTCGCATCCATAATTTGAGACACTACTGACATAAGTACCGTAAAAACCCATGTAATGTCCGCACTTTTTTCACCGAAAATCAATCCAAAAAAGGGGGTGCGGACATTACAGAGATGTAGAGAAAATGACACTTTTTTCCTTCCGACAATTCATATCATATCTACTTGAATTGTGTTCTTAGAAGCCAAGCATACCTGATATTATCATTCTATGGTTTTTCCTATGATGTTTCCTCAACCAAACATGATTATTTATGATTATTTATTATAGTTTCCATGGTTAATTCCTTCCATTTTCTCATTACAGGTTCGTATTGTGTCGTCATTCCTAATAGGAAGCCATTTTGTTTGACTTTGTCACATGAATAAAGTTAGAGTTATTCCCCTTCCCCCATTGAAAAAGCATACCCATGAGCATATACAAAATAACACAACATTTTCATTCTACATTTTATTTACAAAATAACAATAAATAACATGTACAAGAATATTACATAAAATAAATAATCAGACCTTTTATTGATTATGGATCGTTTATCAGAAAGTCTTAATATATTGCAGGCCGTTTTAATCGCGTTTCTCGAAACCCCAGAAGTCGTCGTCACTGTGGAAGAACTCCTCGGCGTTGAAGTTGTCTTCCTCTGTCTGGTCGTTGTAATAAATGGCGTTCTCGTCGTCTGATGGTGTGTCAGTAGGGTCAGTGGCGCCGTGGGTCATGGGCGGGTCATGTTACTGTATAGTTATCGTTAATTGGCTAATCACACGCTGTCACTCACTCACACTCGAGGTGAGGAGACAACCCAAGCTGTTTATAACACTGCTGGGCTAACCCTTATCAAAACACCAATTATCGAAATGAGGACTTGCCATACTGGTAAGCTTACTGTACCATTATGGAGAATAACTGTTGTTATAAACAATTAAGTGAATTCTTGAATGGTACCTGTATGTTATACACAATGCGACATGCTCTCGGCCATTACGACATTAGCGTACGTGAAATGAAATCGGCAGCTTCAATTTGCATTTTTTACCCGCGGACATTACATGGAAGGTGGGTTTTTTCCCCCAGATTTTTGTGTCAAAAAAGGGGTGCGGACATTACACAGATGCGGACATTACGTGGGTTTTTACGGTATAAAATAATGAACAATAGGTTGTATAGTTGAGTTGCATCAAATTATGTAAGACACTTGATTTTATGTTGGTATATAAAGACTTAACATTAAAAATCTTACCACTAATGCCAAGTTTTGAAATTTTCAACCACAAATGAGACCTGTTGACGCAATCAAAAGCTTTTTTTATAAAAGATTGAAATCTGCTTGATTATTACAGCTAGCTCTGGTTAAGTAAACATGATCAGACTATACCAAATGACTGGCAGTAAGCCAGGTGTGATGTAAGTGGATCAGGGATAAATGAACTATTAGTCATGAACCTCAATAACAAAAGTAATTTTTATATCTCTTGTTATTTAACAGTGATTAATACATATTGTTAAACATTACCTCAACCCAAGTACATTTTACTGAATTCAATTACACAGATTACCTTTAAACATGTTAGCAAAAATAATACAATTGTTTCTGCGAACATGGCGGAAAATATAGGCAAGTTTGGTATAAATATTCTTATTCTTCAAACAGCGGTTTTACTAAGTAGTGTTGTCTTAAATGGTTCTACATAGAAAATCAACAATAAAACTTCTGAAATAGATAGATAATATGGGGTCTGTAATGGTCAGGTTAACAGAAATACAGAAACCCAAGTATTTTTTTCCATGACCATGGGTTATGTTTGTTAGCTGGGTGTATCCCCCTATGAACAACGAGAGTCATTTTGAGGCAAGGATTTGAGTTTTTTTAAAGTAGCTGGAAGCTACCTCACTGAACAACATACTGAAGACCGATCACCTGCCATCCACAGCAGTAAGGGAAAGCAATCTTACAGAAGGAAAAAAACATGCCAGCACAGACTGGTCTTTTCCCCAGCTTCCTGATCATAATCATGAGAAACATCAACCAAGAAGAATACTGAGCATCAAGCTACACACCTTGGATCTTCACAGAGGATATGTAGCCCAACACAAGCACTCTGTTTGAGTGATTACAGCCCCACTGATCTAGTGGGGACAAGAAATTAAAATTTGAAAGTTGTACATTACTGCAAATATGTATACAGTAACCTCTTTTGGGATTCCTCCTTGGGACTCAATCAATCAAACATCAGATATAAATGAGTCCCAAGGTTGGATTCCCTTCAGAAATTAATGTATACAGCAGTCAAAGTAATGCCATGAAGGTGTAATAGGAATTATAAATATATATTGACGTAAATATGATAAAAAAAAGAACCGATAAAAAATTAAATAACAATATTTGAATTGTTTGACATGGTACAGTGCTCATGACCTCATGACATAGTCCAACTAGTTTATTTTTAGTAACAGGCATCAAAACAAACGAACGTGACACAATTCTGACAGAAGATAAATTATTTCGATTACTTCTAGTTTGACAATCGAACTTGTGGCCATGTTTCAGAACATGCGAAGTGAAACAAGTGACGAAATCATACATTATGAAGTTTAAACGTAAAGTGAAAATACTACACCAAGTAACATTTTTATCGGATTTTTACACCGTACCTCGATTTTCCAACTCCGCTCTCACCAATTATCAAAATCTTCAATGTAGTTAAGACTTCGTGTTCGTCCATGCTTACTTATTTACGCAGCTGAGAGTAATTAGAATTACAGTATGTTTAAACTCTGATAAAAATATATGATGATTCAATGTATGAACCGAGAAAATGATATGGCGCAGTTTACCTCCATGTGCGTACACGTCATCAGAAATTGCGTTATCAGGGACAAACTACCTTTTGTGTCGGCGAATCTCATTGGTCAATCAGTTGGTAGTTCCAGTAGAAGGCGGCTGTTTTGACAAGAGGAAAAGAACTTGTTTAATCTAAAATGGTAAACGCCACAAACAACCATTTATATGATCAACTTTAATGTTTACAGTTTTATGCCAATATTTATGTTGGATATGAAATCAGAATGATGTTGGCCCATGTATTTTTAAAAGGTGAATGTGGTTGCTTCAGCAACCAACATGATACAGTTATGTCAAAGTTATTTTTACAGTCCGTGGTAGCATAAGGGACTTTTGCTAAGTGTTAGGGGATACGCGCATTATAACGTATCCACATATTCAGGGACGAATACGGAGGGACAAGAAGTTAGAGACCCGGTGATGATTTCTGTGGTGCTAGCTTTTGCATTTGTTAAATGAACCATGGAGCAGTCAAAATCCCCTCTTCTTACTGCTGTTATCTAATCATATCTACCTGTGCCTCCATGCTGCAGTTAATTAGTGTGGACGGGTGGTCCCCAATTCGCCCACTTATTATTAGACAAACAAAGACATGGCAAATCAATAGCAGTCAGATCTATACAGTGATACTTATAACACATTTCACCAGAATTCATTTACCTGGTTTTTTTACCAATGTGATCTGTTTCCTGATATGCATCCTTGATATGTCAGGGGTTGTGATCACTTTCACTCTCTGCCACCCTGGAACATGTCATGGCAAAATTGAAGGCACAAGCGAAGTGATTTGATTGTGTCCAGGAGGAAAAAACTTCCCAATCACAGACTGATATGTTCATTTGAAGATTATAAAGGAGCAAAGGATTGCAATATACCGTTATGCAACCTTAAGATTCAGTTGATGTACATCAAAGGATCAACCTAGTCTTTTCATCGTCCACAAGTTGTCAAACATGGAACTGTTGATTTTGCCGTGATACGTTCGAGGAGTGCAGAGAGTGAAAGTGATTGTAATTCCTGGAGTATAAAGGATACCTGAAATGTTATAATAGATGCTGTGGATAGGGAGGTATAAAATAGGACAATATAAAATCATATAAAAAAAAAAAAGTTGGATATAAAATACATACAAGGATATTATATTTTATATAATGGAGTAGAAATTCTTATAACACAACCGATAGATTAACTCTGACATGTGGCTCTGACCGGCCTGACTGGAGTCAATTTGTCAGCTAGTGAAAAGTTGATCTCAAAATTAAAACTAATAAATGAAAGTGATGAATCACAAAAGTTACACGAGTCAATTGGTAAATTACTCTGCTTTTTAATGCCATCTATTACAGAGGATTTTCTTCATGGAGATATAGGCAGTTTCTTATCCCTCCGTGTTGTGTATTTCTCTGACATATCTTAGTTACATAAGCCTACTCAGTGCTGCGTATGAATCATTGTCTGAATGATTATCATATTTTCCGCTTTTCTGTTGCATCTTCATTATCCTCATGATCAGCTCCCTATACTCTGTTGTCTGATGTATGTAACAATTACATTATATGTATAACATATCGGAACAAGCATGCCTGGTGAAGAAATAGCAGTGTTTTATGATAGTCAATACACCTATGATGCAGCTCCCTTTATAACCTTGCATATCTAGCAGTGATCAATATATTGCTATAGACATTTTGTATATAGGATTGCTTGTATCTCGCACTTGAGTAACATATATGCATCATTTATAACATACATACGCATGAAGCTATCTTGTGAGGAAATTTTGGTCAGTATAAATGACAGAACGTTTCAAGCATACCTGTATATGTTTGTCTGCAAGACTCTTGTCATTTATAATGCCCATAAATGCCATGGCACTCTCAATATAGCTTTATTTAAACTGAATCAACTAAAATTAGGGTTTTTTTTTTATTTTCGAGTGTGTCTAAACTGTCAAGGGGAATCGTCATTTTTACTGGAAATTGTCATGGTTACTCTGTCAACAATACTGCTTTCAGAGTAACCACACTATGAGTATCACTTATGGTAGCTTAAAATATCATGATGTGGGTTTTGTTTTTGCATATGACTTACATATATATATTTCAGACAACAGTAAGTAATGCAGAGATTGAAAGCCTTCAGGAGGAATCAAGTAAACTCGAGGAACGGTTATCAAGCATACGTGATAAAATCATTACAAAATGGACTGGAGAGGAATATCAGAAGCTTGCTACAGGTCTCCAGACCAAACATCGTCAGATGATGCAGGAAGGACAAGGTAATGTTGTAAATCATTATGTCTACAAATTTGTATCATGTTTTAACAGGGGTTTTAGGGGCCAGATATTCATCAGCCTCATTCCTTTGGTAACAGTTTTGTTTCTTTTTGACACAAAATTTCAGTTAAAACTGTAATATAATAAAGAAGAAAAATGGGTTTGAATCAGATGACAAAGAAATTGATAAACATTTAGGTCAGGAAATTGTATTCATTAAATTGATCTTTGTGAAAAATGGTGAAATACAGTGTAAGATGGTAAATTACAATCAGTTTTAGAAATTTGGAATGGTGGAAAGATATTTAAATCACCTGATCCGATGTTCAAAATCAGAGAATTCAAATTCCAGTCCTGGATGTAATATCATTATTGTTAGATTTGCTCGCAGCATGTTCTACATGAATACAGAGATCTTGATGTCTGTTTTTGAAATTCATCACATGATTTCATTAAGAATATATATCTTACTCTTTTTTCTTTTTTTCTAGAGGAAATCAAAAAGCATCAAGGCAATGTAAAGAGAATGGAACAGCTCAGTAAAAGTAATATGAAAGGTAGGTCAAAGTTCATATGGTTGTTATCTGGTATATAGTATTACAAAAGTTTATCACAATTACAGAAACTTACATTGTGACATGATGTAAATGCTAATAGGAAAATAATTTGATATAATTTACTAATTTTCAGTCTTACCTGATGCTGATGTCATAATTGATTGAAATCATTAAAAATGATTCATTAATAGTATTTTCTTGTGATTTAGCTTTAAAAAAAATCATTTTAGAATTTGCCCTTAAATTCTGAAGTAAAATCTAGGAAAGTAAGTAATTTTTGGTTAAAATAGAAAAGAATGAAACTTACTGCAACAAAGAATGCATTCTCAGAATCACAATCAGTTGGTTTTTAAATACTGAACCTACATCAGAGGGTAAAACTTGATACATATGCATTATGACATCACAATGTACCCCAGTAATCAAGTATGCCAACTGTGAAAACATCAAGGTGTTTACTCCTCTGTGACTGAGAAAACATCGGGTGTTTACTCCTCTTTAACAGAGAAAACATCAAGGTGTTTACTCCTCTTTTACAGAGAAAACATCAGGGTGTTTACTCCTCTTTAACAGGGAAAACATCAGGGTGTTTATTCCTCTGTAGCTGAGAAAATATCAGGATGTTTACTCCTCTTTAACAGGGAAAACATCAGGGTGTTTACTCCTCTGTAACTGAGAAAAAACATCAGGATGTTTACTCCTCTGTAACTGAGAAAACATCAGGGTGTTTACTCAACTTTAACAGAGAAAACATCGGGTGTTTACTCAACTTTAACAGAGAAAACATCAAGGTGTTTACTCCTCTTTAACAGAGAAAACATCAAGGTGTTTACTCCTCTTTAACAGAGAAAACAGCGGGTGTTTACTCCTCTTTAACAGAGAAAACATCGGGTGTTTACTCCTCTTTAACAGAGAAAACACCAGGGTGTTTACTCCTCTTTAACAGGGAAAACATCAGGGTGTTTACTCCTCTGTAACTGAGAAAAAACATCAGGATGTTTACTCCTCTGTAGCTGAGAAAACATCAGGGTGTTTACTCAACTTTAACAGAGAAAACATCGGGTGTTTACTCAACTTTAACAGAGAAAACATCAAGGTGTTTACTCCTCTTTAACAGAGAAAACATCAAGGTGTTTACTCCTCTTTAACAGAGAAAACAGCGGGTGTTTACTCCTCTTTAACAGAGAAAACATCGGGTGTTTACTCCTCTTTAACAGAGAAAACATCAGGGTGTTTACTCCTCTTTAACAGGGAAAACATCAGGGTGTTTACTCCTCTGTAACTGAGAAAAAACATCAGGATGTTTACTCCTCTGTAACTGAGAAAACATCAGGGTGTTTACTCAACTTTAACAGAGAAAACATCGGGTGTTTACTCAACTTTAACAGAGAAAAATCAGAGAAAACATCAAGGTGTTTACTCCTCTTTAACAGAGAAAACATCAAGGTGTTTACTCCTCTTTAACAGAGAAAACATCAAGGGTGTTTACGGATGTTTACTCCTTTAACAGAGAAAACATCAGGGTGTTTATTCCTCTTTAACTGGGAAAACATCAGGATATTAACTCCCTCTGAGAAAATATAACAGAGAAAACATCGGGTGTTTACTCCTCTTTAACAGAGAAAACATCAGAAAACATCAAGGGTGTTTACTCCTCTTTAACTGAGAAAACATCGGGTGTTTACTCCTCTTTAACAGAGAAAACATCAGAGAAAACATCAGGGTGTTTACTCCTCTTTAACAGGGAAAACATCAGGGTGTTTACTCCTCTTTAACATCAGGATGAGAAAACATCAGGATGTTTAACTCAGGGTGTTTACTCTTAACAGAGAAAACATCGGGTGTTTACTCCTCTTTAACAGAGAAAACATCGGGTGTTTACTCCTCTTTAACAGAGAAAACATCAAGGTGTTTACTCCTCTTTAACAGAGAAAAGATCAAGGTGTTTACTCGTCTTTAACAGAGAAAACATCGGATGTTTACTCCTCTTTAACAGAGAAAACATCAGGATGTTTATTCCTCTTTAACTGGGAAAACATCAGGATATTAACTCCTCTGTAGCTGAGAAAATATCAGGGTGTTTACTCCTCTGTAGCTGAGAAAATATCAGGGTGTTTACTCCTCTGTAACTGAGAAAACATCAGGATATTTACTCCTCTGTAGCTGAGAAAATATCAGGGTGTTTACTCCTCTTTTACAGAGAAAACATCAAGGTGTTTACTCCTCTGTAACTGAGAAAACATCAGGGTGTTTACTCCTCTGTAACTGAGAAAACATCAGGATATTTACTCCTCTGTAGCTGAGAAAATATCAGGGTGTTTAGTCCTCTTTAATAGAGAAAACATCCAGGTGTTTAGTCCACTGTAACTGAGAAAACATAAAGGTGTTTACTCCTCATTAACAGAGAAAACATAAAGGTGTTTACTCCTCATGAACAGAGAAAACATCAGGGTGTTTACTCCTCTGTAATTGAGAAAACATTGAAAGGTTTTCTCCCCTGGAACTGAGAAAACATGTGAATAATTATCCCTTGTAACAGAAAACATCATGAGGATGTTTAATTTTCTTTAATCGGGAAAACATGAGATTCACTCCTGTATCTGAGAAACCATCAGGATATTTACTTCTCTTATTTCATATATATCAGAACTACAGGAGCGTGTTGGGAAGCTGCAGGAGTTGAAGGCAAGCTTACAGAGACTACAAGGAGAGACAGATAATATGCTACACCTGAAGGAGAATGGAATCACACAGCTAAACGAGGAGTCCAAGAAAATTCTAAAGGAGAAAGAGTGTAAGTGAAATAAAAAAGATCCTGTATCCAGTCATCTTAAGTCTTTACTTTTGAACTCTCTCTTTTCTAAAACAAATATCAAGGAGAGTTTTGTTTCATGCATTAATTCAAATATCAATGTAGCCCACAATAAAGAGAAGCATTAGTATCTTTAGGGTATCGGTGTGTAAAAGGGAGCCCGGAACATTAGCAATTTCCAATCCCACATGAAACGTCTCCCAGAAACCTGGCATATTTAAAGCAATATAGCAACATTGTGCATTGCAGCATATAAAAAACAGGAGGAAGTTTATGTATTGATTTGTATTGTATTCAGCACATAGTGATATTGATGGTGAATTTTCATTTTAGTTTTGCCATGCGATGACATTCAGATCACACATTCTCAAAAAATAAAAACCCAAAAGTCTTGATTTTGCAGATATAACTATATTCCTGTTGTTTCCAGACTTATCCCTGCAGGGGAAGGTAACACAAGAAAAGCTGGTGGAGCTAGACAAGGCAGCCTCCATGTTCCACACCAGACTTGGATTGACGTTCAAGAAAACCTCAGGTAGGTTGTCTCTCTGTATAATGACCATGGTAACAGTTCTATGTAAGTTTGATCTTATCAGTTATAATCTTTTTTCTCATTTGTTGAATTAACCATCACATCATGATACCAAGCTGTAAAAACAATGAAAAAAAAAGTCCTACTATATGTATAACAATCATTTGGCATCAATGTTGTCTTTTTACCTAAAGAATATGTATGTGGAAAAAAAACTAAAGAAATATAGCAGTCATTTTTTTTCTTGCGATAAACTGACTTTAAGCTCAAATCAACATAGGGAAAACCATGGAACAAACAAAAAACCATATCCCTATAATTTGGGAAAGATCTACAGTTGTATGTCTACATACTGAGAATGAATTGATAACACTCTTTAGTGACCACATTAAAATCTTGGTTACGTAGCTATAACAAGATGAACATAAAAAGTCATAAATATGAACCAAAATAAAAAAAATTAACTTTGATAACTTTTTGAGATGTGTAAGGCATTTTGTGATAACTAACATAAAAATGTTGTTCTAGCAGTTGTCTTGTTGTTATGTTTAGTTCATACCTGCCAACTTTTCAAAATTATCATGGGGGAGAAAAATATGTGAACAAAATTGTTTATTACCCACGTTACTTTGCGCGTCGCGACATTTATCACAAAGGAAAAATTAATCTATGTATATTTAATCAATACTTCTAGATAACTTTAAATTCATAAAGCAGCTTTTTTTACCAGCAAATACAATGAAATGATAGATCCCAGGAAGAATTAAGAAGGCTGTTTCTTGTGATGGTTCAGCTACTTTGCCTTTTCTTCAGATCATAAATCATAATCTATGTAAACATGTAATGTAAGTGTTTTGATTCAAATGCTTCTGAAAATATGTACACAGGAAACATTTGCAATTATCTATCAATAAATTAGCAATTGTTCAGGACTACTTTTCATTTTAAATTTTATCAATGGATGGCTAAACAAATAAAGTATAAGAAGTGTGTCTAAGTAATGGGGAAAATGTAATTTTTAAGTTGAATTTGTTATCGCACAGGTAACCGTCTGCAATGCCTCTTTAAACACATAGACAGAGATGATCCAGAAGCAGTGTTCTATTTCTTCATTAAAGTGGAGGGTGAAGATCGTCAATATGTTGGTAAGTGTAAAATTTGTGCCTCACTATCTTGAACTTTTGAATCATACTTTCAGATACATGTACACGAAGCCTAAAAGTGAACTTTATTAAATTTTTCAGGTTAGTTTGAACCTTCTGTTTCTTTACTGTCCCGGATTGTGAACCTCCTGTTTCTTTATTGTCTCAGAATGTGAACCTCATGTTTCTTTATTGTCCCAGATTATGAACCTCCTGTTTCTTTATTGTGTCAGATTGTGAACCTCCTGTTTCTTTATTGTCCCAGATTGTGAACCTCCTGTTTCTTTATTTTCCCAGATTGTGAACCTCTTATTTTTTTATTGTCTCAGATTGTGAACCTCCTATTTTTTTTATTGTCTCAGATTGTGAACCTCCTGTTTCTTTATTGTGTTGGATTGTGAACCTCTTGTTTCTTTATTTTCTCAGATTGTGGACCTCCAGATTGTTTTTCAGATTATGAACCTCCTGTTTCTTTATTGTTTTGATTGTTTCTTTATTGTCTCTTGAACCTCTTGTGAACCTCCTGTTTCTTCAGATTGTGGACCTCCTGTTTCTTTATTGTCACAGATTGTGAACCTCCTGTTTCTTTATTGTCCCAGATTGTGATCCTCTTGTTTCTTTATTGTCCAGATTGTGAATCTCCTGTTTCTTTATTGTCCCAGATTGTGAACCTCCTGTTTCTTTATTGTCTCAGAATGTGAACCTCCTGTTTCTTCATTGTCTCAGATTATGAACCTCCTGTTTCTTTATTGTGTCAGATTGTGAACCTCCTGTTTCTTCATTGTCTCTGATTGTGAACCTCCTGTTTCTTTATTGTCTCTGATTGTGAACCTCCTGTTTCTTTATTGTCCCAGATTGTGAACCTCCTGTTTCTTTATTGTCCCAGATTGTGAACCTCCTGTTTCTTTATTGTGTCAGAGTTTGAACCTCCTGTTTCTTTATTGTGACAGATTGTGAACCTCCTGTTTCTTTATTGTCCCAGATTGTGAACCTCCTGTTTCTTTATTGTCCCAGATTGTGAACCTCCTGTTTCTTTATTGTCACAGATTATGAACCTCCTGTTTCTTTATTGTCCCAGATTGTGAACCTCCTGTTTCTTTATTGTCTCTGATTGTGAACCTCCTGTTTCTTTATTGTCTCTGATTGTGAACCTCCTGTTTCTTTATTGTGCATGTATTAAGATTATGATTTCACATTTGCCTTTCATATAAAGGTTATTATAGTCAGATGACTGTTCAGGCCTGCAAGATTTTTGTTGAATATTTTTTGTGGATTTTCTATCAGAAATAGTTAGAACCTGGTTAGAGTTATCAGTTTAAGGTGACAGTTTAATGAGATGTACATATAAACCTTGACTGGCTTCCAGGGGCTGATGGGCAGGGCCAAATGTAGGTCAAATTGACTGAAATTTCATAGATGTTCAACTGGATGGAAGATTTTAAATAGGGAAATTCAAATCTTGAGTGAAATTTCTTTTAATTCAAACTTGGTTAGAAGATTTAGCATAGAACATTATATAGTACAAGTTATCTTACTTCTTTTAAAATTATCATTTCTATATCATGTTACAAGAACCGCTATTACTTAGGTGACATTTAAGTCCCTTGGGCCTCTTTTTTCAGTTTCAGATTGTGAACCTCCAGTGCCTGAATTGGAGATTTTGGTGGAAAAGCTTAACCAGACCAACAATTTGCGATCATTTGTTGTGTGTATGAGGAAGCGATTTCAGCAGCTTGTACAGGAGCAGAAAACCCAATAACAGAAAACCAAGCAGCCACCACAGTGAATTATCAGGACGTTACAATTAATCTTGCTTGGAAAAAGACTAGGAATTAATCCTACAAAGAGGAAAAAACAGAACAAAGATGTAGTCAAGCTTGACATTTGACTTGTACCTTAGGCTCAAATATTCCTACAATTTTCAAAGAAAAAATATGGGAAAAAAAAAAGTATGGACTGTCACAACTATATAAAGTATTGATATACACTTTACACAGTAATATCTTGATATAGTATCAATATGTTTTCTTTAAACAGAAGGTAGGAATAAGTTCATTGAAAAAAATAAAACATGTGAACAGGATTTTGACATTACCATCTACATCAGAATTCTTCACTCAATGTATAATGAGGCCAAGCACATTTGGCCCTTTGTAACTCAAGTATTGATTGGTATGTATTTCTAGTGTATGGGAACTGTAACATACAAGGAACTCTTCCATCCATGGTCTCAACAATATGTATTGGGTCAAACATCATGAATCCTTCCCATCTGTGGACATTTTATATAAATCTGTACAACTCCATTTGTCCTGAATGTAGCTTCCTTTTCCTATTGTTTCTTCTACTTCTTTCCTCTTCTGCTTCTTCTTCTTCTTTTAAAGAAGAATATTTTGTTTCAGTTTTGATTCAAATATATGTAAAATTATTGACACATTTGCAATAAATCATGTTGATGTATGAAATTAAGTTTTGGCGCATTCCTTTTTAATTCTCCTGGGAAAGGACGGCAGTCCATCCTTTTGCACTCTATCTTATCTAGGCTCCATCTCCGACACTTAACTTGTCATTTGAACTTTATACTTGAGCCATGGGTTTCGGGGATATTTACTACTGAATTCATACCACCAAATATGCAGATAAATTTGCAGTAGTAACACTGACAGTATTCTTCATTGAATATGGTGAGTTTGTCAAACAGCCAATAATTAGAATTAATTCCTTCATAAATTCTTCTGTGCATTCTTAGCATATCCTTTCACATTCAGTAGGGAACTAATATGTTGTTCTTGTAATTACTGGTTGGAAAAAACATGAGGGACAATTAGAGTTATAATTGTCTCCCCTGCAACTAATATCCTATACCAGGTATTGTCAAAGTTTACTCTGAGTTGAGGAAAAAGGTTTGGATAAGTCAGTCCATACTGATGTAATTCTTGTGATAATGACAATTTTTTTTGTGTAGTGTCATGATAATGATATTTGTTTATGCTGTATATCAGTTTTATATGAAATGTAGCATGGTTTTTAAATAGTTTGAACTGCCAGTGTTTCTAAGGAAGCTAAGAAACGGACCAATCTGTGTTGTTATGTTTGTGTCATTGAGCAGGACATTTTACCAGGTGCTCTAACTGCTCTGAACTGCATGCAAAGGGTTGCCTGTATGTTGTGTAATAACAGAGCCAGCAGCTACTACAAGGAGACTCCATGTCAAAATGAGTCTGGCTGTTTATGGTAAATATTTGTTTCAATCTTGTGGCAATGCATTCGGTGTGTTCCCTTTACGCCAACTTTCTTAAAAACACATATGGCAGTTGGTGTTGTTTTTACCATTTAAGTCAAAAAATTGTGGTACCTCATGGGGGCTCTGGGGAACAGCTACTGTGGAGTAGTTACCTGTGACTTGATAATATTTAGCCATAAATGGGGAAATTTTCAGATTTTGAATTGAGAATTAAATTGAAATGTTAGGAAAAAAGAAGATGTTTTTGAATGCTATATTATTTAAATTTAAGGAGAAAAAAGAATTATTTGAAATTTATATTGTTCAATAAAAAAAAAGAATTATTTGAAAATTATATAATTTAACAATAGAAAAAACCATTATTACTTATCACACTGAACACTCCAAGCCAACTGCACTCTGTATAAATACAGCGACTGCATCATTCTTTATATTCATACTTTCACACCATTTATTGTTATATTTAGTTGTTTTAACTACTGTAGCACAGATTATAACTGATGATGAGAAGTCCAAGCTGATAACCTGAATACTTATCACACTGAACACTGCAAGCCAACTGCACTCTGTATAAATACAGCGACTGCATCATACTTTACATTCATAGTGAAACACTCATATCAAGTAACATGGCAAACACACAGCTGAATTTGAAGTTCGTAATTAACAAGAAAGGGGGCCAGAATTTAGCCTATAATGGTTTCATCTACAGAATCATACGCAGAAATGGTGAAAAATCATGTCGAGGATCCCTCTCTGCCCTTAACAACATACCAGTTGCTTTTGGAAGACAGGAACACAACCATCCAGCAGATCATGCAGAAGTTGTAGCACAGCAGATCAGAAACAGCATCACCAAGAGATGTCTTGAAGAAGTCAGACCCATACCAGCAATATACGAAGAAGAACTCCGCAAGCTCCGAGATGAAGAATGGGATGAAGACTGCAAAGCGGTGGTACAGCGACTGCCTACCTTCAATACAGCCAAGTCGTCACTCTACAGAGCCCGCCGAAAGGAAACCCCAGTGCTACCAAAGACTCTTTCTGACATCAGACTGGAAGGGAAATGGACAGAAACATCAACCAGAGACAGATTTCTTCTTTTTGACGATGGAGACCAGCAGAACCGAATTATAGCCTTCGCCACTACGGAGAACCTACGATATCTCTCAACTGCTGACACATTCTACTGTGATGGAACATTTTACACGTGGCCGAGCTTGTTTCATCAGATCTACAGCATCCATGTGGTTATTGATGGAAGGATGACACCAGTCGTATTTGCGCTACTACCAGGAAAGAGTCAAAGAATCTACACTCGACTGTTTACCCTACTCAAGGAACACATGACTCAACTGTACCTGCCTTTCGCCCCAACCCATGCATTCGCCGACTTTGAAGTAGCAGTACACAACGCCATTCACCAGACATTCCCAGGAATCACCATGAAAGGTTTTTTCCATTTCACCCATAATGTATGGAAAAAAGCACAGACAACTGGACTGCAAACTCTATACCGGGACAATGAAGATGTTAGGACCCTTATCCGCCGTGCAGCTGTTCTACCACTGGTACCCATGGACTGCATAGAAGACGTATGGTTACAGACACTAGAAGATCTAGAAGACGCTGAAGTACCACAGAACACAACACCTTTCACAGACTATGTTACAGAGCAGTGGGTGGAAGGAGACAGACCGTTGTGGAATCACTTCCAAACAGATGGACCACGAACAACAAACAACCTAGAAGCATGGCACGGGAAACTAAAGAAGGTGAAACACGCTCATCCGACTATATTTGCCATCATACAGACATTCAAGGAAATAGACAATGCCGACGTCATCAACAGAATGCAGAGAGAAGCTGGAGGAACACCCGACCGCGTGCAAAGAAGTACTGCAACATTGACCCCCGCCTTACAACACTCAAAGAAAGATACGGAAACGGAACCATTGACCTGATGACCTACGCTGATTCAGCATCACAGCTACTTCATCTTGGATAAATAGACTGTGCTTTATGTGAATATTAATTAGTGCTACATGCGTGTTTATGAACATTCTAATAATTAGTGCCATTAGGTATTTAATTTATGAAAATAGTGCTTGTATATCAAATATTGAAAATTGAAAATTAATTAGTAAAATTTAGTTTAGTATGTATATGTTGAATTTAGTGCTACATTATAAAACTAAAAATAAAAAAGTGATTTCTGTGCTTAATTTAAATGATAATATGCTTATTAATGTTTATTAATTGTAATCTTCATATGGTCTATCATTAATGTCATATTAATAAAATAAATAAAATGTATTAAGTTTATATTATGTCTGAATTTCTTATTACTTACCTTAAAAACTGTTGCAAGTATGTATCAGATATTTTTACCTGAGTTTACCTGTACACCACCCCAAGTACCCCTTCTTTGTGCCCCTCAATTATCTTGAACAATAACAAAATAATCCCTTTGATGTTCTGCAGAGTTGGCGTAAAGGGAAACAGCCGTGCATTCAACAGCAACATTATACCAACAAATCACATGTAAATTATGTTTTAGCAATGTTAAGACAAATTCAAATATCTGTAATATTTATACACGAACAGAATTGGTGGATATACCTACAGGTAGAATATACATTGTATTGGGACTGGGATAAGTTACATAATATTTCTATTCAGTAACATTAAAGCCTGAAGTCAGATAATGGGATTTCACCAACAACTTTATGGTTCAATATGCAAGACATCTTATGTATGAAATTAAGTAATATCATCTTAAAGTACAGCACTGTAATGGAATTCATTCAATATTCCATTTGTTTCTGCTAAGTGCTCTACAACTGTTTACCTGAGTTGTACAGTAACAACTGATGCATGCTGAGATATAATGCTACTAGAATATTGATGTTTGATTACTGCGTAATGTCTTTTTGCTAGTTCATAATTATAAAACAAAATTTTCTCTGTAAGTTAGTACCTTGTGTTTTGATGATATGTGTGAACTGATGCAGAAAATACAAATCTATCAGACGACAAAAGCATAAACTTATAAATTAAATAGACATTGGGTACAAGATTTTCATCATGATAATAATTTTTCAATTCTGGATCACAAATATCAGTGAGTAGTTCATCATTAAATAGTTAACACACAGTTAACAATATGCCGAACCATATTTTTCATATGGAGCCCAAACGGAGTAAATTTGTATTTACATGAAATATGTCATCAATTAGCTAGCTTTAAGCTATGCTGTGCAAACAGCTCTTCTAAACCTTTGACATTTGTCAGATGAGTGAAAACATATACAAGAAATAGGTTGAGATCTTACTTTGACCTTTAACCTCCATAAGGAAAAATGGTTTCCAGGGCATTATATCTCCTATTCAAGTTCATGAAGGGTTTTAGATTTGCAAATCTGTTAAATGAGACACAATGACACCTTATTTTATATGTTTATCTGGTGTCTGGTGCCAATATTTTCTGTTGAAAACAATTTCTTCTTAATAAACAAAACACCTGGCGTAGGGTACAGATATTAGACTTGTAGCATACTGGGGAGAAAACAAATAGGCCCTGGCCATCATTTATAGTGTTTTTGTAGTAACATGATTGAGGAATAGACTTAAAAGTTGTCAGAAATTGTTTTAACTAAGCAACAAAGTAATCTGTGGAAGCTGCAGAATAGGTGAGCAATTTGGACCCATTGGGTCTCTTGTAATCTTTTATCTTTGTATGTCTCTTTTGTGTGTATAGTTCCAACAAACATTTGAATGCATCTTGAATTGTTGCTTCAATGTCATTTGCCAATCAGAATCCACAAAAAAATTAAATGAAATTTAGATGTCAGTACGGACATTTAAAACTTTTCAATTGTTGAAAACTATACAGAAGTTTATTTTGTGAAATATACCTCCAAATCAAAGAAGAATTATAGAGAGAATGAAATCATAAAAATTATAAAGTTTCTGGTTGACAACATCTTCGTCAGGGTTGTTGGCAAAATCTTTCTACAGACTATTGGCATACCTACAGGAACCAACTGTGCCCCTCTGTTGGCTGACTTGTTTTTGTTTTCATGTGAGGCTGAATTTATTGAAGAGCTTATCAAAACAGGTCACAAAGGCCTTCCAATGTCATTTAATTTCACTTTCAGGTATATTGATAACATCTTGATTTTAAACATAACATTAAATTTATTGACCATGTCCATTGCATATACCCAAAGGAATTGGAAATCAGAGACATGACAAACTCTCCTACATCAGCCACTTATCTCGATCTTTTCCCACAATGAAACCAAATAAGTGTGATGATTTTAATTTCCCTATTGTAAATTTTCCATTTCTGGATATCAACATCCCTGCATACCAAACCTATGGTGCTAAGATGTTGCATTTGGTTCAATATTCAAGGGCCAGTTCACATTACAACAATTTAGTGGAAGAAGTTTTCAACTGACAGACAAACTCACTACATAGGTTTCAAAAGATGCATGTTAATGAAAAGTATGAGGAAGTTTTACAGTAGTCAGAGTAATCAGACCCATTAAGTATATGGATATGAAGTTGGATGTTTTGATGCCCATCAGTTTGCCTGTTTGCTCAGTTGTACACCTTGTTCTCATTTTAGAAACTGACATTACTCACTTGGATTGATCAAGATTTACATGTGTTATTGATGAAGCAGGAAATGCTTACTCTTCCGAAACATCTGGTCTTATTTTCTTGTACTATTCCAAGAGTATCTGTATAAATCTGCCTTTGTTCATATTTTGCCCTAGTTTTATTGAGTTGGGATTATGTCAACATGTTTTTTTTTCTTCTTAATTTTTTTTTCAATATTGGTTTAAGACTACCTGTTTAGCTGAAGGTGATGATATTTAATTTCATTTATTTGGTTGAGATGGTCTGACTTGCTGCAAGTGGTTTTCTCATTTAATTTGTATTTAAAAAATCAATTATTGTTAAAGAGGTTCGAATGAAGCTCTAAAAGGCTGAATACTTGTAAGCAGTAAAACGTTTAATCACGTGACCAGCAATTGTTGATGACGTCAAGAACAGGATTGACCTTGGAACACCGGTAAACCAGTCTAGTTAAAACTGAAAATGTCTTTATTTCGCACAGTTGCAAGTAATGTCTTGCGTCAAAATAAGGTAAGTGTTTCGATTTACAACAATGAAGACATTTTCTCACAATGTCTTTTGATTGTATTGTTCAATGTGTAGGAAAACTCGAGAAGAAAGAACAGAGTATAAACGTGGGTGATTTTTGGATAACTTTCGTTGTCGGCGTTTGACATGCACTAATTGGCCCATAGATACAGATGAATTACATGTAATGATAATACAGCTGACTTTTTTATTGGTTCAGAGCGGATAGAAGAAAAACCAATGTCTGGACATGTAGCCTGTACAATGTACAGAACGACGTGGTAACAAGGAATAGAGTAATGATTTTTTCTGACTCGCAGATATACATTAATATGCAAGGATATACTTCTAACGTTTACCTGTTACATGTAATTGGCAGTAGATATTACAAATATAGAAGACAGTTTATTGATATCTGTTGTTCTGGATAAAAGTCATACACTAATTTTTACATTCATTGTGCTAGCGTGACATTGTGGATGACGAAAGAACATGCATGAGCACACCGAAACAAGATAGATTCTACTTCATTTCTTGATTGACCAATCGGTGGCAAGCAGTCGAAACTAAATGAAAAAAAAAACAAACAACAGTGTTAGTCAGACTTTGCGAACATAAAAGTATTATAAGAATTTGTTCACTGGATTTATTGCCCCATGTACAGCAAGTCATTTTGAAATGGAGTCTCCCTGTACTTGTGATTACCTTACTGAACATCACGTGGAAGGTTTGTCACATGGTTTCAAGTGCAGTTGGGGCAAGATCTTATTAAAGATCATATATAACAATGGCTCAGGATGATCATTGATCTTAGGTCTTTGAGAGATATGTAGAAATTATTTGTGGAGTGGAACAAGTTGACAAATTTATAGGAAGGCTCTATGAGTATGAAGGCCAACATTTTGTAATTAAAGTAAGGAAAAGTTAAAATTGCAATCGAATACAACCCATGGGGTATTCAAGTGAGTCATAGGGCTAGAGACTTCAACCTGCGTAGAAAATTTTGAAAATGTTTGGCACCCGAACACTTGTTTTCTGTTTTGTCTTATGTAACTGACCATTGTAATGGCATTTGCATAGTGTTTAACCAAACTTTTAACAATTCTACAACTGCTGCAGAAACTATAAACACTAGTAATGAGACTCCAAAAATGCTTACATGATAAACAATTAACAAATAACTGTCAACCATATAACAATGTAAGGTACTATATTTATATGACAATGAACACATTCCTGGTACAATGTAATAGAACCAAACATATGCATCGCTGTTCAGTAGAACTAGAATCACAGACATAAGCTATTTCATTACTGTGCAATAAGCCCACCCCTGTGTATTTGCCCAAAGCATTATTAATGAATTATTAAAGAAAACCATGGTAGGACTGTCTCCTGGTAATGACATATTTTGCAGAACTTGTATATTTTGTCAGATTGACTTAAAAGTTGTTCATGTGTCATGATCACAGGAAATTTAGTTTTAAAAACAAATTAAACAATAAGCCAAAACAAACAAAAAAAAAAAGAAGATAAAAACTACAATGTGTTCAATCCTTTTGCTTGTGCTTGCAGGCTCTCCTTCCAGCTGTGAGTGTAAGACACTCCTCTTCCACGGTAAGTCAAAAACACATGCCACAATATGTGGCATTGGAATGGTACGATCTGTCAGTTCCTTCTGTACATGTTTAGTGATAATAGGACATATACATTTTGCTGTAGGACAAATATCTAGCTATGGTATAATCAGATTTGTATAACTTGCACTTCATCATGAAAGCCATTTGCAACATTGAATATAATCTCTTTTATATATTCATGGCATAAATAACTGATAAGTTACAGTCAGAGGTGAAATTATTAATCATTAATTAAATCAGTTATGATTTAAATTGATGCTAGCCTTGAGTCTTCATACAAAACATCATGGGAAATTGAATTTCTTCTTCTGCTTTTCAGCAAAATTTTTATTTGTTCATTGATATATTAAAAACTATCAAAAGAATTCTTTGATTCATACTCATTCATCTAGAATTTGAAAGATGTGCTAGCAGGAGTCATTCCAGAGAAGCAAAAGGAAGTTGTGGAATTGAGGAAACAGTATGGAGACAAAGTGGTGGGAGAGGTCACCCTCAACATGGTAAATATACATGTAGAAAAAACAGAATAGAACATTATTTTAGCGTGATGCAACATGACCCAAAAACTGCAAAATTGACATCTTCTAACGATCTCTTATCGGTCAACATTAAAAATACATGCAATAATGGTCATATAACATTTTGATCTTATAATGATGCAAATGGTATCAGCAAATCAGAAGACAAAATCAGGACAAACTGAAAATAAAGACATTAATTGACTCATTCACATGTTATTTTGTAATAAGATTTATATGTATGGGTCTTCACATCTTTTCAATTATAAGTTTGATCTTTTTCAACACCTTATACTAAATACTAAAAATAGTCCTTACATGTTGTATATTATGTACATGTATTGTCATTTATGTTGTATCATCAAAAATCATATACATATATACATGCCTTATTGATTATAATCATCATGTAATAGTCATTATTCTTGATACATGTATATTTCATTAAGATACTGTACTAGCTAATGTATTTGCTGTCCATTGTATTGTAAATTGTTTTTCTATATTGAAAATGAATAAAAAAAATGTTCATGAAAAAAAAATAATATTTTGTAAGTTCATCTTTAACACTCTTCAAAATACAAGTGCCATAAATTTGTGCATATAGTGTTCATTTTTCAGGCAAAAGCTGTCGTGTCAAAAAGGGGGTGTATACTATATAGAGGAACATGCCATTCTTGGGGTTATCATTCTCTAGTTCTCTGTCCACCATATTGGATTACCTCCCTTCACATAGTTATTGTCAGTCATGTATGAGAGATTGAAGATAAAAACAACTAAGAATGAAATATATTTCGAATGTTTTCATGCAATTCATTATTTTATATATATCTATATATTGAATTACAACTTACAACTGTTGAAGCACTAAGTGGGAAACACAGTCACTGATCACTTTCGTTACTATGCACTAAACAGTCACTGAATTCCTTTGAATTTGTCATCATTGTCACTGTTAAAGAAGAAGGCCGGATCAAAGTCTGCCTCTGTAGATTTTTCATTGTCATTGTAAAACAGGTCGTAATCAACCTCATGATTATCCTCTATGTCAACATCTTTTGCGGGTCCACTATTGGGATTTTAGGTGTTCTTTTTTCTGCCATGCCCGAATGTTGGATTCAGGGATGTCAAAGTGGGTTTGCACGAAACCTGTCTTTTGGCATAGTCATTGGCATCTAGTTTCTCTTTGGCTGTTTGCTGTTTTCCCATGTCGAAGCCACGGTGGGTACAGATACCATATAACACATGTTCAGCCAAAGCCGGGTGTTGTCAATCTCCTCATACTCAATATGTTACTTGTTCATAACTGTTTATTATCCAATGAACCTAGCCTTCCATGCTTGTTAAGTCAGGCACATGCATGAATTTGTTGACATAAGATGATTAAATGTGTTAGGGTCATGGCCATTGTGGTTTCCTAATTTTCGATGGATCAAAACATCAACTGTTGCACCGTGGTAACCATGGTAACCCGTAATCAATTTATATATATCTTTTTCTTTTCTTTTTTGATTAAATCTGACCCCTAAAACATACCTACAAATTTATGGTGTTAGTAATTATTATGAAATCCAGTTCTGACAGCTGTAATGTCTTGGTTTCTTACATCAGCAAGCTTTGGTAAAGTTTTCTAGATTCTCTCTTGGGATACCCTTATCCTATATTTAGATACATAGGAAAATGAATTAATTGGTTCTTTTAATGATATTTTTTTTCAGATCTATGGTGGTATGCGTGGCATTAAAGGGCTCGCCACAGAAACATCTGTTCTTGATCCAGAGGAAGGAATCCGTTTCCGTGGTTATAGCATACCTGAATGTCAGGAGATACTGCCCAAGGGCAATGGTGGAAAAGGAGAACAGCCCTTGCCAGAGGGTCTGTTTTGGCTACTTCTCACAGGACAGGTGCCTACCCAGGCTCAGGCAGATGCTGTCACCAAGGTCAGTCTGCACTCCACAAACCACTTTTTGTATTTGTGAAGCAGAAAATCATGTAGCAATAAAAAAAAAAGGATGCAGTGGTTCAGGAAAAGAATTTTTTCTGTACAAACAGGGAAAGAGAATATTTCTGAAAGTTAAGAATGTCATGCTGATCTACTTCTGATCTATACACAGGAATGGAACGATCGTGCAGCACTCCCCAACCATGTGACATCCATGCTGAACAACTTTCCAGCCATCCTTCACCCCATGTCACAGTTCAGTGCTGCCATCACGGCATTAAATAGTGAGAGCAAATTTGCAAAGGCATACTCAGAGGGTGTCAAGAAAACTTCTTACTGGGAGGTAAATATATAGTGGTCCAGCTCCGTGACATACATGACTTACTTGGTGCTACAAACAATTAAAACCAATGAGTAAAGGTGAATTAAATTGATTTTTTGAAAAGTGTACAGAGATAAATTATGAAAGCCATCAAGTATTGATTGCTATGATTATCTGTAGGTCCTCAATACTAGTTAATACAACCTTTATATAACCAGTAAGCAGTCTCTTAAAGAGCTTATTTTCTGACGACCTCATTCTTTAATCATTGTGTTATCTCCCTTTCTCAGTATGTATATGAAGACTCCATGGACATGATTGCAAAGCTGCCAACTGTAGCAGCCCTCATTTATAGAAACCTGTACCGTGATGGTACATCAGTTGGTACCATAGACCCTGCTAAAGACTGGAGCTGGAACTTTACCTCCATGCTGGGATTTGAGAACCAAGACTTCACAGAGCTTATGAGGATGTACCTTACAATTCACAGGTGGGTTAATGCACTGAAATTTAGTTGGGATTTTTTGTTCTCAGCCTGTGTTAGAAGATACCAGTTCACAATGCATTCTTTTTAAGTGATAGTTTTACAAGTATTATCAATTACAGTAAACACAGAAAAGTTGAAGTCAAATGTGACATTAGACTTATTGGATGGTTTGATTTAACCATGTTTCTATGAATGGTGACATTGCACAATGAAGAAAGACCCTATTTTCATCTGTTGTTTACCAGATACATGTCAGTAGCAAGGCATGACAGTAATGAATAAGTGATAAATAAATGAAATCATTTTATATCATTATATGACAACCATATCTTTTATTTAAATAAATAAACACAACATTTGACACACCTGATGTATTCAATTCAAATGTGTTCGACACAAGTGAGTTTTTTGGTGATTTACTTAAACTTTGAGATACCTGCAAATTGACAAGTGCTTGCTTTTATGATAAAACAGCCTTTTTATGGCTATTGTAGCCTCATTTACATGCCTTGTTTGCATGTGATATTGTCTTTACAGTGACCACGAGGGTGGTAACGTCAGTGCACACACAACACATTTAGTGGGCAGTGCTCTGTCTGACCCCTATCTCAGCTTTGCTGCAGGCATGAATGGATTGGCTGGACCCCTTCATGGCCTGGCAAATCAGGTGGGTCCTTGTGTCTTGTATACTGAAAGCTTATATAACAGTTTTGCTTGTCTTCTGTGTGCCATCTCATGTTTCTTCAGCATTTTGTTAAATTTCAGCTACTCATAGTCCTTAATTGCTTTTTGATTTATTATTTTACAAAAAAAAACTCAATTTGGTATATATAGATATTCTGGTGTAATTTCTTTCTGCCTTCATATTTTTCTGGTAGTTTTGAAATGTGATTGCTGTTTTTCAATTGTTGTAAATGAGACCGGTCTACAGTTCATGTAAATGGCATGAGTATTAGTTCCATGAAATATAGGGCAATGATTAGAATGGATTTTTTCTTCTTTTCGTATGTTGCACCATCTGAAATTTAGATAACCTGACACAGCAATATTGTGTGTTATAGGAAGTACTGGTTTGGCTTACAAAAGTACAGGAGGACTTTGGAGGAGAGGTGTCTGATGAAAAGCTTAGGGACTGGGTGTGGAACACACTCAAGTCTGGGCAGGTAGGCATGACTTGTTGTTTATCAACTGTTCAATATATAACAATTTAAGGTACCTGGTGTTTTAGCTTTGTGTTCACAAATGGATTTAAGGTCACTTGAGACAAAGTCTCATGATCATGGTGACCTATTGATATCACCTTCGTTCGGCGCAGTGCATCCATAAACAATTTAACATTTTCGACTTCTCAAACACTCCTCAATTGATTTCAGTGAAATTTACAGAAACCTTCCCTGGCCAAAGATGAAACAAAATAGTTAATTATGTGGTCCCCACCACATGGGGGCCCGAGGGACGGAGCCAAAAGGGTCAAATTTACTCAAATTACAAAAATCTTCTTTATAACACCCAGATATGGCAGTATCAAATGCTTTTCATAGATAGAAGCATCTTAAGGTAGTTTTCTTTGTGGGGAGGGGGTAAAATTTAATATAGTTTATGTGGGAAAAATAGATTTTTTAGTATAATTTGTTTAATTTCCATTGGAAATATTTCAAACTTGGTTAGAATTATGGATGAAGAATGATGACTGGATGGTATGAATAGATTGATCCTGACTGGCTCCCCTGTTAGGCATGGCAAAAGGGGTCAGATTGTCGTAAATTTCAAGGTATAATCATATCAAATGCTCTTCTAGGATGGAGGCATATTGAGGTGCTTTAATGACCAAAATGGGTCTCACATTTCTTCCTGGGGAGGAAGTTAACTTTACTGTAATTTTATAGAAAAATTGAATTTTTGAGTCTAACATTGTTTATTTCCCACTGGAAATAACTTTGTAAGAGTCATTAGTGTAGGATGACAGTTTTGATGGTATGCATGTATTGACACTGGCTTACTATCATCTATGTCACAATTTTCTTTTATTTTCATGGCACTTGAAAGCTACTTATTTATTATTGCTTACCTCAGGTGACCATCAAGGCCACTAAGCCTCATGATATACTTATAGTGATTGTTTCCTCTGGCAGTTTGTAAATGCAAGTGACTGTTCATTTGACAGTTTCCAGAGCATGTCCAAGTCGCTATAAATGAGCAGTATCCTTATACTTGTTAACCAGGGTGGTGTTTTTTAATACTTTGTCTTGATAAGGAATAATAGCATAGTTTCAAACATTTCTTGGTAGTGTGAGCAAAGGTATATCTGATACTGTACAAGCATGATAGGCTGTTATTTGTAAAGCAGATATTAAGAATTTCAAGTCAAGTCGATTGATAACCCATTGAATTTGTTTCAGGTTGTACCTGGCTATGGCCATGCTGTACTACGCAAAACAGATCCTCGTTATCAATGCCAGCGAGAGTTTGCACTTCAGAAGTTACCAAATGATCCCATGTTTAAACTTGTGTCTCAACTATACAAGATTGTGCCTGATGTGCTCCTAGAACAAGGCAAGGCCAAGAACCCTTGGCCCAATGTTGACGCTCACAGTGGTGTGCTCCTTCAGGTAAAATATCATAAACTTGATAATACTTCATAAGTGTAATTCATGCAGAAAGTTTTGAATGAAAAGAAAAGATAGCATGGGGTCTAATTTCTTGGTGAAAGAAAAGATGGCATGGTGTCCAATTTCTTGGTGAAAGAAAAGAAAAATGGCAGTTTCTGATTTGTGGCCATTTGTTATGAATGAATTTAGCGTGAGTTTGTTCTCATTTCTGTTGGGGTTGGAGGTAGATGAAAAGTTCTGATAATAATTTTGCAGTTTATATTTGTCATCATAAGGTTGTTTTGTATCAAATTTGTGCTGGTTTTCACTTGCAGTACTATGGAATGACAGAGATGAACTACTACACAGTCTTGTTTGGTGTGTCGCGAGCTCTTGGTTGTTTGTCCTCTCTTGTGTGGGACAGGGCATTTGGACTCCCCATTGAACGACCAAAATCATTTGATACACCATCCTACCTGAAATTGGCGAAAAAATGAAAATGGTGATACCTAGGACATTTATATTAAAGTTAATGAGAGTGCTAATATCCAGGTTTTTTTTTTTTTTTTTTTTCCAATCAAGAAAGCATTTGTTTTTTGAGAGTAGAATATGATTACATGTGTGTAAAGTTCCATCTATTCACTATCATTATCAAGAATGTTTTTGCGTCACTTTCAGAGTATCAGATGATGTGTTATACTGCCATACATCCTCTATGCCATCTAGATCATCAGATTTGTATATATAAATATTTTGATTTTTTCCCGATATCCTATATATGGAATCAGGATGGATCATAAACATTTGGATGGCTTAGAGGAATTTGATACTCAGAAAATGTAGCATTTCTGGAATTTTGTAAACATCAACTTTTGATAATTGTTGGTTTAAAGATTGGTCAGTGTGGGTGAAAATTCTTCTTTGTACATATGTCTTTCTATTGGTAATAAATAACTGTTCTATACATAGTGATTAGCTGTCGGTATAGTTATACATATTTAATAAGCCATCAGGTTGGTTCCATACATTCGAGTTGACATGCCAGGTTCCTTGGAGAGAGAAGCTACATTAAGCAGGATCTGTACTTAGACATTGGGCAACACTATGTGTTTGAGGTGTAACCTTATAAATGACTGCCAAAAAGAGCCATGTTTTTCTCCAAGCCGATATTAGATATCTAACAAGAGATAAAAATGCTGTGCAATTGTCATTTGAAAGATCATAATGAAAGATCATATATGTTCTGTTTGATAAAAGAGAATACTTACAGGTGATTGTGTCTAGTGTGGATGTTAGGTTTCTTTATTCAGTACAGAATCTGCATTAAAAGAAAGTCAAGATTTTGTTTAACATTAGGTCTGTTTTCTTAACAGGGAGTTGTGGAGGACACACCAGATGTCCATTTATGACCTGATAATTTGTGGTTTGTGTACCAGCTATTTATTTATACAAGATTGTACACAACTGTGTACATATGAGCCCATACATAGTACTGGAGACATTTTTTATGTAATGGATCATTGGTATTCATTTGCCGAATGATTAAAATTTATCAAATAAAAAACATAGTTGGTTTTTTTTAAATTTTAATTTACCTGGCCCGAAGGACCGGTTTCCCCCACCCCACTCGAGAATAGCTCTGCCTCATTCTTATATCTATATAATGATAAATTATTAACATTCGACCATGTCTGTTTTCGAATTCAACATTTGCTTGAACTCAACATCCAAAACACAGTAGATCTCATTATTAGTCTCCTGCTTGTGAAACCAGAGGGAACTTTAATGTGTGCTTTCTATTCGGATGGTTTCTAGACAATAACTTCTAAGGGATGACCGATTAGGTTGAAACTTGATACAATATTAGTTTGGTAGGAGGGCTAGTGTTGGATTGTGTTTGGGGTCAAAAAGTCAACTACAAAGGTCACTGATACTAAAAATAGATTTTTGGTTTCCAGATGATAGCTTGAGTTAGGGATGATCAATTAGGTTGAAACTTGATACAATGAAACTAATGATAGTTTATAATCAGATCAAGAGTCTGATTGTGTTTAAATTAAGATATTCAATACTGAAGGCAATGCCTGTAAATAGACATTTCATACACACATTCCATGATGGCAACTACTGCAAAGAAGAAAATACTATCAGTAATCTATTTCTGATCAATACCATTTGATACAAACTTATGAAAGAAATTGACATGTACACAATATTAAGTTACATACTTATTAAAATTCCCATGTCATGTTCCAATCAAGTTATTTGAAAAATTGCTTCAAAAATGCTTTTTATGGCACTGCAGGGGACATGTGTTGCAACACAAACTGTATGCTTGTTAGAATTGAAGTTTTAATGCAATTCTCCAAAGATCTAGATCGAAATTTTCTGTCTCTAAAATGATGATAATATTTTGTCAATATTCACATTTTTATTGACTATGCACATTTTAGAGTCTCTTTAAAGTGCTATTGTTGGTTACATTACCATTTACATTCCGGTACTCGTGCAATAAACTGCATTGATCTTACTTTACAAATAAAGGAAAGTAAGTTTTTTCTTGCCTCTACATCTGATATTGGTTACAAAGTCAAAAATAAAGAAAAATCTATTTGAATCCCCCTCCTACCCCTTGTCTTCATGCTTGCTGTCTTTTTAAGTTCTGGTGACGTCACAAAAAGTATTCATTTCTCCACTTGAATTTCAGTTTTCAGTTTCATTTCGCTGTAAGGATAAACCAAGATGTAAGACTATACATCTTCTCCTGTTCTCGGAAAACAAAAACATTTCTCTTCAAGAAAATCAACGACACTAAGAATATCAAATTACAAACGCAGCTGAGTATAGCATACACTAGTCATTAAAGACATAAAATAAATATGGTGATTGTTGGGGGAAAAAAGTGAGCACCTTGATGTTAATATGGAATTTCTATGATGTACTAGACATCATACCATCAGAGGTCATTGTGTGTCGTGTGCGCTAAATGTATTGCACCACAAGGTGGATTTTGATTTCAGCTTAGTTTTTGAAGTATAGGGTTAAGACAAGATGTTCACAAGAAACAGACTACAGGCAAACTAGTATTGCACATGGACCTGAACAGGTGATACCAGGATTCCCCCTACAGGTTACTTGGTTGTTCTATGGCTACCTGTTGTTTTCAAATTGAATAAAGTGAGAACCCTGATATTAATATGGAATTTCTTTCATGTGCTAGACATAATACCATCAGAGATCATTGTGTCATGTGCACTAAATGTATTCCGTCACAAGGTAGATTTTGTGATTTCAGCTTAGTTATTGAAGTATACGGTTAAGACAAGATGTTCACAAGAAACAGACTACAGGTGAATAGTGTTACCTTCCATTTGGATTTGATTTTCACACCATAACTTTAGAAAGTCTCGATAGAATTTAATAATATTTTGCATGTATGTTGAAATAGTAAAAATCTAGGCCAACTCTTTCTTGACTCAGACACTGTGAAAAATTTGGTTTCTGCGCCATAATTTTAGAATGCCTCCGTAGAATTAAATGAAATTTTGCACATATCTTGAAAATTAAAAATCTAGGCCAAATTCGTTTTTCGCTCATTTTTCAGCAATTTCTACCAGAGAAATGACTTTTTTTTTACTTAGAAACTGAAAAATTTGGTTATTCATACATTCATACAGCAACTATAATGACCAACTCGCATCAGTGGATCAACATTAGACCAAGTTTTCTGTAAAATAGACTTCAATACCAGAAATTAAATTCTTCCACACATCATACTTCAAAGACCATTCCCAAGTGTATCTTGCATACCAACAGTGACAATTGCTGCACTGTTTAAAAGTAAGCACACATTTTAGTCTTCACATTAAACTTGACCTGGGTTTTAAATACTGAAATATCACTTATATCACTTTTTTCCTCTATACTGCCAGTAATGCTTTCCTGTACTCTTCTGGTATAAAAAAAAAAAAAACCCAAACAATATTCCACATGGTTGAACATCCATGTCCAAGGAACATGAAATAAAATGGTGAAAATTGTTGTGGAGAAATATTATCGTGTGAAAATGTGTATATAGTTTCTTGTAGAGCAGCGAATTTGGTTCCTCATTGTAATCTATGAACATCAGGTATCAGTGCATTAACTTCTAATTGGTTTTCTTCTACAATCAAATTTGCTTTTAATGTCCTTATAAAAATTGCCATTAAGTTTTAATTTGAACTAATTTCAATATGATTCACTACAGGTTGGATTTATTTTGACAAGAGTTAAGCCCAATGCAATTAGAAAAATTCAGGCAATTAATTGCTTCTGCTTATTATCATTTATTGATAAATGTATTATGGAAAAGCACAGGTCATGTTCTTAGTTGGGTTGGCTTAGGTAATTTTGATAGAGTTATATTCATCGAGAAAATTTCAAGCAGTTCAGTTTTTTAATATTGTCCCTGAGGCAGTATTCATGTCGCACTGAAAACGAAGTCTTTCTCATCATTTCCTTTACCAGTGTCTTATTTGCTCTTTATAAACTGATAAAATAACGTTAACACTAAAAATCAAAACTACTTCTACATTATACATGTAGTTATTTTGTGATTCCTTACCATAAATACATTTTCTATTGTCTACAAATATTTTTGTAATAAATATCAAGGTGTTTAAACATTTCAGTGCAACTGTTGTGCTTGTTCTTCTATAAATTGAAAATGAAATTTTTAAAAGGAAATGTAAATAAATTTATAATTTGTATCTTTTCATTTACTTTTACTTTCAAATGCTTGCAAATACAATTTATCAGCAAGTTGAATTTTCAATTCAGTTTGCATATTTACTTGTCATTGATAGTAATATAAGAGAAGGTTATGCATTTGTATTCACATGTGTAATAGCTTTGTAGTTTATACAAAAACATTAATCATGAGTCAGTTGTATAGAAAATAGTTTAAATGGTTTAACCAGTCAATTTAAAATATAGAGACGGTGAACCATCAGTATCAATAAATTTTAAAAAAAGGCACAGCTGGAAAAACATAACATGAAATAATTTTTCATATGTGTATCATTTTTTTTTTATCAACAGGTAAATTGAGTAAAGGATTACAATTAAACATAACTTTATATATATATATATATCTTTTTTCTGTATCTTTGTTTATTTTGATGGGAAATTGTTTCGAATTTTTGAAATGGATATTTCACTGGAATAATTTACATAGGTGTATATTTAAGAGATACCTATATATAGCCTAGTTTCAGTGTAATAAGATTTAATGAAGGTTCCAATTTCTGATATATCATTTGGAATGCTTCTATATGCCATTTGACCATTACCAGTGAAAGAAAACTCAACATATGAACATATTTACATGACTCAGATTAGTAACATATCATTTAGTACAGATATAAAAATGTGTAAGTTTTATTTTCAAATTCAAGTACATGTACATCATTCTCAATCCAAACTGCAACTTGCAGTTATCAGTGCTATTAAATGATTAAATGTCACAGATTATGAACTGAGCAATATGATTTTTGAATGTCATTTGAGAGTCAACCATGCCACATTGTAACCAGCTGAGGATCAATGAGCTCCATACTTAGATAAATGTGTCAAAATCTGGCAACACTGGCGAAGCCATGCGGTGGCAAGCGCCAAAGGCACGAAGCTTTGGCGAGGGGTCAGGGGGCCCTCCCCCAGAAAATTTTAAAAATTTTGGCTCCATTTCCTGCATTTTGAGCTTATTTTGAAGGAAAATAACGACACAATAATACTGAGATAAGTCGATATAATGTATTGAAATAAATCAAAGTTAGAAAAGATACAAATGGAAACAAAATAATGTCGGACTACATGTACATAACAATCAATAAGAAATATCAGTAAATGACAACATACATAAACATCAAAAATCAGCATAGACTACTGCTCGGGTAAAAAAAAATGAGTTGGTTAGGGCCAAATGGAGAGTTAGCTGGCGTTTTCTTTTCGATCAACAATATTCAAGCTGCCTCTCTCTCTCTAACACCTCCTTCAGACTTTCAATACTTTTGTTATCTTTACATCAATTTATACTTTTGTTATCTTTACATCAATACTTTTGTTATCTTTACATCAATTTATACTTTTGTTATCTTTACATCAATTTATACTTTTGTTATCTTTACATCAATACTTTTGTTATCTTTCCATCAATTTATACTTTTGTTATCTTTACATCAATTTATACTTTTGTTATCTTTCCATCAATTTATACTTTTGTTATCTTTACATCAATTTATACTTTTGTTATCTTTACATCAATATTTTTGTTATCTTTACATCAATTTATACTTTTGTTATCTTTCCATCAATTTATGCTTTTGTTATCTTTACATCAATTTATACTTTTGTTATCTTTACATCAATACTTTTGTTATCTTTCCATCAATTTATACTTTTGTTATCTTTACATCAATTTATACTTTTGTTATCTTTACATCAATACTTTTGTTATCTTTCCATCAATTTATACTTTTGTTATCTTTACATCAATACTTTTGTTATCTTTCCATCAATTTATACTTT